GTCAGTACGTTTGCTCGTTTTACTTGATAATTGTAATTTCCTTACTTGTTGTAACAATTTAATCGTTCATATGTTTAAAAACAGATGGAGTATAAACCCAAGTTGCCTTTACTTTTAATGTAGCCTAACCACAGACTCTGTGCTCGCCAGTATTGCGTTTACTGTTCTAGAATTACATCTGTAGGACAATTAAATCCATGCACTTCTCTTATTAGCAACAGTCATTTCCATTTTTATCCGGTTCCTAGTTGTCTTATTCGGGTCGCACGATCTTTTTCATCCAGAAATAATTTGAGCGATTAAATGGGCTGCAATGGTTCAGTAATGCTAAACGACATTTAAACACGCATTGGCTATGGATATTTAATACAAATCCCAAATATCGTCTTCATTACTCTAATTGGATAACATTCAACGATGTTTACTATTCAGAAGACAAATGAAAAGCGTTGATGACGTTTATTATCGCATCTCACCGAATGAAAACAACCGGCATGCGAAGCAAGGTAATATGCAAATGCCGAGGAACCACCTTATAAGATTACAATACACAAATATACTTAAGGAAAATAAATTATTAACCGATTTGTTCAAGCAAGCTGGTAGAATGATTATACGTGTGATCTGTAATCACTGCTTAGTCATACATGTACTTGCTTGATCAGCAAGAGTGAAAGTACTAAGGTAGAAATAAGCTGTTGTCCAACCAACGCTTAATAAAGTTACCGAAAAAGCTTAACAATTGTAAACATAAACCAGCTCAAATGTATGTGAGGCGCTTCAACGAACTGCAAATATTAGTGGTCGTGGTGTAAGGAAGTTGATATGTGATGAGATATAAGAAAACCGATAATAAGTTGAGTATGCATAAATTTCCTAAACATCTTTTTAAAAGTGTTAGATCACCAGAAACTACTAATGGTAACAGATGTTCAAATTGCGGTGGTAATTAACTGTGCAACTAGCAAAATATCCGGCTGACGTTTTACGTAACATGTGCTCATGTTTTCAGATGGTATATTGCTAGTGCAGATAAATGTAGTCTCTCACAAAACTACTGCTTAAAGCCTTACATTGAAGGAAATAAATTTCCGGACTATTACTGTCACCCGCAACTCAATATTTACGTACATTTAAATATGCTATGAAATAAACATCTCCGTCAGTTTCCGTACAATATACTTCGGCGAACTCGGTTTGTGTGACGGCGGTAGTAAGAAGCCAAATACGGATTCTGTGGGATGAGTTTATTTCGGGCAATAGTTGATGAAAACGTGATAATGCAAAGCATACAATCAAAGCTAGGCGAACCATAGCAAAGCGAAGTGCAGAAGGCGAGTGAGTCAACTCAATTCGATGAAGAATTTATAGTCAGACAAAAATAAGCCAGACATGTAATGAGCGAGATAGGCATGCCTACACACGAATAAAACCTACGCAAATATGGGCGAATGACTAACAAGGTCAAAAGAGAAGTGGATCGAGCCCTGGGAGATAGACGTGAAAACACCCAATATAAACTGAAAAGCCTTTTTATTTTAATGTGATGTATTCTATATCTCCGATAAATAAGAATTTATTGGCCAGCAGACTTCTACGTAAGAATGTTTGCAAGCATATGATGACTGCATTTTAGTGATTTCATTACTGGTAGTTGCATGATTGGCAAACCTCACACACTTTGTTTCCCTTTTGAATTTTCTACGCCAGCCTACGGTAAAGCCGAATGTTTCTTACGGAGGATTCAAAATTGGGAAACTGTAGGGTTTCCGGCATTCTCTAGAAGTTTTTCCATAGATGTTGCGATACGTACGCTAATTTGCGCTGCCTCTCATTTCTTCTTAATGAACACCGCCGGGCAGTCTTTGATCTTTCACGACTGTGATGTCCATTTGGCGTGTATGATTGTAATTCGGAAGCCAGCTATCTCGTTTCCGGTCGATTTGTATGTTTCCTCAACAGAACAAACCTCGAAGCTAGGAGTTTGTGTTATAAGCAAAATTCGATCGGCATATATGGGTAGTTCGTTGGCGACATAATTTCGGGATGAGCCGCGCAAGCCTTCACATGTTGGGGAAGTTTAGACTCCAAGAGTTATCAAGAAAGCTTTGTCGAATATTGATTGAGCAGTGAGCTCTCTCGTGTAAAGTAAAATTTCTGTCGCCATGTCGTGTTGTGGTCCACCGTTGAATAAATTTTTGTCTGATCCTTCTCTCTCGGTTAAGTTTTCACTCTAAAGATTTATTTCTTTCAGAGTATCCTAAGATTCGAAAATAACACCAATTAGTATAGTGGGTGTGATGAACTTCTTTAACCCGAGCGGTAGTTGCCTCACTGATACAAAGGAATCCGGTACATGTGTCTTTCCCACAGTGCTCATGGAGGCTAGTCCCTGTTTAGTGAAACCAGGCGTCGATGTTATCAAGCCAGAATGGCTTGCGATAAAAAATTCCAAAATTGTCACCTTTGGGAAACATAGGTCTATGTTCCGATGAAATAAGTATGTATAAATATACAGAAAGAAAACTCAAGACATTGTTTGTCTGGTGTGGATGCATGACTGAACTTTATTATATGAGAGAGTTCAGTAACATTAATGGGGTCAATATCAATGACTTAAAAAAGTATTAATTTAGGTGATTTGTTTATCGACCAGGGTCTGTATGGTTTTAAGTTAAAACAGGTTCTTAGTGTAAGATTTATGTTTGTTGATGATTTATGATCTTCTTTATGGTGAACTGAGCATTCGGTTCTATTATATCACATATGTGGCATTTTTTAGGGCTAATGAATTTTCTATTAAATATGTATTTGTAAATGTTTTGCTTTGATATATACCAAGGTTTTCATTCGTATTAAGTGTATTTTTAATATTTTCTTTAAATCGATCAAATTTGGTAATCTAGATTCAACCTATACAATCGCAATTATAATTTGTTCGCGTACGTAATTTTTTCCAAGTGAGACACATAGTATATAGTGGGTATTTTGTTCTGTACTTTTGGTAGATGTTTTTTGTTAATCATGTTTATTCTGCTGAATGATTTGATGTCCACATTTAAAACTAATATTATGCATGAGCTTTGAATATGTTTATTTTGTTTGAAGCACTTTCTGCATTCTATTCACTATATTCATTTGATAAAAGAGACTGTATTATTGTTTCGATTGCATAAGTTAGCAGAATTCAACATCATCATTTCAGCATTGAATAACAATATCCCAAGAAGTTACTAGAGATTTTGTTTTTGAATTCAGATGAATTCATACCGTCCTCAAAGTTTATTTTCTTGTTTACTCAGTTACAAGCTACCTATTTCTTACTTTTGTGATAGGCCAAAGTTTATATGACAGTAAATCCGCTTTTGATTAGTTAAGTGTGTAATGATGGAACAACTCATATTGTCCAATTTTTGTAGATTGGTTATAAATTACTCCTAAAACCTGAAAATAACGGTTTGTTTTCAAGATTTACTCTAACAAAACTTCTTATATCGCCAAATTTTAAACGTCATATCTTTTGCGTGTCCTATAGGGTGATTACAATGTTGTTTTTAAACTTTTATAAGGTAGACATTTTTTGGGAAGCCGATGCATAGTCAAGAAAAAAGGTTACATCATCATGAAAGTTACTAACCATTGACATCATGCTCTCAAAATGTTAACTAATCAACCAATAAAATTTCAGTCTGCTTAAAAAGTGAGTTGGATAGATCTGCATTACAAATCAATTTTCATCACATGCTTAATTAGATTGAATTTAACTTAAGAACACAAAGTATTCAATTGTCTAAAATGTCTCTTTTAATACAATAGTGATGAAAACTGACCTTTAATTGGTACAGTCTCTCTTCAGTTTTGTTATTCATTATCATGCCTTACTCGTGACTTTCAAGAAGTGAGTAAAGCATAACCTTACATTTATTACCGCTATTAGTACTTCAACTGTTTGAATCTTTTAAAAGAGAGTGTAGATTTAAACGGTTTAATATGAGCGTGCATTACCGAGTTTTTTCGTATAGATGTTTACAAAGAATCAAATATTTTTCTGTTCAAACCACAACTTGGAGTTTCATCAGACAAGTTACTGTCAATAAAACCGATAAGAGCTGCTAATAATATCTAGCAGAAAGTGTACTTAAAAAATTGATATTTCATTATAACAAACCATTTATCCAACGCTATTCAAAACTATCATGTCAAACCTTAATAATGAAACTTTCTCAATTCTGGGATATTTTTGTTACTCAAGGTCATTAATCTACATTTCAAGACGATGATAAAAGCTTATACAGTTTATTACTCAAGGTAGCTCATGTGCAGTTATTTGATGTCTACCTGATAAATACATATCAAGTGCCCAAAAAGAACCCATATGGTAATTATTAAATTAAAATTAATAAAATCTTGTCCAATAGTACATTTAAATCTCCTGTCCGAGTAAGCCTTAACCAAACGTATTCAGGTATTACTCAACATATAATATCGCTGTCTAATTGAAGGATCGAGAATTTTGAAAATGAGTCTAATTATTCGGGTTTGAAAGTAAAAGGTAGAAAAGAACAAACCAACTACTGTGCATAGTTTCTTTGAGCGATTTAGCATCTAGTTAATCCATTGTACCATGGACCTTTATTAACAACTTATAAATTAATGCTTTAAAATTATAGATGATCATGAAAAGTTCAAAGAAATTCTGTCATCTGAATTCATTACGCGGAAGTTCGTGTTCCTTGGTATCTTATTCATTATATTTTGCATTTGTCACACTTGTTTTTTATAACAATTCACTCAAATTTTTTAGTCAATATCTACTAAGACACACCTTAAGGATGATTTTACTTGTGTTTAACCAGTTTTAATTTCTTAAAAGAGCCATAATTATCTACCTCTGAGATCAGTTTTATGTTTTATTAGAAATAATTGATCAATGCTTACATTATGCTTTGCTTTTAGTATTTTGGGAAAGTTTTGCATAGAAATTAAATAACCTACTACTTATGCATGTGGAAAGATTAAGACCTCAAATATTTCGGGATTCTTATAATGTTGGGACATCTTACGATGGTTTTAGTCCGGGAAGTTCTGAGTATGACAGGAGTTTGGCTACTTCTCGCGTTTACGAAAGAACACGGATACATACTTTAGCAGGTAAATGTGACTCCATAATGCTAATTTATGCAAAGCGGAACGACAAACGGTCCAAAAAAAGACGTTTACGAAGTGGGCGAACACATTTTTGAGAAGAGTAGGAATCGAAATATATGATTTGTTTTTGGATTTACGTGATGGAAAAATTTTATTACAGCTATTGGAAATACTTTCTGGAATTAAGATGGTATGTTTTTCATTCATAGAGATTACTTTTCCTCATTGTTTCCTCGTTTCATTTATAGCCCAGTCCAACTTTAGGAAGGATGAGAATCCACTGTTTAGAGAACATAGATAAATCTCTTTTCTTTCTAAGTAATTTTGGAGTTCACTTAGAAAATATTGGGGCACATGATATTGTTGATGGTAATGCACGGATTACACTCGGACTATTGTGGATGATCATTCTTCGTTTTCAAATTCAGGATATTATATTTTTGGAGAAAGTCGATCCTTTAGGAATCAAGAGTGATGTGCGACGGTATTCAAAGGAAGCCTTGTTATTATGGTGTCAGCTGAAGACTGCAGGTTATAGGAACGTTGACGTACAGAATTTCACAACTAGTTGGCGTGATGGTTTGGCTTTCAACGCTCTTATTCATAAACATCGTCCAGATCTGGTCAATTTTGATGAATTATCAGTAAATACACCACTGCAAAATTTGGAGTCTGCTTTTATAGTTGCGGAAAAAAAGTTGGGCATATCCAGGCTCTTTGATCCTGAAGACATATATGTTCAACAGCCAGATGAAAAATCCATTGTTACATACGTCGCTACATATTATCATTACTTTTCAAGGATGAAATCAGAAACTGTTCATGCTCGCCGTTTAGAAAAGTTTATTACTTACTGGCGCGATCTCCAAAGTTCTTTCAACTGGTACGAAAGGCGTGCATCAGATCTTTTGTCATGGATCGCCAAAACAGTTTTATGGTTGAATGATCGCCGTTTCCCCAATCAAGTTGAAGAAATTCAACAAATTATGGTCTCATTTAAAGAATATCGTCTTCAAGAAAAGTCAGATAAGTTCAGTGATAAAGGTGAGCTTGAGGCTCATTTTCTTTTAACACGTTCAAAAATGAGAACGCTAGGACTTAGAAACTATATACCATCTACAGAAGCACAAATATCGCAGCTCAATCGCGCATGGAATGCCTTAGAGAAAGCTGAGTATGGACGTGAATTAGCATTGAGAGAAGAGCTTGACAAGCAAAAGCGTTTATTGCATTTGTTTTCACGTTATGAAAAGAAAGCTAATCTGAGAAAAGCTTGGATTAATGACAATTTCAAATTAGTTGAGGTTTGCGATGATGATACGAACTTAGCAATGACTGAAGCCTCATTAAAAAAGTATGAAGCCTTAAAAGCTGATATTTATGCATATTTCGATAGAATACAGACAATTCAACAAATTGCTGATGAACTCATTGGCAACAACTTTTTTAAACAAGATGTTGTTTCTAAAGTTCAAAACGAAATTCAGAGTATGTGGGATCAGCTCTTAAAAGTAATGAATGAAAGATACAAAATTCTGGAAAACAGAAAAATTCTTTTTAAAAAATTTTCAGAAACAGATTATCTTATGGAATCTATACAATCACTTTTATCTAAATTACAAATCGATAAATTTGGTAATCATTTAGCTGCTATCGAAGAACGTTTAAAACAGTATGAATTGATTGAAACAGATATACGTTCAATTCACCGAAATATATCAGTCCTATTTGAATTAGAATCTCAAATTGAATACTCTCCAGAATTATTTGGTTTCAAAACAAATATTGTGGTAGTTGAAATTAAAAAGCAAAACAATCTGTTAAAGGATGCCTATTCACAACTTGTACAATTAGTGGAATCTAAGAGACAGTCTATAGAATTTTCGAAACTCTATCATAGTTCAGAAAATGAATTAGATGAACAACTAATTTCAATACAGGAACGTATATCATTCTTGCAAAAAAGTGAAACATTAGTTGACAACGGTAATATTGATGTTTTCTTTAGACGACATAAAACAGCTGAATCTGAATTAGAAACACAAAGATTGGTCATCACCAAACTATTTGAACGAACTTCACGTTTAATTGAAGAAGAATGCCCGAATTATGAAACTTTAAAACAAAAAGTGTCAAGCGTTGAAAGAGCCTGGGAACAACTGATAAATTTAATGGCTAAACGTAAAACCAATTTATTATTTATGAAAGATTTGCGTTCTTTTGTGTTGAGTTGTGACGATGCTGATACATGGATATCTGAAAAATATGAACTAAGTTCAAGTACAATGCATCTTGCTATGCAAACTGACAGTAGTTATACCATAGAAAAATTGACAAAACAACATCAAGAAACTATATCCAATTTGGATAACTTCCAAACCACTGTAGATCAATTGAAACTTCAAGCAGACGAGTTATTAGGATATGTAGACTGTTTGTATGTTTCAGCAGATAAAGATGTTCAATCAAAAGAACTTATTTCGGAGACTACCATAAAATCTAAGAGTGAGATTGGAAATTTAATAAAGAATAGAATAAAAAGTCTCTTAGATTCGTTTTCCGTTCTTAGTGGATGTATTCGTCAGACACAGTTACTTCTTTTGGACGCTGTATCTTTACATCAGCTATTCCAAATGGCTTCATCAACGTATAGCTGGATCACTGAAAAAGAAGTTTACATCCAACTGTTAATAATGGACGATCTAAAAGAAGAAGAGTTTTCTAAGATTATCGAAGGTGATGTCAGTACTAATCAAGGGTTAATTCAAAGATTGGAAATTGTTAAAAATCGATTTTCTGATCTAGAAGAGCAAATGAGTATAGCAGCTGAGCAAGTAAGCGAATTTGCAAATCATCTGTTGTCTAATTTTCCGTTTGTTCGTAGTATTAAGCAACTATGTTAGGGAGATCCATTAAATTGAACCAGCGTTTATTTAAGGCTATTCTGTAAATAAGCGATAATTTAATGGGTTGTTAGGATGATATTCAATGTAAAACATTGATATCTTGTAAGCTAGCTTTTCAACTAAAACGTTTTGTGAGTCTAATGTTGCAACACGAGCTTGATTGCATTCCTGAAGTTGGTCAGATTGCAATTTGAGTTTGACTTCAAACAATACACTATAGCATCGTATTATTAAATATCAAGGTTTCCTAAAACAAGTTCAAATTAACTTACTTCTTACTTCTTTTATGCTTCTAAATGATCTTTTGGTTTCCATAGTCTGATGATGTGTTGAATTCAGCTCACGTAATGTGTGATTCATTCACTTTTACTTTAGAATATTGAAGTTTATTGCAGAACTTTGTTGTCGATTTTGTGCTCTGACGAAGAAACTATCATAGAAAGCCAAACAATATGTAACACAGACATTCGATCTAATTACAGAATTTCGGAAAGTAAACATGCCACCGGGATAAGCTCATAAGGTTTTTCTATTATTCAATACTAAGGTTCTTGATGATATATTTGTACTAACGATGTTTAGAAGTTAATGCATGTTTGTATACCATAATGTTTTTTAACACTTCTCAGCATGTTTATCACCTTCCTAAATAATCAATTTAGAAAACTTCTATACCTAAGAGGAATTCATATAAAGTCATATTAATGACTATTTTAATAATAATGAATTGATTACCCTCCTCATTTCACAGTGTTGAAAGTACGTTATAAATCTATTTTGTTAGTTTGGTAATTTTCGAGAAGTAAGACAGATCAAACACCAGTATGCTATACTAAGGTTTAACAAATATAATTGAAATAACTTATTTTTAATAATCTTTACTTTCTAATTTACGTGATAAAGTAACTGTTCACAATACTGTCTAACAAATCTTATATTCCAGGCTTACTGCCAATCCATAAATTAATTTAATGGATCCCTTCTTACATCTTAGCTATGTAGCTCATTCTTACATTGATAGTTAAAACGAGATACTTATACGGAAAAATAGGAAATTACCGAGTTTTAAGAAAATATCTGAAGCACTGTTTCTTTGGGCTTTCTAAATTCTATTTTTTTAGAACAGTATAACTACTGTACATCACTATTATATGGTATGAATTTATCGCTATCGTTCTTTCATGACCGAAACTTTAGTTTAATTGATAAAGAGGTTACATAAATTATTCAGATAGACTGTATGACAAGCAAGTGATTGATTAGCTTATTACTTTTTACAAAAATAAGTTAAATATTCATTATTATTTCTCATATTGACCTTCTGAAAATATTGTTTTTTTAAAAAGAAATTCTTAATATGAAATAAATATTTAGGTATCCACTGTGAACATGATGATTGCTAATTTTTTAAATGAACCAAAAAGAGATGATCAATCATTAGTTAATAAAGAAATGACAATAGAAAAAGTTATCAATCTACAGGATCATTTAAACTCTGCTTGGAATAGAATTGCTGATACAGTCGAATCACATAGAGATCGGATTGTCGAAGAATCATTATATATTAATTTATTCATTGAATGTAAATATACATCTGAATGGATTGCCGAAAAAGAAGCAGTATTATTTTCAACCGATTCCATTGATGCTAATAGTTTAACTGGTTTGGTAGAATTGAGAAGACGTTTGTTTAACTTACAAGGTGATTTAAAAGCAATTGAAGCACGTGTTCAAAATATTGGTGAACGTATAGGAGAATTGTTAAGAATGGCAGAACAACAAGAAATTGCATACGATGAACAAGATATAAAATTAAAGTCTAAACGAAGAGCAGATTACTTAATGAAAGAACACATGAAACTAACACAGCAGTGGCTTGATTTAAAAGAAGCACTTAAACAAAGAGCTAATCGAATATCTACTGAAGGTCAAGTTAATCGTTTTCTTGAGAAACTTGATTCATTTCAAGATTGGATAAGAAAATTGAAAACTGATGTGTTTGTTCGGGAATTTCCAAGTGATTTACAGGTAAGTTTAGCTGTAAGAATAATTTTATTAGTTTCTAAGGAATCCATTTATTAAATAAGTCTATATAATGCATAATTGTATTTGTTTTTACCCTCAACTCAAGGTTTCGTTATTAGAAATCATGAAGTTTAACCTTAGTTGTAGATAAAAGTGTTTTATGCCACTAATCAATACCAAGATATAAATCACTCAGTTTCTCAGTGATGGTTAGTTGTTTCACCATGTATCTGCTACCCTAACATGGTGGTCGAGCTTGCCTATCGTGATGACCCAACCGAGCTATATTGGATGGGGCATGTGTTCCTGCCGGTTCTACCATGCCAGGCAGGTCGATTGGAGAACGAAGAGACTAAAAGCAGCTAATCAAGGTCTGAGGACGAAGTCATACTGCTGACTGTACAGGGGTGTGACAGCAGTAAGGTGTTTCCCTCGGACAACCATCATCTGCAACGATACTGCTTTCTCACAAGGAAGGAAGAGGTAAGAAAAGGTCGACGCTAAAGATGTCAAACCTCACCTTACCTCACGGATTTCCGTCCCCGGTGGTGAGGCCTTTTAAACAAGGATGAAGCTGACACTTTGAATACTACCCATAAAAACGCCATGCATGACCGTCCTGAAGCAGTTGTCCCGTGGACTCTGCGGTCATGCTCCCAGGTCTCTAAGACCAACACTAATCTATCTTCATTCTCAGGTCCCTCAAGAAACAAACACCTTTCCATGGTGTGGGCAGCCGGATAGTGACAACCGCCCTCATACCCGTAAAAGCACATGAGACCGAATTGGTCAAAATCAATTCCTTCCTACACCCCCTGATATCTCTCTTATCTCCACGACTAGCTTAACTCACACTCCTTAGTCTCCCTGCACAGCTAATGCAAACGATGCGAGTTCACGAAAAGTTATTTCTGGTCTTCTGAAACCCCGTTCTAAATTTCATGTTGGAGTATTTAATATTCGGAAATTGTTTCGAATAGGACAATAGGCTTCCTTAGCTAGGACTCTGGAATCCCGTGCAATCGATGTAAATTGCGTCTGCTAAACACGTACACAGGATCCGAGCAAAATTATTAGCTTAGTTTCACCTTGCTTAGATCGAGAATCAACTCGGTTCACGCCTCGTGTTTCTACAAGCCTTAATGCCGCTTCTCGTGGCCTCGCCGGTGTAGGCATTGTATTAAGTCCTAGGGCAAAACAAGCTCTCTTAGACGGGATCCCGATAGACAGTGGCTTATGCACTGTTCGACTAAACGGGACGGTACAGAGTCGGAGGGATACGGACACTCGCGGTTGCCTCGTCGTCGTATCTGCCTACGCTCCCACTGACTGCAGTTCAGACGAGGTGAGAGATGAGTTTTACAGAAAGCTTTCGGACCTCCTCCAAAAAGTCGGACACTCTGATAAAGTAATAATGGCTGGTAACTTAAGTGCCCAAGTAGGTAGATTTTACGGTGTCGCGGCTAATAGTACACATAATGGCGACCATCTGTTTCAACTATCCTCAGATAACCGCCTACTTCTAGCAAACACTAGACCCAACTAGATGGAGGGGTTCAGTAGAGGACTGTTGCTCGTTCTGGGGCACATGTCTAGATTCAGATCATGCTCCAGTGAGAGCATGTGTTTGTTTGGGACTTACTGGACGTAAGAAAAACACCGCAATAAAACCTATTGTGGTTCTACCTAATGATAGCATATCCATGAATATATTTCAGGAACAATTAGAAAAACACGTAGCCCGGAACGATACCCAAAAGCTGTTGAAGCAGCAGTGATAAAGTTATGGAGAAACTGTGGATCTCAGAAGCAACTGTCGAACTGACAGATGCTCGGAAACACATCGCACTTGACTGTCAACATGACGAATAGCGAAGTCAGCTTAAGCGCAGGCTGATAAAACGCCTACGCAATCATCGCAAACAGTGGTGGATAGCTAAAGCAAGAGAGATGGAAATAGCGGTGGCGATGGTTAACAGTAGACAACTGTTCCGACTTATCAAGAAAACTGGTACCATGAATCGATCTGTCAATGAAATCATCTCAGAAAAAGATGATTGTATCATAATTTCTCAACCCAGGAGATTGGATCAATGCGCAGAACATATAAGGTTTCAATGTAACTGGCAGTCAGCCACACTTTGGTAGCCCACTATCTCCACTCATCCTGAATGGTAAATCAATGCCAAACCTCTGAGTCTATGAAGTTAATAAAGCTACAGGAAATCTGAAAAAAGGAAGAGCACCAGGGCCGGACAGGCTTACCCCTGAGATTTTTAAGGATGGTGGTCCATCCTCAGCACTTACATTGACTGAGATCTTAGGTAGAATCTGGTAACTGGGTGTAATCGCATCCGACTGGTCTCAATCCCTGATTGTCCAGTTTATAAGAAATGACAAAAGTCCTCTTTTGACAATCACAGGGGAACCAGTTTGACAAAATAGTACCTCAAATATTTCACTCATCAATACTCGAACGTCTAACTTGAGTTCGTGAAGAACAGAATACAGAAAACCAGATTGTTTTTCGACCTGGACCTGGCTGTATGAACCAGATATTCAAACTTCGTCAGGTCCTAGAACATAGACGCACGTTCAGACACCCAACAATGGTAATATTTCTCGACCTTAAAGCAGCATTTGACTCCATTGATCGTGAGCATCTTTGGAAGTGTCTGTCATTAAAAGGAGTACAAGAGAAGTACATTGATCTTAAACAAGCTCTCTACTTGAATACTACTGGTTGAGTGAGAGCTTATGGTGAACTGTCATCGGAATTCTTTACTTCGAGTGGTGTCCATCAGAGATACCCACACTCTCCATTCTTAATTTAACCTTATCATAAACATGCTTTTGGAGGTAAAATTATCTTCTGACTTTTCAAGGATGGATCTCCTACCAGGAGACACGCTTGTTGACTTAGAATATGCCGATGGCATTGTTCTACTTGGTAAAGACGCTGACAAAATGCACGCTCTTCTGACTACCCTAAGCAACAATGCAAGCATGTTCAGGATATGATTCTCGCCGTGGAAATGCGAAATGTTGCTTCAGTATTGGTTTGTATAGTCACCTAAACTACTAATAAAGGGTGAAGCAGCTGAGCGTGTCGACCGCTCCACTTATGTCGGGGGTCTCATCAGTGCTGATGACCTGATGACTGATGAAATCTCAGCACGGATACAGTAGGCTCAGTTGTCTTTCGCCAACTTGCGTCACTTATGGTGGAGGCGAGATATACATCAGCTAACCAAAGGACGAGTGTACCGTGCAGTAATTCGCTCCGTCTTACTTTATGGCTGTGAGTAGAACATATTCGTAGGTTACTGCTTTTCGATCATAGGTGTCTTCGAAGCATTGCTTGTATATCCTGGGACAGCCGAGTGAGCGGCGCTGTTATTAGGAAACGGGTGCTAGGTAAGGATGGAAGATCAATAGATGAAGTAATGAAACTTCATCAGTTGAGGTGATTGGGATATGTGTTACGAATGTTTTGTGGTATAGGGGTAGGTTGGAAGAAAGCTAGGGACAGCCTAACCAAAACATGTCACAAATCCATGAAGTCACTGACAAGTGGACTGAGTTATGTTGGTAGATGTAGGCTACCTGGTTGGGGTCCGCGGACGATGGTAACCGATGGTTAGAGACGTTGAACGACATGGCTCAAAATCGTTTGCAATGGTGCAGGTGCATCCACTCGTTATGTTCTATGAAGTTCTAATCTTCTGAGTTCGTTATGACCTATCTTTCTCTTTTTAAGTAAGGTCACTGGCTTATACTTCGTGTATAATATCTTCGAACCTTTATCTTTATTACCGCTAATATTTCTACTACCTCTACTGTTATGGGATTGGAATCGACAACTTCATCTCTCTTTACTAATCTTGTGTGGCAACCTGAACTAATGTACGTACGTACCTCGTTCTACGTTGTAGGTGACTAACTGAATTCTTCACGTGAACCGAAAAACCGGATTTTCAGCTTAATGTCAATTACATTGTAACAGTTAAAATAATTGATGATAAACTGTGATATCAGAGATGCATTCGATAATGTAGACTGCATCAAATATTCACATCTAATAGCCAGCTCGATGGTACCATACTTCATATCACACTTTTTATGAGACAATCCATATTTAATCAAAGAATACGCAGAGAGATGTACACTTGAAGTGATATGTCTAGTTATATCTTATCACCACTAAAGTGTATCTAAACTCGTTAAGTAGACTAGGATACTCATGGCATAATTCACTGAGAATGGAACCGTTATTGCCCAAAAATAAGTACAAAGATTTGAATGATCATGAACATTTTCTAGTTCCAACGTGATTAGATCTCACTATATTTGTCACTTAACATTAAAACATATCGTACTTATAAATGTGTCTATTCCCTCACGAATAATGCAGTTAGAGGTTCAGTAAAAGCATAAAAATTATTGAATCAATCTGTTGACTTATACATTATTCATTTACTTATCAATGTGTTCGTACAAAAAAAGGAAATCACCTTTTTTGATGGTAGATTATAGTCTGATTAAATGGTCTACTTAATTTTTAATCATTTATCAGTTCAACCAGTTGAATAATAACTTAAAATGAGCTTGGAACATACTGCAATTAAAAAAAAATAGTTTGTTCTACTCCAGTAAACTTATTTGATAGCATATGTTCAATACAGTTAATACGTAATTTTATTCATTATCAAATAGAAAGTACAATTTGTAAGAACTATTTTTTAGTTTGTATTCACGATTATTTGTTTGCTAAAGTATTGATATTTATTTCACTTAGTATGAATACATTTATATGTTGGATAGCTTTATATGTAACTGTATTCACAAAGTTTACTGGTTATTTAAAGGTTACTTACTGAGTTCAGTGTTAGAGCTTTCAATCGGTACGACACAGTATTTGTTAATTGAAAACATTAAAAATCATGGTATTGCCTCTACTTTTATTTCAAAATTTAGCAGTGAATTTATTCTTATAATACTAATCTACTAAATGGTGTTTATGAACTTCAACTGCTGAACCTATTCACTGAATATTCTTTACATGGAATGTCTCTTCTTTTAACTTAGGTTTTGTTGAGCATATGCTTAAACCGAAAAATAGTTTATAATAACTGTACTATTACCGTTGAGGGTTTCGAGTTCTTTGAGCTAAATGACTTAATTTCAAAGCTTTTATTCTGGTTCCGATCCTTAAATCAGTTTACGGCGGTGGCCTTGTTGATGATTGGTGTTCATCATTTGCTTAGTTGTCTCTGGTTTTCCATGTTTTCGAGTTGATTATTTTGTTCTGTTGATCTCTGATCATGTTATTGATCAACCTTTTTCGAATTGGTTGATAGTTTGGGTTTCATTCGATACATATGTTGATCGTCTTTACTAAGTCACGCGGAGGTGCCACAAGGAGCTGTTCTTTCCCCTTTATTTTCTCGTTTTTTTCTACATGATGATTTCACTGTGTGTACACTGATTTCTCCCTCTTCGCATTCCCTGGAAATGAATGAGTTCTTATTGCTCAGTGAACGATGGTCTGTCATTATTGATCTCACACTTCATCTTTCAAAATTTCAAGCTATTAACTTTAATCTGAGACAAGAACAGGACTTGTTGGAATCCCATAAAGTTAGTGCCATTTGAGATTGCATAATAAAACAATATCGAAGGCCTTCTATCTTGGTGTAAGTTTTCCTTCTGATTCCTCTTGATCTTCTCATGTTTTATTGATGCCAATGAAAGTTTTCCATTAGACGTATTTTAAAGAGAGGATACATGCATTTACTTACTTTTACGCTCAGTAAACTTGCATAATGCTTATTATCCTTTACTGTTCTCCATTATTCTTCCCTGTGCTTTTGACAAACAATTTTGCCATGTTGCGGAGAACGCTGAAGGTATTTGGCAGAGTCTGTGGTGAATCTTTTGCAGTCATTATGAATATAGGGGTGGATAGACATTTAAAAACGTTCAAACTCCTGAAACGTGTTATCTTATCTGATACTAACCATCCTCTTTATTCATGTCTTTATCCTTGTATATCTTCTGGCACAGCAAGACAACGATACATTAGAGTAGGTGCGTGCAAGCAAGGATAAGAAGAGCTCTAGGTTACCTTATTCAGCAAATATACTATATAACGAACATGTTGTAAGAACTGACCTAGTCAAAAACTTATATTCCTAAACATGTTCCGACCTGATAAAATTGTATAGATTCTCACCACCTGAAGAAAAACATTTCGTTCAAATTCGAGATTGTTTATTGGATTGTTTTAATGTACATAGGTATATATTTATTAGCATTTTCAGTTAATTTTCTAAAACGAACTTGTTAAAATATTCCGTACTGGGAATTCCATAGTGTATTAAATAACGCCATAATTACATTTACAATAATAATAATATTAGTAATGATAATAATAATAATAATAACATGACTCAGTCCACTTGTCAGTGACTTCATGGATTTGTGACATGTTTTGGTTTGGCCACCCCTAGCTTTTTCTCAACCTACTCCCACACCATAAAACATTGCGCGTTAAGGCAGTCGGTGATTGGGCATTCATAACACATGTCCCAACCACCTCAACTGATGAAGTTTCACTACTTCATCTATTGATTTGCCATCGTACTCGCTTCCTAACGACAGCATTGCTTACTCGGTTGTTACAGGATACACAAGCAATGCTTTGAAGACATCTGTAATCGAACATTAATAACCTACGAGTATCACCATCTCTTACGGTTCATGTTTCGCATCCATGAAATGGGACGGAACGAACTACTGCACTGTACACTTGTCGTTTGGTTAGCAGATGGATATCTGGCTTACACCATAAGTGACGCAAGTTGGCGAGAGACAACTGAGCTAATTGACCTGAATGCCATACTTTCTGAATGTGTCAAGCAGTGGTAAAATTTTTTCGTGCCATTCACTCACTTCGGTGATAGCATATTGTGTCGTCCCACTGGTAGTTTGCGTTTGAATTTTCAAAAGATCGTCTCGAGATAACAATTGGGATTTTTAGTAAAGTATCCAAATGCTTGGATTGATAAATCCTATTTGTCCGTGAAATTAGTATGTTGGTAGATCAATATTTTGACTAATACAACCTATATTTCTAAATTAAATCAAAATGGATTTTAATAAAATGATACTAAATTTGAAAATTAGCCTTCAATGAAACATCGGTAATGTGTTATGGTTATCTATAAAAAATTTTCAGGAAACTGAAAATCGTCTAACAGTTATAGAACGAAGTGCTCAAGAAATCAAAGATTATGAAAGTGAAGCAAATCAACTATTTGAAACCGGGAGACAATTGCTTAAAGGTTACTATGATACACCTCATATTATGTTAGGACAGCGGTTAGCCGGACTTGAAGAAGATTGGAAATCAATTCAAAGTTCAATGATCAATTGTACTACTCGACTTCAAGAACGTTATGCTTTGCAGGTAATTTTTAATGCTTTTTTCATAAGTAGTCTATTTTAAACAATTTTTACTATGCTAACAACCTTCATGACAATATTTATATTAAAAATTTTCCATTATCATTTATATTTGAGTTTGTACATAATTATTCATCAACCTATTTATGCATGGCATGGAGTACTCGCCAAGCACACTTAGAATTAGGTGTATTTCTTAAGGAATCTTTCCTTGGGCCATTGATCTAAGAGTCTTATCTACAAAGCAATGGATCAACGTCATGAAATGTATTCCGATGATGGTCAGCGTGCAGAACAGATATTTAAATCATACTTCCATTTCTTGGAGCCTATGTACACCATTGGTTCGAGATCATAGTTTTCCAACAATCCTTGATTAACTCTTCACTATTTTGGTTTAAGCTCTAAATACCAGCTTTTCATCCTCTCACATTCGTAACAATACTCCTTCAACTTGGTGTTCAGTGAGCAGGAATTTCTTAATAAAAGCTAGAAGTACGTTGGTGTATGGAAGCGTTTATAAGGGGAGAACGAATTCTCCTATAAATTTATTAAGAATGAAAAATCTATCATGTTTTACTGAATACTCGTCATTTTACTTCGTAAACTTACTGAATTTCGAAGTGTGAATCACAACATTTTGACTTACCACTTATCGCATAGATTTGAAATGCACTTTCATAAGCTATCAAATGTCTACATCACTGAGGAGTTCTATAGTATGATTGAAATGGATTATTGTGTTTCTTACCTTCAAATAGTTTTTTGAATGATGTCAGTCTATAACAAAAACTATTTTCAAATTGAGATAATTTCTACAAACCGACCGAATATAATAAAAAGGCAAGTTTATTCTGTACGAATAAAGTTAATGCAGAAAGCGAATTAAATCAATTCCACTACACAATAATCATTTTTTACATAACATTCAATTGTCCTTAATTCTTAACAATCATTACAATAGTTAGTGTGATAATATTTATTTTTCTAAATTATAAATAGCTCGTATATATTTAATTGACACTGTTGATTTGTATATTAGTGCTCATATATTTTACTGTTACAATTTGTTCATGAATTGTGTTAGATGAAATACAATTTGATTTAAACGACTGACCAATTGATTTATACAGTTTCAGTTAAAATCGTAAAAATTTACCTTAATCGAAACATTATTTTTATTCGTAATCTGATGAATTTGATTTGGTAATAGTAACAAAATTGTTAATGCACCGAAACTAAACTGTATGAAATAAAAAGCCTCAGATATACTTCATAAAGCTTCAAAATAATAATACTAAAATATACCCTTGAAACATTTTCATTGTTGGTTTATTTCTATATATTTTAAGGTTTGTAAATAATACTTTTTTTCTGTGATTTTCTATCAGTTGCGTTAATTGTTTGTTAATAAAAAAAATACTTCCTATTTCAATTAAATATAATGATAGAATGTAATTAGTGTTTCACTCGTCAGTCTTGAATGATACTAGAAGTGCATTCAGACATTCTTTACGTTTCTTAGAGGTCTCTAACAAAAAATAGCATTTGTAATGAAAACTATGTTTACTGGGATGCATGTGTTACAGACTTGCGAAGGGGATTTTTGTAAGTAATTTTTTCTAAATTAACAAGATCGTGCTACAAAAGGTATGTACCTTTTAGTATCCAAATTTACCTATTCGTTCTTACCTATCTGAAGAGGCAGGATCGCCGAAATTACTGACAACCCCTAAACAACACCATTATATACGAACTAAATTATTATGAACAATTTTCGCAGAATACTTATGAGTTTTATAAATTATTAAAGATAACTAGCAAAGTCATATTGTTTAAATAATTTGTGATTTTGATATTCAATTACGTACTTACTAAGGCTTGTTACCCCCAATAGAGCATAGGCCGCCTACCAGTATTCTCCAACCTATTCTGTCGTGAGCTTCCCTTTCCAGTTCTTTACAATTTTTGTTCATTCTTCTCATATCTTTCTATTTCTCGGCGTAATGTGTTTCTTGGCCTTCGTCTTTTTCTCTGGCCTTGAGGGTTCCAAGTAAGGGCTTGTCTTTTGATGCAGTTGGGTGCTTTCCTCAATATGTGTCTCTCTCTAGGTATGCTTAAAACTATTACGGGTTCACCTTAGTCTAATTACAAGAACAAAACAATGAACCAGCGTCCAGGTTGGCTAGGGTAATCCGATTGTCCTAACTGTACCGGCAAGAAGTCTTGTTATAGCGTCGAAAGTGTATTCTACAGACACCCAGCCAGCACACAATGAATCCAGGCACTCAAGTTGCGTTTATTTATATTCCATAGAGACGTCCTTGGGAGAGTCACAAAAATAGCACAGTAAAATACACAGTAACCAATCACAGCCAAGGATTTTGCTAGTGGGAAATGTGATCTCAAGGTCAACTGATCAGCCCATGGAATAAATCCAAAATGAATATATTTATCAATCGAGTTCTGTGGATCTAACATCTCCAACAGTGTCCTATCCACTTCCACCGTTTCTTCCTGATTTCCTCCTCCGTTGTTCTCTCCCACAGTGGGTTGTTGTTGGTGGTATCTGGCCAACTGACTCGAAGTATCATGTGTAGACAACTGTTATTGAATACTTGTATGTTCTGGGTGATGGCTTTCAATATGGTATATAAAGATTTAACCAGTGATCTAACTCACTATGACTGTGAACATTGATGTGATTGAATTACATTGACTATTCATTTATAGTAAATTTCAAATCACTGAAATTAGCTTAAAAATAAGGTTACAGAATTTTTTGGATTTTTCTCCGCATTGTTCACTAATAGTTAGTACAAAACACCATAAATATCTCTTGTAATTTTTTCTAGAATTGTATTTATTTGAGCGACTCTTCTTTTACTGTTTTTTCTAAAAAGTGTTTCTTAGCTGAATCTGCGTTACTTGAAGTGACTCTGGATCAACAGGCTACGTTTTTGGCTAAAGAAGAAGCATTAGTGAGTTTACTGCCATCTTGATAAAATCATGCTTTAATAATTTTCCAATGGCGTTTATAAGTCATCACCAACTGTCATCATCAAAGTCATCATCAACTGCTAAAAAATATCAAATTATTTCACTGGTCGTATTCATGCATTAACATATGCCTTGATAATTAAAACATTCAAACAATTGAGTTATGTGACTGAGTTTTGGATTGTTTAGCAAACATTGAGATTGTGGATTCATAGTGCTATGAAGTCTCAAACAAGCATTAAAAAAGCTATGACTAATATTTATTCTCCGGCTAATATCAGTTTGTAATTAAAAAGAAATTTGTTGTGTAATATACTCTTTACTTTAGGATGGTGGAGAAGGTTGAGTTGCTTTGAAATCATCAATCGATCAATGTTAGGCTAAATTAGAAATTGATTCCTTTGAATAGTGGGGGTCGTGTATGCACACTGCTGCTGAGGCCCATATCATCACGAAACGGCCGTCCAGTGTTTCTAGGATTCTAGTGGTGGTCTAAAATTGATCGATTCATCATTTCGAAGTAATAATATCTTGACCATTATTTATACTTATCGTGCTTTTTGTGTTTACTTTTTTCAATATTTTGATTGGCAATCGCATCCGACATTTTTACATTAGATCTGTAATTACACATTGATATTATGAATGGATCATTGTAAGACCATTATAAGAAGCCTTAAAGCACTGGACAGCCGTTTCATCCTGGTATGGGACTCATCAGCAGTGTGCATCCACGACTCCAGCTAATCGCGGGAATCGAACCCTGGACCTTCGGTCTTGACCTCTATACCAATGAACCTGCATACTACCGCGTTAATATCTAACTCTGATCAGTCTAAGGATTTCGTGCAACCTCACTCACTATCTTCGGTAATAACTGCCTACACCCGACAAGGTCGAACTCCACTGTTCATGTCTTCTCACTACAACTCCTAGAATTTCCTCACTGAGCTGGTCAATAGTGAGCAAATTTTTTGAGTTTGCATTATTGTATGATGGTTTAACAATGCTTTATTCATCGTTTCGAGGTGTAAAAACAGCGGTCGTCATAATACTCTGATGCAAGATCTATGGCTGTGTAGCCAAAGACTGAGACTGAACTCTAAAAAAAATGTATAGAAAAACAAAACATAATGGCATGTTTTTTTGTTTATTCACATGTTTTCACTGTTTCTGTTTAGTTGTAGTATGACTGATATACTAATGAAGATAAATAATCATTTCATTGTATAAAGGTTTTGTAATAACGTTTTTTTTACTTTCAGAAACAACATCTGAAGCATTTACATTTATCTATAATCTATCTATTAAATGTATAAATTAAAGGTTCTAGTACATTGTTAAAGTGTTGACAAAACTAAATCTCAGAAATCTAGTTTTCTTTTAAAAGTTAACCTAGAAGAAAATATTCGAAAATGATTGGCAATTGCATTCATATCTATTCATATTACAATATATTTCTCTATTATTTATCTATATTTCTACATTTTATATTTATAGACAAATCTAGATGCTGTTCATGATATTCAAAAACAATATGAAACATTTCGTTTCTCTTTATTGGCTTGTAAAGATCGAGTTGATGCTGCTTTAGAATTAGGTAGAAGTGTAGCTGAAAAAAATCCAGCAAATCGTGATCGTGCATTAGCTAAATGTGAATTATTTCAGCAAAGGTAAATTGTGTACAATGAAGATATCAATGTTGATTTATTCTTATTATTTTCTTTTAAATTGTCTGATTTGACATGATAGATAATGTGATAAAATGTTATAATTAACATGTAATTTTAGGAGAACTTCCTGAAAATTGGTTCTAATGTAAAAGTTGTATTCGTCGAAAATTGAATGACATATTTTGAACTCCCCTAATCACGACTTTCTGGACTGCATATATTTCTTCTGTACACATAGTTCCGGTATTTTATTCTAAATGGTTATTATTCTTGCCGTTTGAGGACTTGGAGATGAATTACCTACAGAAGTCACTTCAATTTATGTCTGTCGATTCGACTGCTAATGTGGAGGAAGTATAGTGGTCGAAGTCCTAGGAATTCACATTTTCATGCGCGTGGACATTTTCTAGTGTCGCTGAATAACTATGTAGTCAAGAAAGTGGACAACTTAGTACTATTTTATTTAGTCTAAGCTGATCATAGCTCCACTATAGATCAACCTTTTTCAATTATTTATCGGATCAGTAACTTTTTGTAAAACGACAGAAAGAATAACAGTTTGGGTTAGAAGACCGAAACTCTGTATAAAGTTTTAATACAACCCCTTCACTTACATTGGCTTCAAATTCACACACAATAAATAAATACTAATCGTAACTGTAAAATGACCGAATTTTATGAATAATATACATAAACTTTCTTAGTCAAGTATTATTGTCTGCATTATTTTTGTTCACATATCTTTGTTTTCGTCTTTTCCTTGTTCTTATTATGATGATTACTATCAGTGGTATTGTTTTATTATTATTATTATTATTATTATTATTATTAGTTTAGCATCATTATTAATCTTTCGAGTATATGATTGATTAATTTACTTAGCAGTCATTTCCTATTTCATTAATAGAACTATATGTCCAGTAAACTATCGATAGCATTAGTAATTGCCCTGTTATTTCTCCCGCACCTTACCTGACCTGTTTTCTATTGTATGCGTTATTTTTATAGTTTCAATTCACATTTGTCATTTAAACATTAACAGTTGTTTTATATTACAAACAATTCTAAATTTTTACACATTTGAAATCATCAATCAATCATTGTTAGACCACCATTAGAAACCTGGAAGCAATGGGCGGCCGTTTCGTCCTCGTACGGGACTCATCAGCGACGCGCATCCACGACTCTTGCACCTCGTAGGATTCGAACTAGGGACCTTCGGTATTGTGAGCGAACGCCTAAAATGTGCTCACAAGTGACTAGCTTCGTTTCCTACATTCTCGGACAAAACAAATTGATCATTGATTTCAAATTGGCATGAAAGTAAAACAACAAGAGAGAATACTTGATGAAAATTGATGTATGATTACTTAGAATGACTGAAATGTTTGTTACCGTCCAAAAAAAATTAAATCAATAAATCTGTCGTTTGTTATCATCATCGGTACAATTAGTTTGTTTGTTTTTTCTTCTTGTAATTGATTGATTGCATTCAAAGATAAGCAATTTTTCATGAAATGGTATCTTCATGTTTTTTTTTAGGAAAAAAATATAGTTTATCTACATCTGCTTTATCTGATGATATGCAGTCTATAGTTTGTGCAATTTCCACCCTCTGCTAAAATTATTAGTAAATATCTTTTACAGAATAATTTCTATCAACATCATCATCAGCATCAGCATCAACATTGTCGTCGTTGTCGCTATTGTTTTTATTGTTGGCAATAGTGATATGAGTTTTTTTTTCTAAAACAAAAACAAAAGATAATAATAGGGTTAACGTTGTCATGACATCGTCTACATATTTTGTGTGTTAGGTAGGAGGAGAGAGAAAAAACAAAAAAACAAACAATAGAGAGGAGAAATAAAAAGGCAATATATTTATTTTAAGTATACAAAACAAAAAATATCACTGATTTTTGTTTAAAGCCAAAAAAATAAAAAGAGATATCTGATCATTTTAATGAAAATGAAGAACTTTTACTGTTCATCCATACATTTTGTTGTACATATATATTTTTTTTCTCCGGTAAAAATTAATCATAGCGTTTTTGACTGCATGACTTGTATGTTATGTCAGTGAATATCATTCATATGCATCATATTCATCATATTCATTGTGTTTTTATTTGATAGTCACTTTAATCCACACTTTAATATGAATCATTTTACTTATGTGAACGTGAATTTGTTTTTAGATAATTCGCGTACTTGTGAATATCTAGTAATTATTTTATTGTATTAAGTAATGGAGATTTTCGATCGATAAGTAATCAATATTACTGACTGTTTGTCCATGATTAACTATATATTGCCAAAAGATTTGGTGAATGGTTAATTTCAGGGACAATGAAAGCGTATTACCTAAGAGTTCATGCGTTTTTGCTTAAGTTATTATGTGTGAATTATGAAAGTGTGTTGGGGATATTAGAGCCCCAGAACTCACTTGATAAAGGACCGAATTTCAGATTTTATGCTTTCGCACATGTACTGATCAGTTGACTTTAAGATTGAATTTACCACCCTGAAAATCCTCGATTGTTATTGTTTGATGTATTATTTTAGTACACTATTTTGTGACGTTTCTATGATGGCTAAATAAATTCGATTTGTGTGTTTGTGAACCTCGTTTTTCTGGGTGCTTGTAGAATACACTTTTACGTCTTGTTGCGACTTCTTCCTCTACCTAGTGGGGCCTTGAAACGCTCGGATTAGGGGTAGCCTCTCGTGTCACTAGATCATTTGTCTTCGCTCTTGTTTGCCGACTAAGATGAACTAGCTATTTTATTCATCAGAGCAATCTTATTAAGATCATACTGATTTTTAATTTATACTGAAATTAGATTGATACTTAATTGATATTTTGTACACTTATAGGAAGTGAAGTATGGCTTGATGTCATTGATTTTTTTGCGATTATCTAAATAGATATACATCTCCAAGTCTATACATACACTTACCGTATACATCTTTTTTTTCTAAACATATGTTTAGTCGAATAATTTATATGACAATTGTGAAACAGGAAATATAGTCAAATAATCATAAAAAGTTATCTGTTGTAGGAGAATTCCAGCTTATAAATTAATTATAAGATGTAAAGTGAAGATGTTAACGCTATATATTATTTAACAAATCAACGTTTAATCATTTTTATTTAAGTGTTGATTGTTTAATGATTTAAAAATTTATTTCTTTTAATATGAATTACATTGATTTAGATTACAGATTAATTTTTCAGCTGCAGTATTATTGCGAAATAATTTCTTATCTATGAAAAACTACTTTATTGGATAACGTTTAAGAAAATAGTGTTATGTTGGAAATGTACAGCAAGCCATTTGCTTTCATAATCTTTAGAAATAAAAGTAATAATCCTACTCTAAAGTCTATAACACTAAACTTCATTCAACGAGAACCAAGAGGAAATAATAACTTGGATGGGTGAGGTTGCGCAAAATCCTTAGGTCAATCAGAGTTAGACATTAAAATCATTAGATGCCTCCCCAGTGGTTCAGAGGTTAGGCGTTTGCGCCCAATACCGAAGGTCCTGGGTTCGAATCCTGTGGGAGACAGGAGTCGTGGATGCGCACTACTGATGAGTCTCATACCAGGACGAAACGGCGGTCCAATGCTTCCAGGTTTCTAATGATGGACTAACAATGATTGATTGATGATTTCAAAAGTGTAAAAACAAGAATAAATATAATTTGGAGAGAGGATTTATTTTTCCTAATGAAAAGATGTCAATGACTAGTTTGTTGAAAAGGAAGATTTCAGAATACTTCATGATTCTAATTAACTGCATCTGTTTTAAATGTCTAATTCAAAAAAAACAATCATAATTTGAACTATTAAAAAAATAATAACTTGATTGAATTAACTAAAGGCATTATGTTGACAAAATTTTTTTTTATTCAAAGATATGAAGCTAATAAAATTAAAACAGAAGAACGAATTGGATATTTACAAGAAAAAGCGCAACTTTATGAATTTTATGAAGAATTGGAAGATGTAAGGTGTATTGTTGTTCATTATTCATAAGTTTTATGATTTATAAATAAAAATAAACGATTTGTAATCAATAATGATTGAATTGTGTTCATGTTTCATTTTGTTTTAATTGATTAACTTGTAAAAATTACCGATGATAGCAAAAAAATGTTTAATGATGTATTTTAAATACACAGAACCTGACTATTGTGTTGGTTATAAGTGAATGCATAGCACTGGATTCTTCATTCCCTCTAGTTTTGACTTTCTAAACTTTTCTCACTGAATCATATTTCTTGAATATCTTCTCATCCTAACCTCTCCGACTACTTCTAATACCTTTACTACCTCTTCTACTATTGGATTTGAATTGACAATTATATCTCTGTGCTGATGTGGTATGGCAACATGAACTGATGTACTTACGTACGAGGTTCTACGTTGCATCTGACTGACTGACTGAATGTATAGCAGTTACTAAAATCAAGTTGAACTAAACTGTTGATTATTAAAGAAGCCATCAAAGGAGAGGGGTTTATAAGAATTCAAATTAACTTGTTATATTATAGTGATATGAACAGTCCGAGTCAGTGAGCAGATATATGTAACATTTGGTCAAGTCATTTGTGCATTGATTTATGTGCAAAGATTATGCTTGATATTATACAAAGACAGAGCATTCTTATAATGTAATGTGTTATGCTATATTGAACCACATCATTTGTGTCCTTTGTATAAATATAATTCCTATGAGAATGTCTCATTGTTATGAAATACATTAAATATTTTCATTTAGTGTAAATTCAGAATATTTTATATTACTGCTATCATATTATATATATATATGTTTACTGATTAACTTCCACATAGGTTGTCTTCGATAAGTAAAGAGATTTTTCGGTTACATTGATTAACTGGAACTTTTAATGGATTCTTTAAAAATGTTTTAAAATTTTCCTTCTGTGAGTCGGTCCGCGATTGCTTGGTTATTATGGTAATCTGTTTATGACACTTTTCATGAACATTGCCATAGTTTATTCAGTTAACCAATTTTATCTGTCACAATTGTTCAAGAGTAGACAACGGTCAGAAACAATAAGAGTGAAATCGAAGCTTACCATGGTTTACCGATTCTCGATGATTAAACTTGACAGTGATAGTAGTTACGTGATATTTCACACACAGATTGGTGATAATTTGTTGAATCCCTAATTTTAATTGATAATAAAGGCTATTAGACGTAATCCAGCTGAAATATGAGCATTTCACTTTATGAAAAAATATCTTTATTGTAAAATTTTGTTTTGTTCATCGGAAAAGAATCAGATGGCCAGGAAATTCCCTAAATTAGAGGCATAAACTCTGAATTATCTAGTCTAATTGTATAAATACAATACCAATTCGTTTTGATGCTAACTGTTTGCTTTTTGATTCAACGTAATATAGTGATCTACATCTATTATTGGTCATTGTCCATATCAGTAGCTTTAAGTGTAAACTTGTTAGCTATCTTGTGAAGGAAATTCTTCATCATATTAGATGATATCAGGAACTATTTTCAACAAAGTAATGTCATTGAAATAATATTACGGGTTTCGAATCTCTATATGTCATTGTGTCCTTCAAAACAACATTCCTGTTCTTGATAGTTTTATCACCATTGTGTGAGTTTGTATATATATTGACTAGTTAGTCTGATTCATATTTAACATTTATCTTCGAGCAGAGTTTTGGAGGTTTGTGTTTTTACACATTTGAAATCATCAATCAAACATTGTTAGACCACCATCAGAAACGTGAAAGCACTGGACGGCCGATTCGTCTTGGTATGGGACACATCAGCAGTGCGCATCCATTAACACTGTTGGATGCCGGCCCAGTGGTCCGATGGTTAGGCGTTCGCGCACAATACCGAAGGTCCCAAGTTCGAATCCTGCGAGGTGCAGGAGTCGTGGATGCGCACTGCTGATGAGTCCCATACCAGGACGGAACGGCCGTCCAGTGCTTCCAGGTTTCTAATGGTGGTCTAACAATGATTGATTGTCGGTGTCAGATGTGTATAAACATTTATCAATGTAATTAGTTGAAATATTAGAATATGGTAGATTTTAGGAAACGTTTTAACATTATTCTCACTGTTCATGATAAGAAACTACAGGAAAAAAATTATCTGGTTTCTACTATCTTGTAAATGTAATCCAGTTGAAAAAACTGTTGATAAAAGTTTGATTAATATACCTTCAACTATGTTTTTGGGGACAATAAAATTTTATCGTTTATATGAATAATCTACACTTTTGACGATTCGAAACGACAATATTTTTTTGTCAAAACTTGGCTATCCGATTTGATACTAGAATTCTGTACTATTAAGCTAATTAGATTTATTAAGGCAAAAGCAATTGATTCAATAATAATTGAACATGAACTCTGGTCGATAGTAGATAATCAATCATTCAGTGAACATTTAATAAATCATCATGTCTTTTTGCTTGTTTTTGTAATCGTTTCAAATATGATAATAATGGCAGTGAGAATGAAAATGATTCTTTCACATAGTGAGTGGTACCTGAAGTACAGTAATATAAACGTTATAGTTTATAGACTTTATACTGACATAATAACGTTACACTATAAATGTTATTTACCAACGATTCTGCCACATTCTATTTGATCTGTTGTCTTATAAAAAAAGTAGCTGTTTATTACTATTGACTATTTCTTGACAAAAATTTTTTAGTTTTGAATAGTGCATGAAATTTTCCCTGATTCGTTGATTTTCGCTAGTTTTCGAAACTTGAATATATTGAACCTTTTAACTTCATGTTTAAATTTTATATATTAAAGCTTGAATAATTATAAGCGTTAAATGAGAAGCCTAACAATATCAAAAATTAATCCTATCTAATGTTAAATTAGGCAAACGGTTTACCTCATTAGAGTCTTGTAATATTCATTTCACAGAAATGAAAAATACTTTGCAAACTATCATAACAGATTAGTTGCATTTACTAAAATGAATGTAAGAAAACTATTTCATGCCTATAGTAAATCATAATTCATTGTCGGTGGTAGTTTTTTTCCTGTTTCATCTAAAAATTCCTTTTTAACACCAATTAAATCTATATTTTTATTAGAACTAACTCTAATGTAACGTTACTATTACTTTTGTTTGTTAATTAAAAAAGTTACTCCTTTTCTCTTGAATTACATAGATAAGCTTATTATTGAGTATTTTTGATAGAAATTTCAATTAAATAAATATTAATAACTGTTAATTTTTTTGTTCCCTTATTCAGTATTATTAGAATTAATATTGTCAAAATGGATAATTAAAATAATAAAGTTTTACTTAAGGAAATTAGTTATCTCAGGATGATAAGTATTGAATTATTGACAAAAGAATAATAATAATAATAAAAACAATAAGGATTATTATTAATTTTAAAAGCTACTATTTTTGCTTTTATGATAGTCACAACTTGAACTTGTCCAAACTCGTGCCGACATTTAGTCACTTCAAGCATAATGATTTAAGATTTGAAGCTGAAGCTTTTAATTTCATGCTGCAAGAGAATCATGATGTCCACACCATTGTCATCCCTATTTTTATCATCTAGATGAACAGTTTGAAATCGGATAGCATACACATCTTGGGTTTCACTTTTAACAACTACTTGAAAGATATAGAATTTGGCTTAGAATTGAAATTTTACTAACTAAAATAGATGTTATTCTCAAATATTTTCTGTTATCTGTTTTTATAAAGACAAGCCGTATTTAGTCACGTAGGTTTCATATTTTCACATATTATGTATATATCTAATTGTTGATCGATTTTTTTCGACAAACCTAAGTACGTATTAGAAATAGGTTGATGTTTTCTTTCAGTAGTTTCCTCATTGATAATCTCTATTTTTTGCATACTTTTTATGCTTGATGTAAATACTTTTATTTAATATGAATTTAGTGTAATTTGCTTTGGTGAGTTACACTTTCGTCTGTTCAATTTACCGCACGAAACATTGTGTTTTTCTAGAGGATTAAATATAATGCCATTGAAAGAGTATAAATTGAAATAAATTACCATTCATTAGATACTTTTTCGGATTAAAAGCCTATGTTTTCTTTTAAAAGTACCCTTTAAAATGATGAGAGATCAATCATGCAGTATTTCTTCTACTGATTAGTGACATCGTTAAATAGTAAGTTGCAAATCTTTACACAAACACTAATTCAAACTAAGTAAACCTGGCAGAAATCCATGAAGTCACTGACAAGTGGACTGAGTCATGTTGGTAGACTACCTGGTTGGGGTCTGCAAGACGAAAGTCACCAATGGTTACAGACCTTGAACGACATGGCTCGAAATCGTTTGCAATGGCCCTAGTGCATCCATTCGTTGTGCTCTCTCAAATCCTAATCTTCTGGATTCGTCAGCACCTCTACCTTTGTCTTTCTAACCTCATCTCACTGAATTATACTTCATGAATAATATCTTCAAACCCTAGTCTTCTTCATTACCATTAATACCTCTACTATCTTTATCACTATGGGATTTGATTTGACATTTGCTTCTCTGTGCTAATGTGGTATGGCGACATGAACTGATGTACTTACGTACGAAGTTCTGCGTTGCAACTGACTAACTGACTGAAACCTGGTTAAGTTTCACCGTTTTTACTTTTAAATTTGTATAATGGAGCCTAAGTTAATTATGGTTCATTATCTATTCTCATTTAAAAATTCTAGTTTTTTTTGTAAATTACAAAAATTGAACTTCTCTTTTCTCCCATAGATCGATACAACGTTTTCCATTCAATGGTAATAACTGATTCACTAAAGAGATTTATCGATCGTGATTTATCCTATCGTGGTTAGATAATGTAATAAGATAATCAGAACTATGTCATGCATTAGTTCAATACACTTAGGATAATCTGGCCACACATGAACTTGTTAAGAACATTTATATATGAAAAATATGCGTTTCTATCTATGACCACACATACGTAGAGAGAGGAGTAATTGTGACTTGCAAATTGAGATAGTTACACATGTACCAAAATGGTTGTAGCGATAAAAATTAAATAAAATGACCCAATATGAGTAAATAAAATAAGCATCCATGTTCGTTTATTGTTAAGCCCATAGTGGAAACAGGTCATAGGATTGAGCGTAACTCAGCCTTTGTGGTTTTTGTACAAATGTTGTCGAGAGCCCTTTTATTTGTTCAATAATAATTTGTTCTCACCTTAAACCTATCCTGGTAATATTGTTTTGTTATTCAACGCGGTAAGTTTTTTCACTGTCTTGTTACATTATTTTCTTCAGTATCTTTGTTCTCGTCAACACTTCATTTGTCTAGTTGACGTTTTATTTTTTTTTTCATATCTAAATCTACTTAACAAGTATATATGGGTGATCACATTGTTCAAAAGGTATAGTTCGTTGAATCTATTCATATATAATAAAGTGACTAAGAAAAAAGATTATAATATGAAAACGTGTATGCTGATAATATGAATATTTGCATTACGGGGTTGTGAAGATTGTTAAGTCGCACATTTTTGAAACCATGAATCGATTAATGTTAGACCACCATTAGAAACCTGGAAGCACTGATGGTCAGGCGTTCGCGCACAATACCGAAAGTCCAGGGTTCGAATCCTGCCAGATGCAGGAATCATGGATGCACACTGCTGAGGAGTCCCATACTAGGAAGAAACGACCGTCCAGTGCTTTCAGGTTTCTAATGGTGGTCTAACATTGATCGATTCATGGTTTCAAAAATGTGTAATATGAATATTGTATTATAACACAATGGTCAAAACTATGTTCCTTGCCGCCTCATAATTAGTAATAAGTGTATCCTTCGCATACAGTAAATACTATCTATTATTTCTTAATGCCTTTGTCTTCCAATATTGATTTATATCTATAAAAAAGTCAGTTCAATTAGTAGTATATTGTAGTTAATAGAATTTTCTTTTCTGGAAGTATTTTTTACATAGTTGTGATAATAGAGAATACTTTCTACTTTATAATGGATTAGAATTGGTAATAATTATCATGCAATTTATAATTCATTTTTAACTAGCCTTATTCTAATGTTTGTTCGAAGAAGAATAGTTCAAAAAAATTTCCATAGTTAATGCATGTTGTTAAAAGTGCTGACTTGGACTTTGTACATGTCAACTAATGTTTGTTTTTTTTGTTAATTCATAAAGCTTTTAATTAGAATTACTATTTTCATTTACTAATTCTTTATTGTCAATTTTCACTAGTTTTTGTTTTAATTCATTTTACTCACAGATATCATTCTCTGTTTTCTTTTCTCTCTCTTTCACTTTCTCTTTTACAGTTTGAAGATTGGATTTTAGATAAAACAAATTGTCTTATGGAAATTCAATTAGCAATAAAACAACGATCACATTTATCATTTAGTCGTATTAATGCATTTGAAGAAGAAATTGAAATGAATCGAAATCGTGGAGATCATTTTATTGAAGTTAGTTAAAACAACTAGTTTTATTGTTTTTTATTTGTTCCAATTTAATTAAATTGATCACGGAATGATAAAACCTATCTATCATCCTGCTTAGTAATTTGTGGTGATGAGATACAAGAAAATATGTTATCTGTGTTACTATGTCACATGATTCACCCTGGTGCACTAGTTTAACATTAGAATCATTTTGGGTATATTCCATATATATGAGAACTCATCACTAATATTATATATATATATATATATATATATATATATATATGGTTGTTATAAAATATATTTGACAACATTGTATTTATTACCACCTCCTAGTTCTTAATAGCTGAATATCAATACTCCTAGTTATAACCCTTAAAAACGCTGGTTCAAATTATTAAAGGACCACCAGTTTAGTCTGTGATGAACCTAACCACCCCGTAGCAAATGTTAATACAAGGCTAACATTATCTGATTTCATTTAATATGAAGTTTTTCGTTCAAACTCCCGTAAACCATTGTTTTATAATTAACTAAATTAAATTGTAAAAATTTGTTTGACAAATGAGAGATTGTAATGCAGATTGTAGTTAAAACAAATTGATTTCTAAAGATATATATAAATATTTAATAAAAAACATAGAAATATTCTTTCACATTAAATAGAACTGTTGGTGTTTTCCACATCAATTCATTCATCCAATAAGTTTTGTTGCCCTACTATGTGTGTTTTTCACGGAAACATTTTTTTCTCATTCAAAAAATAGACCGGCTTAGAAATATTATAAAAGAATGCCTCATTTTTAATACATTACATTGCTTATTACATAATCATACTTAAAAAATAATAAATGATCATTTAACTTTAATGACAGTTGTCTTTCTTTTTTGAAAAATTAAATAAGTCCAATGAACTAAAACAAAATCAATAATGAAATTGTAATAATCACTGTTATATCTTTCACTCATGTTGTTAGAATAATGATATTATATAACACCAATGATGTAAATAATAAACTTGACTGGATGCCATACATTTAATTCCCTTTGTTTCTCATGAAGAGGATAAGAACAAGGAATTCAACAGAATTCATTTTATTTTGTATTTGAGGACTTCGTCCATTGCTTCCAACCAATAATAATATTTAAATAATCGAAATTATTCTCAAGTTTACAGATATGTAACAGCGAAAATAGAAATTTATCATCATGATGGAGTAATGAGTTTGAAGATATTTAGTGTTGAAAATAAATATTTAAGATAAAAGTCTAGATCAACCGACATAAAAACAAGAGATCATAGAGATATTTACTAATAAATTGATTATGTAGTGAATTGATTGAACTTAAATTAACAACAATTGAAAATAACATGAGTTGAAATCAGTCAGTTAAAAACAAAATTATGAACTTGAGAGAAGCGATGGATTTAAAACAAAAGAGAGAAAATTTGCACGGATGATGTAATAAACTGACGATAAAGTCACCATGGTAAGGAAAGATTTACAACTATTTTCTTCTGAATACATAAGTATAGCCTTAGGCATTTGATGCATATGGCTTCGGTAAACTTGAGAACGGAATTGTCATTGTCAGATGATGATACTAAAAGACCTCGGTTTATCAACTTGATACCCTGCAACAGTGCTACTCATAGCTATCAGTCCCTGAACCTTATGAAGTAAGCTGAATTCATATTATTCTGCTTAAATGAATTCCACTGTGTAAACAACACAAACTTTAATTTCCTTTAACTGTGTTTTTACACATTCGTCTTGGTTCATAACTCAGTCGAATTATGAATTAGATATATCATGTATATAAGTATGTTGTAGGTATGTTTATATATTGGATCGCTGACTTAACATTCATAAAGCAATTTTATTGACTAGTGAGAATATCATTAGGTTGTCTATTTTTAGTGTTTAAAACTTTAAGTCATGTGATAGGGAAATGTGTTGTTATTGTTGTTTCAATGATTAGGTTAGAAGAATCAACTGTACTAGTAACAGTCATGTGGTGCGAGCACATTTAGTATTAAAGAAAATAACTTTGATCAGTTCGTAATCTAGTTTAACTATGCGTACAATGTCCTGTATGTTCAATTTTGTCTCCTATCATAAAATCGACATTCAAAACAGATTTTGTTGGAATAAATACACTTTAATCTCATGAATACATGTGTCCAATGCATGAGTAGTGGAATCCTTGGAGCTTAGAGAATCGAATGTTGACTTTTCATGACTAAATGTTAACGGCTTATTTTAGAGAATAACTGGCTTTTTCAATTTAATGGAAGTTAATATATTTGTATATTTGTATTTACAAAACATAGAATTAAGTTCAAACATGTAAATATCATGTTGTTCAGGTCAGTTGTGTTTATATGGGAGATTGTTTCAGTGCATTGATATGTATATGATTGAGTTGAATAATTGTAATAATCGTAATGAATAACTTTGGTGTTTCTACTGTGATGTTGAAGTGGTCAAATGTAACAGTTTGAAAAGATTCTCTAGGTTAGTTGGCCAGTCGAGCCTTCTATTTTATCGATCGCAGTAAAAGGTAGCATAAAGAACTCACCTTTCTTAATACAAAATAATAAATTTAATACTTAATTTATCTAAAATTATCAAGTTAAATCTTGGTATTGATGTGTTGCGTATTCTACGGTTATTAATTTATGTACTTCAAGTAACTAAAAAAAGTAGAATTGGTCAAATAGATCATTCATTGTCAATGTAAAACTCAGTAGTCAAGAAATCAAAGGAGTCTATAAAATTACCTATTTATTGAAAATATTGTGTTTTGTTCATGAATAACACTAGATCTATATTCAAATCTTGTTTTTGCATAAATACAAATTCAAACATTTTATTACGTAACAAGTATTAAAACAGTTAAAACTTTGGGAACTATTCTTCGGACTATGATTATTTAAACGTTTTTTGTATATGCCACGTGAATCATTTTATTCATGAAAACTTATAACCTGATACATTTTATTAACAAAATGTTTTATAAAATTAAAATTCTCATTGATTTTAGGTCGGTCGTAAACTTACAGAAGTTTATCCACACCTTGAAAATGATGTGAAAATTCGTTTGGAACGAATGCATACACGTTGGGAAGAATTAGTTGACTTGGTTCGACATATTCTAAATGTGATAAGTCAAGATAATCGAGGTAATCATGGTAAAATAGCTTATTCTTGATTATATAAAGATAAAAAGATCGTGTGTTGGTCGACATGGACTTGAGAATCCTTGGAGACTTTCTTACATTTAAAATGCAAAGCTTTTGCATAAATGGACTAATACACAATGTAACATCAGTTTTTTTACTTCCCAGACCATCATTTTGTTATTCAGCTAATGAGTTAACTTTCGAATTCCAAAATGTTTAACATTCTAAATGGAAAGTGAGCGAAATTTAGTCCGCCATTTTAGTGACAATGTAAGAGTTACATTTTTGTTGTTCAAACTGCTAGAAAATGAACGCGAATTGAAATGTATGTGAAAATCCACGTGTGTCCTCAACACGTTTGGATTTGACAAAAAAGAATTCCAAGGCTTTTACTCTTGTTTTAATTACTATAAAATTAGTTTATCACAATCTAAACAGTTGTGCTTTAACGTTAACCTAGCCGGTATATCTACGAGTAACATTTTGATGGTAGATAATGAGTTATAAACTTTAGAAACCATAAAAAATATGCATCAAGTCAATAATACTCAGTGTATTACAATATTGTACGTTAATAACAAATATGTGCTTGAAATGTAATCCTTTTGCTGACTGGAACTATTCATTTCGTTATGTGTAAAGCTTTATTGAATTCATTTCTATGTAATCATACACATGATGGAGATTAAAAAGCATGATTTCAAGCATTGGTTAGATGGCGTTTATGTTCATCATCAAATGCATTTTGATTAGTTCTCAACATATAGCGTTTTTATTGCTTTATATATATTTGATGAATAAATATCAGTTGAATAGTTTTTTTCGCACAAAAGGTATACAAGGAGGAATGTTTAAATGTGTCCGAAACACTGAGTTTGTTCTTAAATGAAATTATCACTAACTGGTAAACAGTGCTATCGCTGACCGAATCCCAACGATAAATTCGCAATATAATCCGTTAGCTCAATAATAATAACGATAATAATAATGTCTTTTTTCGACATTGTATGTAGAGTACAATATGAAGTTCTCATCACGGAATATTTTAACAAGCTTCTTTTAAAAAACAATTGATGATTGGCTTTTAGAAGTAAGCAATTAAAGAACCGACATCTTATTAATGTTCATTCTTTTCTCAGCAGATTATCAGCTACCACGATGTTTCGAATTGTCAGGTAACTTGATATTACAGTTTGTTCTGCTTGATTGGTCATTTATTGGGAGCAGTAAACATATAGCTGCAGACATAGGTTCCTTCCATGTTGACACCAGTCAGTTAACCATTTGTACTCTTCATGGACACTCTATGGTCTCCTTAAAATGCAAACCACATAATATTCCTTATCAGTGATGAATTCTATCTGAATTTTCTTTTGACAAATTCAGGTTCAATATTCCTAGCCAATTGCTTTCAACTATATTATTTAAAGTTATGTACCTTTGTTTGTTTAGGAATTCACTTTAGAGGATAGTTTACTGACTAAGTTTTTACTATTCGCCCTAACTGTTCTGCTGGTTCGGGATCTGTTGTTCATGAAAACAATTTACTTTCATCTCTCAAATTTCACTCCAATATATAATGTATTGTATTAATTAGGTGTTATATTTCTTAGAAATAAAATAATCAACATCGTTGACCTGAATATAATTAATTTCCAACGAACAATTAATTAATTAATTGTATCATTGCATTCATCTTATCTATTTAGAAAAGTTAATGAAAGAAGCAATTCATAAAACTGCTATATGGCTTAATGTAATGAATGTTCAATTGAAGAAACCAGATAGTAAATTATCAATTGACCAAGTCGATATGACTACATTACAAACACAAATAAAAGAACATAATAAACGAATGAAAGATTACATAGAACGTAAAGCTGTTATTAATGTTTTAAAGGTAAATTAGAATAAATTAGAAACTTTGTGTAAATTAATTAATTAATTAATTAATTGCTCAGTGGAATTGATGAGTTGTTTTATTTTCCTGCTCTCAGCTAACATTAATCATAAATCATTCTTTATTTGTTTGTTTGTTTACACGTGAATGATTAAAAATTCTATTACTCATTAAAGTAATTAATTGCTTGATTCTAACAGACATGCAATTTTGTAATGTTGATCATCAAAACATTTTTTTCTTACTTTGAATTATATTTTATCTGAACTAATGTGAATACGCTTTATTGTATATATATTCATGAGTACTATTGTATATATATGTTACCTGTATATTTTCATCGGTAACGTATGGTGCAATAAAGCAAAACATTGTGGTGGTGGTGTTTGGTTCTCTGAGCTCGATGTTTTGGTTGTGGAGCTTGCATTGTTCTTCTGAACAATATCATCAGCACAAACTTCAGATAGAAGTGAAGCATTTGAATTTCTCCACGTTTGACCTGTAACTCGTCCTGCTAACCTCGATCTTGATTGGTTGCTGTTGACCTTAAACCTGTCGTTATTTGCACCTTTGCACCTAGCTCAGAGAACCAAACACCACAACCACCACAATCATCCACCTGAGCTACAAATCTTCTCCACCATCTCAAAGCAAAGCATGTGAATCAAATAAAAATTTGTCAGCTTAAACATTAATAAATTTCCTCACTGATTATTCAAAATTAGAATGAACCAGTTAGTTGTCCAGTACTCCACGATTTCAATTGCTTTTTCTCTTAATGCTAATTTGTTACCAAAACCAATCATCAGACTGAATTAAGCTATATATGCTATTCAAGGGAATAGTAACGATATGGTGATCAATACCGATTCGATATAAGACAAATTCTTGAGGATCTAGAGGGATTCAATTTAAATTTCTAGTAAATTAGCTGTCAGTGGTTGACACTGATGATCATCATCTTAAAACACGAAAATCGGTGAAATAAATGTATATTTGGAATCAATAGTTTAAATATATGCTTGTTGTAAGGCGCATTCATCCTGAGTCCGGATGGTTGCTGCTATGAACTCTCATACAACAAATTATGTTACTTAAGAGACAAAAATCACACAGGTTATATTCTATATTTGTAAAATCAAATATAACATCAGTTCATTAACTGTTAAGAATGAGATTTCAGGCTAATTAAATTCCAGCGAAAAATATGTTTTATTTTGGATTGTTTTGGTTAAGATAGAGACATCTATTAATATATTTATCAAAGATTATGGGTAATCTAAAAATTAAAATTTGTTAAAAAATTCAATCGTGTGGTGTTGTATTTAGAGCAGGGTAGCCTTTAAACTTAAATATCACACACGAGTAAATCACACTGGTTAGTAAGAAACTCGAGAACGATAAACCACACTAAAAATACATTTGAACCGCATTACCTAATTGAAGAACTCTCAAGTCAGAGCTTTTAAGATTTATAACGTTGCGTCCTATGGGATTTTCAGTCGAATTCATTTTGGTTTATTCTCGACTGATATACATTCGCTTTTTATGATCATAAATGTGAGAATGTCAGTCAGTCAGTTAGTCAGATGCAACGTAGAACTTCGTACGTACGTACATCAGTTCATGTTGCCATACCACATCAGCACAGAGATATAATTGTCAACTCAAATCCAATAGCAGAAGAGGTAGAGGAGGTATTAAAAGTAATCGAAGGGTTAGGATGAGAAGATATTAGAACGGGGTTTCAAGAGACCAGGAATGACGTTTCGTGAACTCGCTTCGTCTGCATTAGCGGGGCAGTAAGAAAACGGACTGTGAATAGAGTTCGTAGTGGAGAGAAGAGAGGTATGTGTGGGTGTAGGAAGGATTTGATTTCGACCAATTTGGTCTCGTGTGCTGTAACAGGTATGAGGGCGGTTGTCACTTCCCGGCTGCCCACACCGTGGAAGTTTGTTTCTTGAGGCACCTGAAAAGGAAGATAGATTAGTGTTGGTCTCTAAAGTCAGCAGTACGACTTCGCCCTCAGACCTTGAGTAGCTGCTTTTAGTCTCATCGTTCTCCAATCGACCTGCCTTCAGGAACATATGTTCCGGCCAGTATAGCTCGGTCGGGTCATCACGATAGGCAGGCCCGACCACCACATCAAGGTAGCAGCTACGGTCAGGAATGTGAGATGTTACCATGATGGAATATGAATCTGATGATATCTTGTAAACTGTATGATATGTTACAACAAATGACCACAAAAAAAACAATATATGATGATAATACTGTAGTTTCATTTAAATTATCGTCTTCAGTTTCTGAAAGTATATATATATATACTTATACCTACATGTGTTTACTTATAATTTCAAACATGTTTCAATTTTTTTATTGACTAGCATTTATCGTATTTTTTAACAATCAGTTTTTATCTATTAACTGTCATTATTATTTAATTAACTTGAAATAATTCAATGATTCATTGTTTTATCTGTTAAAAATTGTTTTTTTAGAAACAAGTCAATGATCTTGATGTGAATCAAAGTAAAGAATTCACACCAATTATCAATGATTTGGAACGTAAACTTTTAGCATTAGATGAACCATTCCGTCAAAAATTAGAAAATTTACAACATTTGGAAACATCAACACAACGTATAGTTGAATTAACTTTAGAAGGTGCATGGATTCGAGAAAAATTACAACAAATTGAAAATTTATCAAAAACATTAGAACTTGATCCACAAAAGGCTTATCAAATTGGTCAAAGATTAATGGTGATACATCGTTTAGAAAGACAACTTAAAAGTCATTTTCTTGAAGCTAATAATCGTAGACCTAGAGTTAAAACTTTGTGTAAAGTAAGTTTCACTATTTACAATGTTATTTTCAATTAGAGTTATGGAGATTAGTGTTTTTACACATTTTTCAAATCATCAATCAATCAATCATTGTTAGACCACCATTAGAAACCTGGAAACATTGGATGGCTGTTTCGTCCTGGTATGGAACTCATCAGCAGTGCGCATCCATGACTACTGAACCAGGATGAAACGGCCGTCCAGTGCTTCCAGGTTTCTAATGGTGTCCTAACAATGATTGATTGATTGATGATTTCAAATATTTACTATGTCACTTATCTTGATAAACGAGAGGATTTTGTCGTATTTAAAAAAAATATTAATTAGCATTTATATTTGTTATTAACTGATATCAATCTATCATCTAAAAAACACTTATGAATTGAAGGAGAAACTTAATTTTTTGAACAATGTTCCAATGTAAAATTTTAGTTTCCTGTATTATTATTTGTTTTGTTATTACTTTATCACTTCCAAATATTAAATTAACTGAGTTCAAGTTTTATCTTACAATTATTCAAATAACATGGAAATTAATGTGAATATCATTTAGCTCTTGGTACATTTACTAGTGTCGTAAAAACCAGTTTTATTCAATTGTTAATGTCTGTATCAATTAAGTACACAATACCTATTATAATATAAGGATAGGAAAATATGTGTAAATTAACAATGTGTCTATTACATTATTCTATATTTTTTTTCCTGAAATACATTTGTTAAATATGTTCTTGTTTAATTTGAAACAATTAACTAAATCTGTTATATTTTAAAAGATTCTTTTATATATCCTATTTTCTATTTCAAAAATCTGGTACTTTTTAAACACATTATCATTGAATGACGACAGCAGCATTCATTGATAGATAAAATAAACATTGAGTAACTTTAATAGTTAGAGCAACACAGATATAAGCGAACAATATTAGATTGTCATCAGGCATTCCTCTAAAATACATGAATATTTTTATATAAAAATGTTTAACCAATCCAGGCAATTTAAGAGTCAATATTCACAATGAAATGAAATAGATTACGTCACTACACGTGATAGGTAAAAGTACAAATTGATAGTACTGATAATAGTAGGTAAAATAAAATACAAATAACAAAAGTAGGTCGAACGAAGTAATGATTATTTGAAGTCTATTATTTATCCACATTTGACCTACTATTGATAAAACTTTTGTTATTCTATTTTATTTTACCTACTCTACTATCAGTACTATCAATTTGTACTTTTGCCTATTATATGTAATGACATAATCTATTTCATTCCAATGTGATTATTGACTCAAATTGCTTTGAGTGGTTTAACATTTTCATATAGAAATATTCATGTATATTAGAGTAAAGCCTGATGACAATCTGATCGAAAACAATATTGTTCGCTTATATATGTGTTGTTTTAATTTTCCCAATGGGAATCTTTCACTTGATTAATTACAACTTCCAAATGAACCACTCATCTTATTTTGAAATCTTTCGTCTCGTTATTTTCATTTGGAAATAGCTACTGGATAATTCAATAATAATTAGGAGTTTCTATAAGTACTGATATGAATTTAAATTCTATTATATCAATGAGCAGAATTATTAGAATACTCATTAAATGTGTATTGTCAAGAGAACTGGAACATCTCGGTTTTGTGAAAGAAATTTTTGTTATCTTATGATAGGTTGTCCACATCTAGTAATATAAGATCACTTTGGTAGGAAATACTTACTACTTTAAAATTATTCAACCATTTTAGAATAATTCTTATGTGTTATGTATTCGAAATGGAAATGCTGTATTGAAAATCATTTATAAAGTCTAATGAGTAATAGTTACATTTCATAAATGAACGGTGCATATAATGATTCAAACATTTTCTCAATCCTTTATCCCGATTATTCTTTTTTTATTCCAATTATCAGTTATTAACGGTTAATGATTATTGGTTTATGAATTATAGAATTTAGGTTTTTGAAGATATTCGAACTCATCAGCAGTTTAGTGAACCGACAACAACGATCAACATTTCAAAATGCGGTGAATTATTTTGTAGTTACGATTTCACTTTAAACCCTATAGATAAATTATAGGCGCTCTAAAATAAAACTTTCAATAAAATTTTACAGGATGTTGTTGTTGGGGACGTTAGATCTCCAGAACTCACTTGGAAAAGGTCTTAATTTTGTAATTTATTTCTAAAATTTTGAATTTCATTGTTTTCGCGCTTAGTTAAGCTTCAACTTACATTTCTCACTCAAGAAATCCTTAACTGTCATTGGTTGATGGATTATTTTAGTACGCTATTTTGCGGCTCTCACCAAGAGAGTTTCTATCATTGTACAAATAAGCTTGAGTTGTGTGTTTATGAACCTCGTATTTTCTAGGTGCCTGTGAAATACATTCTCTCTAAGTCTTACCTAGACTTTTTCCTCTAGTTAGAGGGGTCTGGAACAATCGCATTAGAATAGCCTATCGTGTCACTGTATCGTTGGTCTTCGTTCCGTTTACCGAGTAAGGTGAACTCGTAATAGCTGCAAGCATATCAGTAGTGTTTTTAGGAATCAACTGTTACGCAGTAGCATCTCACCATTCATTCATTGTACTTCAATGATTATTATTATTATCCGATAATTGTATCGACCATAATTGGAATGACAAATCATTGAGGTACAATGAATGAATGGTAAGATGCTACAAAGTTATAAAAAATCAGTTTGCTTGTAAAAGAGATTAATGAAATTGCCTATTCTCACCATGATTTTATTTGTTTATGCACAAAAGAGAAGCTGAAATTCTTCATGTTATAATCAATCATAATAAGTATATATGGCTAATGATCAAACAAACAGTAGTTATAAGGCTATAATATAATAATCCATATTTATTAAGGATAGACAATAGGCTTGAAAGTAGATTTAATTTAATGATTCGATCAAAAACGTTTCAGTCTACAACTTCGACTGAACAAAATAGCAAATCCATAGAAAGTGGAGCTGACCAACTATACATATGATTTGTTTGTTTGTATTTCACAGCAAACCTTTTACTAAATTCACTACTGTAGAATATAAATAGATTCATTTGCAGATTGACTGACTTATGTATTTGGTTCTTCAAATAAAATGTTACATGTTGCGCAGTTTCTTTCACTGAGCTGGATATATTGGTTGGTGAGCTTTGATTGTTCTTCTGAACAACAATGTTAGCTCAACTTTCACGTCAAAGTGAAGCATTGGAATTTCTCTGGGTATGACTCTTAGCTTGTTCTGTTAACCTCGATCTTGATTGGTTGTTATTGACCGTAAACCTGTCATTGATTGTATACCCCTTTGATCTGTTTCTTGATCCCATGTTCACCGATGATTTTTCTGATTGGTTAATAAATTGTGTCTGTGTCGATGTGTTTGTTGGTTGCTGGGTGTCTTTAGTCTGAGCTTCTAAAGAGTCCCTAGTGTTCTCCCTCTATCTAGTATCTCCACGTTGTTCCAATCGAATGTATGTCCATGGTTGTCCGTTTGTTTGACATAAGGGAAGAAATGTTATCGCATTTGACTGTTGATTGATGTTCACGCAGTTTATTTTATAGATGATATTCGGTTTTTCTTGTTTTATTATTCTTGTCCTTTGGTTTACATAGGATTGATTGAAGTAATTCTGTTGGTTTGTGTGTTACACATATTCCCAATGATTTCAGTGCTTGTGCTTTAATTTCTAACATACCTTTTATATAGAGAGGGATGATCCGTATGTTGATTCCTGTACTTGATTTTGTTTCTGCTAATGGTTTCAGTTAATATTCATACAACTTCATCAAAAAATATCTTTGAACCCTAATCCTCTACATTATCTGTAATACGTCTACTATCTCTACTACTATGAGGTTCGAATTAAAAATTTGATCTGTCTGTGCTAATGTGCTAAGGCAACTTGAAGTTATAAACCTACGTACTAAGTACTGGGTTACAGCTGACTGACGTACTAACTACAATTACTGATTTCCAATGAGTTCCATAAGTTTGAGGAGTTAGGCTGTTGAAATTCTACTGTGAAAGCATGCGTGATTTCTCAAGTAGTATAAGATTATAAATCGGTTAGTAGAGTCAGTTGACAAAAATCCACAAAGCAAATTCACATAGTATACTGTATGAATTATTGCTCTTGTTTTATTCAGATTTACAACTAGTAGTCGTTTATCCACAATTTAAATTACTATTCAGTAGAGTACTTGTAAAATGCATAAAAAAAGAAGAAATATCATATTAATTCAAAAGTATTCACACTGCCTTCTATGATTAGCAAGGTAGATTTATTTGAAAATGAAAAAGCAACTGATGACATTATTTTTATTATATTTTCAATTAGAGTTATGGAGATTAGTGTTTCTACACATTTTTGAAATCATCACTCAATCCTTGTTAGATCACCACCACTGGACGGCCGTTTCGTCATGGTACGGGACTCAAAAGCAGTGCGCATCCAAGACTCCTGCATCTCGCAGGATTCGAACCCGGAACCTTCAGTATTGTGCGCGAACGTTATTCTTTGTGATACTACCATTCATAAAGTAAAAAAAATCTGTTTTTGCACTGACTTCATCGAAAACACGCATCAACTGCTATTTTTATTTTCTTTCTATATTTCTCTTCATTTATTAGAATATTGAAAATGAATATTGTTTAGAAGAAGTGACAAGTATTGAAAAGAAACAACAACAACAACAATTTCAACGACTTATACAAGAACTGTTAGAATTATGGAATAAATTAGATAAAAATTTAACTTGTCTCCATGAACGAATCACAATGTCCGAATCAGTTTATCAATTTTTATTCGATGCTAATGAATTGGAATCATGGATATCGGAAGAAGATTTTTATTTACATGGAATAGAAATACCTAAGGTGAATTTGTTTCTGTCACTTTCTCAATAGTATTTTTTTAAAACTATCAGCATTACCAGTGATGTTGTTCAAAAGAATCAATAACTCATAGATTTCGTATCATTTTTAGCCTTCTGCCAATCAGTACATCATAACGTCGTATGAGGCTAATTATTTGTGATGTAAGATAGTTGGTGAGGGAGGCGGGTGAATAACTATAGACCTTGATTTGTCGTTTCGTCTTAAAGTAATCAGAAACTTGATTAATATTACTCGTCATAATTAAACTGACAGTACACATTATTACTGTCAGTGATGCTACTTTAATTTTATTAAAGCCGTGAAAAACCTGACGCAATTATTTTAAGTTTTAACAAAGTTGTCAGGTAAATCATCCAAAGATCTCAAGGATTTGATCCATTGTATTTATAGATCTCAGTAAATTTAAAAATAAAACAATTTTTTTCTGCAGACTACTGTTTTCTAACTGATTATTAATGTAGCTGAGAAATATCTAATCAAGTTATTAAAATATCAACATCAGATTTCTTTTTAAGAAGCGAATATCCTATGCTGTGGATAATTTATCTGTGGAACATTTAAATCCAAGAAAAAATAAATCTGATCTACCCGAAAAATTTTATTACGAGTTATACATTAGTATGAAATTACACATTTCTTCGGATATTTCATCAGAAGCTTATGAAAAAAAAATGAATGAATATAGGTTCAAATATCTTGAAGTTGTAAGACTATGTTTATATATATATATATATATATATATATATAGTAGTTTTGTTTTCGGTTTCAAATACTTTGGATTATCAAACTCTAAAATATTTCATCAGCTCGAGGTTGTAGGATGTTGACAGGACCATAAATTCAGACAAAAACAGAAAAAATCACTTTAACACACTCCTTTTGTAAAATAGTTTATCTGTAAACGGACGATGACCTGTTAACATGATGATTTTTCATGTTTCAGGCGGTTGATTCGCCTGACAAAAATAGTTCAATGAAAAACATAAAATGACTAGTGTACACGACATTTTCAACCTTTATGTTATAACTATTCAGTCTGGCATTATAATTTTATCAAAACTTTAGTTGTTACAGTGTACTCTTAATCAGAAGTGAAACAAAATAACTAATTATTTCAGCGTTTGCTTTGTTTTCATAAGGTCATTTTTCGTTGAGTTTTTCCGGTCGCATCTCGTAATTTTCTAAATTTTCTTTTTGAATAAATAATCCTTAAATAAGAAGAACGGTGTATACAAAAATTACCAAACTAACTTTTTTACATTTTTTTTGTGAATTTTAATGATAACTGTGATAAAATGTAAGTGTAAAACATTATCATACCCGGATTTAAGAAACAATGCTCTTATGGAAAAGTATTTGCATGTTAAAAAGACATATTATTCTTGATTAAGTATTATAAACACGAACTTCAACAAGTGGATGTATATATATGAAATATTATAAGTAATAAGTTTTGTAAAGACGCCTGAACAATAAATAAACATGATGATGTGATAGAAAGGTTATAGTGATAGATTATTTGGTGCCAATATGATTGAGTGAATAAAAATCTCTCCTTCTGCTTAGTCGACTGACTGTTTCATAGTTATTGCTATTCAATTGACCTTTTTTGGAGGATCCATTACTCCTTCATGTCAGAAGCATCTAAAGAAATGGGGTAGGATGATCTTCATTTTTTTTTACATGCCATTTGAGGAACTATGATATTTGTTGACAAAATATAAAATGTCAACCAATTCAACATTCTCATTGACAATCGAACTTAAGTTGATTGTTTTGCAGCTTAGACATAAAACAAACCCATTTACAGAAAATAATATATCACCATCAACCTATCTACCTGTAAACAAAAGAAAGAATTCTGTTCACTTTTATGGTACCGAATACGTTAGATCTTTAATACTAAATAAATTTATGAAGGACTTGTGTTCCTCAGAAAAATGGCTATCCAAGCCAATGCATATAGAAGAACAAGGAAGGGGTCCGAAAGTCCTATTTTCAATTGCTCTACTAACATACAGTTCCACTTTAAGGTTGTTTATACGATTCATCCAAATCTACCTAGATTTCTTTATATGCAACTCCTTAGTACAGCAGAAGTTATTGCGTACATCATCTTATTTATAATTGAATTGAACACCACTTCATTTAGTTAACCCATATATAACTTCCAAATATTGTGAAGAAAAACATTTTTAGGAACTCCATTCACGTCTTTTGCTAACTTACTAATTTTACAAAACTTCATTTGCACACACAATCTTATTTGCAGTAAATAATGTAGCATTACATTAAGTCTATTCAGTGTTCAGATGTCCGTCAAATCAAGAGTTTAAGAACAAATATTTTCATAAAGAATTTCATTTAATATAGTATTGTTTGTTTATATGCCGTGTTTTAATGTACTCGATCTGAGACAAGCGTCATATACATAAACTCAACTATCCAATTATACTTTGCCATAGTCCATTGTACTAAGTTATTTGTTCGTTATTCCCACATAGGATAGAACTTTCTTTGACTTTGCACATGAATATTTAATTTTCAACTGCTTTAGTTTCTCTTCATTTCAACACTTCAAAATTTACTGAATTCCATTTAATTTTCAAATTCACATACATCATTTGTTCAATAAAGCATCACTGTAGTAAAAGCCAATTACAACAAAATCAATATTAGCATTACTGTCTTCAATTTTTTGGCGATCATCTTTTTCTTAAATTTTCTATTTCTTCATATTTTTCAACCATTTCACTAGAATGAGCAAAGTGCACTGAATAACTTGAAAAAGCATCAGATTCGATCACAAACAATTGAACAATGGCATGAACGTGTTAAAAATCACAATGAACAAGGTCAAATACTTGTCAAACAATTAAAAATTCAACAAACAAAATATCCTGATACAAATATTATACATGAATCACAATTTTATTTAAAATTAATTCCAACCTGTTTGAATAGTATTAGTCATTCGTACAAAAATCTTCAAGATATTGTCAATAATGTCACGGCAATGTTAAAAGGAAGTGCAATCAGATATAGTTTAATTCGTGAATCTGATGAATTGGAGGTTAGTGAAATAAGGATTGTGTATAATTTTTTGTAAACTTTTTTTTATTATTTAGCGTAATCCAGTTTTGATACAATTGTACATCTATGTACATCGATGCCTAACCATCGACTGCCGCGAAGAGCTATGTTTTGTGGTGTAGGATTAGGTTGGACGAAAGCTAGGCGCGGCCAAACCAAAACATGGCACAAATCCATGAAGTCACTGACAAGTGGACTGAGTCATGTCGGTAGATGTATGCTACTTGGTTGGGGTTCACGAGACGAAAGTTGTCAATGGTTAGAGACCTTGAACGACATGGCTCAAAATCGTTTGCAATGGAGCAGGTGCATCCACTCCTTGTGTTCTCTCAAATTTTAACCTTCTGAATTCCTCATAATCTCTATCTTTCTCCTAAATTTATCTCACTGAATTATACTTCTCGAATCATATCTTCGCTCCCTAATCTTCTCCATTACTGCTAATAATTCTGCTATCGCTATCACTCTTGGATTTGAACTGACAGTTACGTCTCTGCGCTGATGTGGTATGGCAACCTGAACTGATGTACTTATGTACGAAGTTCTGCGTTGTATCTGTTTGTCTGTCTGTCCGTCCAACTTTCTATTATTTGTAAATCATGTATATTTTTGTTTCTTTTAGTACAGTTGAGTTAGAGTACATAATTAAAATACTGTAGATGCAAACTGTCATTTCTGAATTATTCTTCAGTAAAAGATTTGTATGATGTAATCCATAGAATAAAAAATTGAAGAAGAGAAGACGAAAGTAATATTTAGCACCTATAATTTGAAAAAATTTCAAAGATGTGCCATCATGGCAGAGTAATGGATTGAACATAACTTTACAGTACATCGAAGTTGGGTTTAAAATGATGAATTTTTGTAGCCTCAGCTATGCATAAATTCCTGATCCAAACCTTATTTTGAAAGACGATTCACTTGATGAATTGTGACCCGAGTTGACCAGATGTTTAAGGATTGAGTTGTTGAATAGTTTATATTCTCCATTAGATAACCATGCATGATTGTGGTAGGATATTCGATTACCAAGTTGATACTTTGTTTGGTCAATATAAGTTGCTCCACAAGACCAAGTAAACTGATAAATACACATTGAGGTGGTCCAAAGCGGCATTCTATCTTTGATGCTCTCCTATATGAGTTTCTTATTGGACAAAACAGTTCATTGATTTGTGAATGAAGCATCTTTCTCAGGGATCTGGATACTAAGTCTTTTAATATCTCGGCCGTTGTATCTTCCTTGAATTAAAAAACCCAAAAATAAAACCCCCAGGACAGTGGGCATACTTTCAACACAACGTTCTGGGTTTAGATTGCTGTTCATGCACCTGAATGGAAAGCCACTTTCGAGAATTTAAATAAAGCAAGAACAACAAACATAGTAGAATAAGATGAATTCTTGATGCAGAAGTGTTCATCGTATTATATTCCCTTATAACAGGAAAAGAAAAGTAACTTGAAATATTTTGATGTTCTAGATAAAGCAGATATTCAAGCAGGCCGCCAATATGTTGACGGTTATTGAACTGTGACACTATTTTATGATGGTCACTGTCTTCTTCACAAATTATAAGGCTGTCATCCGTATGTCTTTTGTGAAAATAAATATCAGTTTTCATGATTGCTGTTCAGTTGTTAATATGACCCCATTTCTCATTTTATTCATATATGTAGAGCGGACAATTATCTCTCATATATCTGACCTTCAACTTATCCTCATTCTCCTATCCTCCTAGACCATGAATCATTACGTAACTTACTAATAATAATTAAAATCTCAAATCATTTTATGATGCAATCTCTCCTATCTTTCAATAGACGTACTTTTCCAACGACAGTGAATACGAATTTTTATTCACTTTTGTGATGTTATTTATCTGTAAACTTAATGTACCATAATTCACGTACTGTTAAAACAGTAAATGTTTTCGGATTAGTGCCATCACACAACAGTGCCGTGTCCGTCGAAAATTTGGTTTCAATACAACTTAGTTATTGAGCTCATTCACACTAATAACGACGTGGAGCAACGTTTATTTAAAAAACCTGAAGATCAATTATATCCAAAATATTTGTGTTCATATTCTGAAGGATATTACTTTTCAAATGTTTATAGTCACATAACAGAAGTTTTAGTACTTCAGAGATAACTAAACAGTTATGTTGTCTGAATCGCATATTTTGTCTCTAGTATAGTTACAACATGTTTCTCAAATACACTTCCTAATGATGTTTAACTTTCATGAAATGCAGAACCAGACAAATACGTTCATCGTTTCAAACTTTCACTGCAAATTAGCAAAGCTACCTGAAATTATTAAGACAAATCTCACATTACCAAGAATAGTAACAATATTAGTAGCAGTAGAAAGTAATACATATAGAAAGAAGAAAAACTGTACTCAAAAATTTTTCTGATTCTCAATTGTAATAAAACAGTGAATGTAACTAAACCATTGTGGTAGGTCCTGAGTCATGCCACACAATATCTCCAATGTCTGGTTACAGAACGCACACTAGCTCGAACCAGTTAATTTACAACTTCTTATATGGGTCATTTAACTTGCTAAATACCTCATGAATTGATCCCGCGCTTTAGTTTAGACTCCCTTAACATTCATCTGGCCAGCTGCTAAAACAAATAACGCCCGTTGATATAGGCGGGGGGTCAAGCATGTGTAATGTATGTTACAATTACCCCCAAACCGATCAAGTTTCACAACCGCTTCAACTGGTTTGCACCTATTAAATAATCCTTAATCTCATTATCGTTCAATAGGTGGTTCCAGTATACACTAGCAATGCTTTTAAAGCACTTACCCGTTAATCTGTAAATATCCTTTGTTCTCCATGGTCACGTTTAACACCGATTATCTAAACAATGCTTTCGGTGAAATTCAATCTTAACATAATTTTAACCTACATACACTAATCGAAATCATCTAAGAATACATTAGACTGTGCTAATTTTATGCAACGTACAACTAACGTCTACTAACATCTAATTTGGAAGAACATGTGCAGAAGAAACCCAATTTTTGCACTTCTCATTTTGGATTAAAGTGATATTCCAGTAACATTTAATGTAAAACTAAATTAATGTTAGTGAATGAATTTCAATTCTTGCATTATTGTTTATAGATTATTTGTCCTATTGTTTATTTTAAAGTTCATAACAGATAAGTGATAATAACTTTTCGATTACTTTATTATCTATCTATCAAACTACTCAATATTTAGGCATGGATTAATAAACGTATTGCACTGGCTACTAATAATGACCTTGGTACTGATTTAGATCATTGTTGTAATTTAAGAGACAAATTTATGATATTCAATAAAGAAACTGTACAAACAGGTTCACAACTGGTCGCAGATTTATCAGCTAAATGTGTGCATTTAATTGCTTCTGGCAAATCAGATTCCGTGATAATTGCTTCAATTAAAGATAATATCAATGAATTATGGGCTGAATTATTGGAATTAATTGAAACAAGAAAACAATTATTAAAAGCTGCATTAAATATGCATCGATTTGTTAATGATTGTAGAGTAAGTTATTTTTTTACATTATATTATCATATCTATTATATTCAGCTATAATTTATGTTGTATCGTCAACTAGATATGAAACGGCAAAAAAATGTGCTTTTGATCATCCAGAATATAGATTATCTGATGAACACAGATAAAATATAGGGCCCATATCATCTGGAGAACTATTGCACTTAAAAAGCCATCTAATCCACATCCAGGCTTTAAATAAAGTGTCGACACAATTACCGTCATCCAGGCATGTATCTACGATCTTCAATTTTCATATGAATATAATACCTTTGAATCACTGATTTGATTTTTTCTGTTTCACAATTTCGAATTCCGTCATTTTTGATCGAATACTATAACCATTAAAATGTTATGGGAAATTCAGTTTCACTACAGACTAGTTTAACTCCAATGGTCACCACTGTTTACCAAACGAACTTATCTAGATTTAAAATGAACGAATGAGGATAGTTTCATAAAGCTAATACATGGTAATAGTGATGTAATAATCCGACTAAAACATATATTATTGAGAGAAATAATGTAAATCCAGTGAATTTTAATGTTTTAAAATTAAAAATGTGTAATGTGAAATGTAATTTGATGATGCTTCAATAAGTAAATTTTGTTTAGAATTATATTTTAAAATCTTAGATCCTACCTATTAATTTGAATTAAATTTTTTGTTTGGTTGAGATTACGTCTACTTGATAATAGATTAAATCACAAACTAACGTCAACTTTGTGAAACATTGAAAATTATGCAGCGAAATTCCATCCCGATCTGGTACTCCTCAGCAGTGCACATAAAATTGAATCCCTCACTTTCTCTTTTCAAGCACAGATGTTACAGATGAATCATTAAATTCGATTCATAGTTGAACACCTTTCAGATTTAATTAGTTTGACATGTAGGTATGTGATCGTTCAATGGCACTAATTGGTAACTATCCCACTGTCAACAAAGTTAGCTTCCACTAGTCATTCCAGGAATTTGTCTCAGAGAAAGTGAACGATCAGAATGTAATTATGATTTGTGGAAATGAACTCATTGAGAAAATAGTTTTCATCTCAGGACAACACCATAAATAACAATTAAAAGCCATAACTTCACTGCGCACTTTTTTCATCTTACTTTGCGACTGACTAATTTAACAGGAATAATTATTCGTAACAAATAAGTAATTTGTTTATCACAGGTTAGAAACCGTAACTTCTTACAGTATCAGTTTCTGTATTGGAATTACTCTCTCCATGCTCATTTACCAAAATCAATGTGAAGCAAAATTGTTGATTATTAAAATTTTCTCTATCTTTATAGTCCGCCGAATTTCATACTGCATTACTTATGATAAATTGTCAGTTGGATATTTTGGGTGTGCCTCTAGTTTGCTTGTAATTTATGCTGAGAATAAATACAGAAATGGGCGTTTGAATGACTCATTTTATAAACACTGTCATTAAATTCCTAAAATCTTACCAAATTGTTTATGACGAGATAGAATTTATAAGGGCGTTGGCTGTTTCGCGGGCTTCTGATTGGCCACTCACAATGTAATTAAGGTCACATTATAAAAACCGTAGATTCTTTTACAACATAAGCGTACACTTATATAGATTGAGCGAGCTCATGGTAGTTTTATTCGGGTGGCAAGTTATTTTCCTACTTTCAAGGAACTCGAAAATTGTTGATACAATAAAGTGAAAAAAGTTGATTCATCTAAGTGATTTGATCTCCAAGCGTCGCGTCAACTCATGGTTTCCAAAAAATGCTCTTTCAAAATAGTGTAACTTCGGTCTGTGTACTGAACTTAAGCTCATACGCACCTCATGAGAAGGCCACTGTTACTACCCACTTGACCATATTAAGATAGTAGAGTTAGGTCCAAACCCTCAACCTATTTATCGAATGCTGATCCCCCATAACTATTTAGCCATATTAAGACTGGTTTTCATATCACTAGCACTTTGTGTCGAAACAAGACTTTTTGCAACTATATAAGAAACTCTTGACCTGCGTAATCAACAGAGTTTTCAATGTAGCAGTTACCCGCGAATGACATACGGTGATAATCAAACCATGTTAGAAATCAACCGACACTCAGAACTGTGATCACTAGATTTTGATTTTGTTTGTGCATAGTTCTGTCGTTATCTCAACGAGCTAAATCACAGTTTCCTACACTTATAAAGTTATAGATTTACTGTACTGAGAATTCTGTAAAATGTTGTTGGAAGATTCCTGGTATTCAATAATTCTACAAAATATGCAGCAGCAAAATGAAAGCCATTGTCAACCAATTATTCTTTTTACAACAGCTAATACTAATTTAGTGAGTGGACATAATCTTGCAATATCATGACAGTTTGCAGGGAAGAACTTCGTATTACTAGTAAGTGTTATAAAACGAACAATCCTTACTCGGTTACAATACTGATCAGTTAGCTAAATCAGCCATACGTTCATATAACCTTCAAACAATAAGGAATATCATTACAGGGTTGTGAAGATTGTTAAGTAACACATTTGAAATCATGAATCGATCAATTTTAGACCACCATTAGAAACCTATAAGCACTCGACGGCCGTTTCTTCCTGGTATGGGATTCATCAGCGGTGCGAATCCACGAATAATTTTCATTCATCATAATTGTTAGTTCGCTTCATAAATATTTTTTTCACTCAACACATTATAACTATATTTTACTCCTCCTTATATATGTACATAGTTTTGATTATTCTACGAATTAGCTGTTCAATTCAGGTGTGTAATATTTTTTAACAATTTCTTTGTATGTTCATTGTTTGTCAAAGTTAAAAAAGTTTTTCTTACCTTATTTTTTGAAACATTTTTTTTACATAAAATTAAATTATTATCCGATTTTCAATCTAGTTGATGAATAATAGTAAAATTACATATTTTTTAAAAAAAAATTCTATTTTGATGTTTAAATTATAGGATTTTGAAGAAAGAATTTGTTATCGTCTTGACAATTTACCTGAAGCACCATCGGATTCCTTAGCATCTGGACGTAAACAAGGTCTACCTGGTTTACAACGTAGTCATAATTTATTAGAACAAGAACTTTTATGTTTTGGTGATCAATTGAAACAGTTAGATTTAACAACTAAACGATTATTACCACGTTATGCTGGTATCCAAGCGGAACAATTACAAACACATCATGAACGTGTTCAAACAATATGGAAACGTTTATTAAAAGTTGTTGAAATTAGACGTGATCTTTTAAAAGAAGCTAATCGGTTACATGAATTTTTAGTCAATGCACGTGAATTAATTTCATGGTTAGAATATACCAAAGATATAATGGAACATAAAGAAAGACCAAGGTTAGTTTTGATTATCCCTTTTTTTGACTTCTAATACGTTTCAACATCCAGTGCTTCGTTTATTGATTTTTCGATTACAAAAATACCATTAGTATGCACGATTGTTCTTTTTATATCATTATTTTTTGTATCTTATCAAGGTTTTTTTTAATACATGTCTCATCAGTGAAGTTTCGTTTTTTTCAGTTCTTATTGTTGAGGTTCCGAAAATTCCATATCACTTCTTGTTAACATTACGGTAAAATGTGTTCAGTTGATTGATGGGAATATATGAAGTAACCAATCGAAAATTCTTTTAATATTCGATGAAATAGACTGATGAGAATTTGAAGTATAACTATGTAGTGAAAGAGAACACGGGCGGGGCAGAGTTACTCAGTAAAATTGTTCATTTGCAAAATATCAGTTCATCCTATCGAACTGGACTGTTCCTGTTGCCAAACATCAATCCATTGTCACTATTCATGCGTTTCATACAAATTCCATTGTTTTCTAACTCTTCCTTTCTTGATCTTCCCCCATCTCCCGCTGCCAGACATTACGTTGACGCTCACGTCATATACTACTTATAAGTAGCTCACACCACAACTAATCTTTATAGTCAAGATATTCAGAGTTCTAAGTGTTATAAGTGTTTTGCTTAATATGCTGCTTTATGTATTCATTTCTTTTCTTACCAATGAACTTTATTCTAGAGATATTTCTGGTGTTGAATATTTAATTGAGGATCATAAACAATTACGAGTGGAATTAGAATCACGTAATCAACGAATTGAAGATTGTTTAAATCTTGGACGGATATTGTTAGCTGAATTTGCCGCTCAAGAAGAGAAAACAATGCTGCCAACTATGAAACCAAGTTTAATAGCTACACGAACTGAAGTTCGTGAGAGATGTGTCCAATTAGCAACTGGTCGTATTTTATTAAATGAATTATGGCGTGAACGTTGGGATCGTTTACATTTATTATTGGAAATACGTCAATTTGCCCGTGATGCAAATAGTGCAGAAATATGGTTAATGGGTAAAGAGTTACAATTAGAATCAGCACGTCGTCAATTAGGTGAAACATTAGCTGAAACATTAGCTTTACTTGGCGCACATTATGCATTTCAACAAACATTAGCAACAGCAGATGAGAGATTTAATGCATTGAAAAGATTAACTACAGTGAGTTATTCTGTGCACTTCTCATTATTTGATTAAACTCTTTTAATATAATGTAAATTCTGTGTTGATTGCCTTGATAATATCATAACGTCACAATTTTGTCGATAAAGTTGGAAACTTGAACCTGAATAACTTTCTTGCCAAACTCTATTATTATCCATTGAAGTAAATAGTGATAAGTTATTTTTTTAATTGTAGTTTTAATTTATTCTTGTTAGCTTATTTATTAATTAATAATTAATTAATTAATTTTAGAACATTTACAAATTAACTATAAACTAGAAAGTAAAATAATCTCTATTAATTTCTGCCTATACTTTCAGCTTGAAATAAGAGCAATGCAATGGGATCCACATGAAGTTACTATGAGAGAGAACGAACAAAGAATTAAAGTTCGTAACGCTGTCAAAGAATTTCTTCCCGCTTATGTTGGACAAACTGAAACTTTGAAGAAATCAACCTCAGTTTTACCATCACATACAGTTGGTGTTTCTTCAACAAAAGTCCCACTAGTATCTACAGCCTACATTCAACAGCCTCCAGTTAAACCACTTAGAAAACCAATTGAAAGCATTGAAATGTCAGCTGTACATCCAAAACCCAGAGCTAAAATCCCATCAACATCTGACAATATAGCGGTAACAGTTAAGACCACATCACCTCCCAAAACTGTAGAGTCATACAAAAGTCCTGAAAAGAAATTCGAGCATCATGAAACTATAATGTCTCCGAAACCTGTTAAACGGACTCGTTCTAAGCAAACACCAGAGCTATCTGACACAAAGAAAAGTCCAGTCATGTTAACAAAAGAAGAAAGCTTATCTAATGGAGATAAGTCGGAACGTATAAGTCAAAAATCTGCAAGTTCATCCGAGAAAATCCCAATTCAAATTGAAAAGTCATCCCCAAATAAACTTCATCTGGAAGAAACGAGAGATGAAAATGATAAGACTCGTTCACTGTAAGAATTTCAGATAGTATTTTACTTCGTCATTAAAATATGTTCGTATACTGAAACTTATTACGTATCATATCTGAATAGTTATCTAATTGACTAGTAATGTCATAACGAAGGCATACTGTATGAATGTAAGGAAGTGGATTATGCAATTGATTACAAAAACTAAAGTAGTGACACAAAGCTCCACACTGCATAGATATCGAAAACTGGTTGACTCGCATAAAAATACATACTCAGTTTTTAATATGTTTAGCACATAAATGAGCATGATTAAAGTTCATCTTAAAAGTAGCTGATTTTATTATTCAAATATTGTTGATCATTCTTGAACTGTTGACAGTTGATTATTAGAGATGATTCTTTCTCAATATTCGTTTCGTGATCTAATGAAAAAAATCTCTTTTTTTGGTCAACTTTTATGTGTTTGTATGTTCGACTTATTTATGTAGAAATAGCTATTAATGTGTCATTCGTCGATCTCATGTACGAATGTATACCTTCGAAAAATCTATGTGATCATCTTCTGTTGGTTCTAAACATATAGACAGTATCAAAGAAACGCCCACAGGTTATGAATGTGAAGCTGTTTCCGAATTTCTCTCAACAACCTAATTAGTGAAATTTAGAAACGATAACTAGAGAATTATGAATTCTTTGAAATTTCATAAGTTTACTACCAGACTACTTAATAATCTAAATAAATAAATATTCTTTTTTACATAAAAAAAGTTAAAATAAAACTTCTCTACATAGAATATTTTTAACAGTGGTAAGGTAAGCTTTGGTCTATAAAGAGATTTTTTTGGATTTTTCAACTGAAAATTAGCTTTCATTACATATCACTAGGCTTTTATCTTACTAGTAAAGTGAATTGATAGAGACATTAACTCCAACTGTCAGAAGTTAAAAATGTAGATTTTTGGCTCCTGACTAAGTGGTTTAAAATGATTGTGACTATTACGTGAATTGAAGATCATGTAATATATACCGTATCATGTCTCAGATGCTTACGAATGAGGAGCATGGAAGTAGTGTAGATTATCTATGTACCTCCCATTGGCTTTTAATAACTTTCCAATTGATGTCAGTATGTAATGAGAAAATAGAGTTAATAAACCTTCATTTTAAGTATTAACTATCATCTAAAAAATAAATATGATTTTGTGACCTGTTCAAACGGGTTAACCATTAACTATATAGCCTATTGATCTTGATCAGTTTTCATTTCATTTAATTCAGTAGATCCAATTATGGATGATTTATTAATAATCTAGTTTCATTTAATTAAATCAAACTTAGTGTTTCTTCTAGATGCTTGTCTGTATTTGTTTACATTCATTGTTAGAATAAATTGATTTGTTTTCTATTGTACAGGGAAACTATAGATCAACCGCATGGATATGAACACAAGCCTATAACTCGAAGCCGTTCATTAAGAGTTAGATCTTCTCAATCTGACTTACCAACGACTGAATCCCCTGCTTCAACAACCAAGTTGAAATTTTTCGAGAGTGCGGAACAAGAGTCAACTAGATTACCTCAAGAACCTGAAGCATCAACAAGTGAACAACCAGTTCTACCAAAGCTGGAAGGTCCGGTTATACGAAAGCACGATTTAGATTCTGGCGGCTCTTTACATTCAAAAAGTCAAGGTCGGAGCTGGTTACCACTTTATCTTGTTCTTGATTCGGGTCAGCTATTTTTTTATAAAGATCAACAAAGTCGTAGGGAAAAACCAAACATATACTATCATGATACGTCACCTTTAAGTTTACTGTCATCGAGAGCTGCCGCTGCTATGGATTATACAAAACGACCATGTGTATTTCGATTACGTCTTGGCGATGGTAGTGAATATCTCTTTCAAACTGCAAATGATAGTGTTCTTAATCGTTGGGTAACAGCCATTAATGAATCAGCTAAGCTGTTAGCTTCTGACGTCAGCAAACATCAACCTGGATATACCTTAACTCTTCCTGTCGGAACTCATTCTAGAAGTTTTCAAGGCAATGGTCATCGTCGCTCTATTAGGAATTTCTTTTCTTTACGCCGTAAATCATAATATTGTATTCCAAGTGAAAACTTAACAACCTATCTTTCGATATTACAAGCACTTTCATTCTCTCAACAAACAATGCATAATCATGAATTTGTTTTCGTTTATTTAAATCTTGACATTTTTCTTTCGTTAATAAATATTTTCGAAAAATTTTCGTAACTTTTAAAAATTTCTCTCACATTAGGTATTTTATCTTGAATACTCATACTCAACACTTAAATAATCTCTTGTATTAAGGTAAACCTTATAACGGCAATACAGTTTCATTGTTTGTGATTAATTTTTTCACAGCAAAACCTTTCGATTTTTTTCTTTTTCGTGTTTTTTCTCTAAAGCATAATTAGTAATTCATGAGATTTGTATTTTGTAAATTTTAGGACAATCGAACATCAGTAGTAAAGCGAATGACTTTTTTTTAATTATTATTATTATTTTCAATCGTTGATCATGGAGACTTACTGAAATAATTGGCTTGATACTGGAAAATAAATGATGTACTACGTAACAAAACATTACATCAGTCTTGTATAAATGTATTGATTTTTTTCTTTGACAAAACATTATTAATTTTTGTCTTTGCTTTTTCTCTTACTTTGTTTTACTGTAATAATAATAATAACAATACTAATAATAATAGCAGTGATTATAGTGTGCATTTGATATTGCAATGTTTATTGTTTAATCCATTCGTATAAATTTTGAGTCAATGTTGATTTGTAAATTGGCAAAAGTAAGTTTATTTCGCTGATATATATAAATATATATATGTATATGTATATTATAGAAATATTAAAAACAAGTTAGTCACAATATTCTTCACTGTTGTTCATTTTATTGTTAATTCCCTAGTGTTTGACACGGTTGCTGATCAATCTAGTTTCATACAATTGGTGCTTACAAACTGTCGTGTAATTCTTAGTTCTAAATGATCTTACACAGATGTAATAATAATAATAATAATGAATTTATCATCACAAATTGCGAACTAATCTAGAAAATACCAAAAAAACGAAACAGATTGTTCGGGCAGAGTTTTTGGAGGTTTGTGTTTTTACACATTTGAAGTCATCAATCAATCATTGTTAGACCACTATTAGAAACCTGGACACACTGGACGGCCGTTTCGTCCTGGTATGGGACTCATTAGCAGTGCGCATACACGACTCCTGCACCTCGCAGGATTCGAACCCGGGATCGTCGGTATTGTGCGCGAACGCCTAACCATCGGACCACTGGGCCGGCATCCAATGGTGTTAATGTCTAACTCTGATTGATCTAGGGATTTTGCGCGAGCCCACCGATTTGTCTTTGGTAGTTACTGCCTACACCCGACAGAGTTGAACTCCATTGGTCACGTATTTTCACCAGAACTCCGAGAATTTCCTCACGAAGCTAATCACTATTGAGCAGTGTTACGATATTTTCAGGCAGAGCTTTCGGAGGTTTTGTGCTTGTGATTGATTGACGATTTCAAATGTGTAAGATTACTGTGTCATTTGAATTGGTAATAAAATGAGATTATATATATCACTGATGAAATAGTAATTTATCAATTTCAAGTTAAAGTATGTCTTTTAGCTTTATATTAAAGTAAGAACAACTTAACTGTAGACTTCAATAATTCCGCTAACATTTGCCTAAGTTCATTCATCTGAATGACTAAACTCACAGCTGCATAACACACTTTGTGAATAGATTCGGTACGGATAAATCGCCTTAAATGTTACTTTAGGAAGTGAAAAATACAATTTTCTAGAAGTAATAGAATGCTGTCTAAAAATGATAACTCATGTTTTCACATTCAGAATGTTTACGTACCAGTAATTTATGTTAGTTCTGTAGAGCTATGCAAACCTGAAATAAATCTTAAGTAGCTAAGATATTTTTAGTTGTTTTCACCCATATTATTTTGGGTGTGGTTTTAACTTCACTACGCGGCCAATGATAACTATGTCAATTCTTATTCAACATGATTCCAAATTCCACATAGATTTGAAATTGATTTGGTATCCAATATAACATTTTAACTGACACAAAGTATTTTATTTCATCTACATTAGCATCAAATAGTTTGAAACTATAATGACAAGACAATGTTGAGCTGTAAATTTTCTATCTGTAATTAATTGCTCAGATTCTTTAAGATAACAATAGCTAATTATCAAATTAGTGTTTGAGTGTTTTGTCAAAATCACTAGTAGTTGAATTCAAATCGCTTCTTGTTTGAGAAAATACACTTGAATATATTTACATATCCAAATAAAAATCAATCGCATCCAAATGCGTAAAAATATTAAACTTTTATGATGTTTTATGATTCAGTGTAAGACAGTTTTTCTTAATGTTCTATTCTTTCAGGATGTAGCTTACACTGAGTGACCAAAACATCAGAAAATTTCAATTTTTTTCTACTCATTGGGCTATTACAAATAGGTTAATTTTATTATTAGGTGAACTACCCAATGTGTTTAATTTATCACGTTAAATCTTGATGATGATATCCTATAACCTTGATCAGCTTTTCTATGCATGTTATAATGTTAACCATTTTAACCACACCAAAAATGAAGGGATGAAAAAATACATAAATACGTAAGACACTGAGTAATTAAGGTTGATTACTGATGGCCAGAATTTACGCGTCGTTTGTGAATCTTCGTCTGGGTTACCTGGGATGAATTATTAAGTGTAAATTAGTTTATTTCAAACAATGTGTGATTTTATGTATGTAATAACACTAGTTCGCATTCCGAAATTAGGTGTTAGATTGGTTTGACTGATTATGAACCCCACTAAATGCCTCAGAGTAGTCCTAAATGTTAAAAATGCACCTGTAGTGTAGATCACTTCTTCATTCTATGTGTGGTTATTTTTAAAATGTTTATGTCGAATGATCGGTCAGCGTAAGGAAGTTTGCAAAAAAAGCATTTTAACAAACCAAATTTAACGAGAGACGTTTCAAAAACAACAATATAAAACTTTTTAAGATGGATAAAATCAATTTCTATGCACGATTTTGAAATTTCAGACAAATTTAAAGCACTTTAGAAATTGTAAAGAACTAAAAATTATTTTGAAGTAAAAAAAAGGAATGTTAAGAATGAATAAACAAGAAATTTCTTTAAAAAATATACTCTACTTTTATTTTTAGTGTCACATTTACAAATCCCCGTCAGTATTTTGTCTACTTTTTTTTCGAAAATTTACATGATGCTTGTCATAAACTTTCAATCCTCCTTAGAACTGCCATTATCTCCACCCGCCTCACAATTATCGTTCGTAACTAAATTGATTGTCTGCTGTAAAGGGATCCATTCTTTGCCGGTATTGGATTGTTCCGCTGTTAAATAATAAGTACCAAATTAAAGTTCGTTCATTATTTTAGTATATTCTATGATTAAACATTCAGTATCTATTTTGTTCAATAGTTAAATATTGTTTCTTTCAAATCTTAACAGTGAATAAGTTCCCATGAGATTGACTTATATCTTGTCTGTTATATAATAAGTGATCATTCGGTTTGTCATAAGGGTGTATTAAATTTTTACCCTATCGCAATATCTTTTGAAGAGTATTGTACTAAATAATACTAAGTGATTATTATTTATAACGTATTGTCAGCGACTAAGCGTTCTCAGTACCTTTGATAACTTCTTTGATTAGGAAACATTACAAGCATATTGAAAGCTTACATACTCCCAATCTACTTATTTTTATAAAGGTTTTATCCATTTACTTATTAATGGAGATTGCTTTTATATAACTTTGTGCAATAATCATAACCAGTAGATTACGTTTAGAATACTTAGATAGTTTCTCCAATGCTGTTTAGTACGTGTTTTTTACACAAAAATAAACCTAAATGTTTATGCTTACGTATAGTATCAACATGATTTAATAAAAATTCTGGTTATTCCGTGCCATGACTATCTAAGTAATTTGTTTGGTTCGACTAACAGTAGGTATGGAACAAAAAAAGGTTTTGTATTTTTATGGAGTCGAAATTATTCTTGTCTGTGTTTTGATTTGAAGCTTTTCACCAACAAATTTTCTTCTTAGTAGTACTAGAAAAAGTATTTTGTCTCTTCATATATATATATATATATATATATATATATATATATACTCAGCATATTGCTGTATGAAAACATTTTTTTTAATTGTATGCACCTATATTTGAATGAAACTTGGATGTATCTCGTGACTTATTTTATTAACAATTTTTTGAATGATAAAAACTCTTGTACTGGGATTTATATTTGTTATCCCAATTTTTTTGAGTAGCAATGTTGAATGTTTTGATGGAATATAACACTGAAAATAGAACTAATAGACAAAGTTAATTTGAATTAAAACGAATAAGCATGATGAACTTACCGAAAGAAAGAACCTTTGGTCTTGTTTGTGATAAAACTGAATCCTTTTCATGAACTCGTTTAATATGTGATTTCATATTGTAGCTTTGTGTTATAAACGATGTTCCAGATGAAAAGTCATTAATTAAGCATTTCTTAATTGTTTCAGATTTTATATTGTTCACCGTTGTTGAATTAGGTACCGTGGATGTTGGAGCATCTAGAGATTTTGAAGATAGTTCTCGTATTTTTAACCAAGGGTTTAAGACTTTGCCTTTAGATATATTGAATATACCGGGCTGACTTCTAGATGTTACCTCTGAAACGAAGTAGCAGTAGAAAAGATCACACATAAAAATTACTATAACAGAACTCAATGAATTCACGGAATAGAAGAGGCATGAGTTACATTCTAACTGAAGTAAAGGTAAGTACAGAACTGTAAGCCAAGTAACTCAATATCGTCAACAATTAGGTACTATAATCTCACCAACCATAACCAGGTAAACCATACTAGCCAACACGACTGTATCCAATTGTTATTGACCTTAAGATATGATGCGACGTTTTGGTATCTACAATGTCAGCTTCTTTCTAATTTAATTTAATACTGATAAACATTGCCCATCATGGTAGGACTTAGTCAATCTTATGTAATTGATATCTCAACTACCGCAGTCGTTTAAGTTTCGCAATCTTATTACTCGTCAACTAGACCCAGTATTGCTCAAATAATGGTCTTAAAATACACGCCATTGATTTCCTACCTCACTTCTGACCTAATGAATGGTTATGGTTTTTCATTAAAACTTCGCGAAATACATTTCAAAGTTAATTATTAGAAAGCGCGGGATTATTGAATAATTTTATCAAAAATGTCCAATACTATTTCGAAGAGCGATAAATCGCGTATGCAGAAGATGAAGATTAGCAAATGTTAGTGAAAATATGTAACGTTAGACAACTTTCAGATAACATTTTAAAGGTTCAAAGGCAAAGAAAACTAATACAGCATTCAATAAACTTACTGTTTAAAACTTTTAAACGTTTTTATCAGTAAGTTGAAAATTATTGGCCATCCTGTAATGTTTATTTTCACCGGTAACCATGACGTATAAAACGTTATTAAGTAACGATTATTAAATTGTATAAATACAAAATTACTTACCATTAATCCACTCTGTACATTCCACTTGACTTAGACCTCTAAGACGTTGCATAATACTGGCTCTCGTGTTTTTATATGGCCGAAATATAATAATGTACATCTGAAATAATGCATCATAGAATAAACAGACATTGTTTTATTTACACAAGAAACACTAACTGAGTCCAAAGCAAAATGCCTCTTATCATATTTTTCTCTTAAATGTGAACGATGTTGAGAACTGCTTTACAATTTTTCACATTTAATTGTATTTATCTATTGGTGAAATTTCTATCTTAAGAACTGGCAAATTTTATATTTTATTTTAAAGTTCATTACTCAGACATTTCGGGATTGATGAATTAGAGCCAGAGTATTTCGAAAGTTCCACTGATGATTCATGATTTCTAAAAGATTTACTATCCAAATAGACACTACTTAAGGAAGAAGAGGTTCACCTTGTGAACCAGGGAAATGTTATTGTATTTTTACTTTCATGAAAGCATATCAAATTAAAGATCTATTCAGTTCTAAAGAACAAACCAGGTCAAGCGATCCGCTTTATTCCACAGTTTCATAAATGACCACAAATTAAAATATCTCATTTCTATAGATTTGCTGCTCTACTTGGAATTTTTACGATATATCGTGTTTGTTTCGCTAATATTTATATTGATCTCGATCTACAGAAACCATCATTTTCCTAAATCAGACAGGTTACAATCGAAAGAGAAAATAATTAGTAGCTCAAGTAATCTCTCTTCAAGTAGCGCCTAAAGAGTTGCCCAAAAGCATTTCCGATATGAAATGTAACTGGTCACTCAATAAATAAGTTAGTTCTGAATCCTTATAAAAAAAATTCTCAAACACTGATCGCTTACTGATTCTCGCTAAGAATAAAAATGCTGGCTAATTTTAAAAATCAAAATTATACTGTAGTCCGTAAACCAAATACATCAACACTAGTAGAAATCGTAATCGCTACATCTCATCGTAGGATGCCTATGAGTAGGATACTGATGAGTAATTTAAAGCCCTAATAGTATTAATTATATGCGTCTACTAAATGAAAGAAACAGAAATTATATTTCAAAATCAACATAGATAATGAATAAAAAATAAATAAAAGTAGAAATCGAAAATGATCATCAATTTTTACCTTTGGTAAGATTAACATACTGAGTTCATTTGTGGCAGTTGAAATTAATAAGAAACTTAATGGTACTAATTCTAATATTGTCTTCTGTGCATAATACATTAATATAGGTGTTGTAATAAAACATATACAATTAATATAATTCACAAATGCTAATACTCTAGCTTCATTAAATCCACTTGGAACTTTTCGAATTTTATAAGCATACACAGTTGATAAACACATTAATATTAATGGAATAAAAATGGTAATAATCTGTTTAATATCAAAATATGGAAAGCATAAAATTAAATTATTTGGTAATCCATGTAATATTAATTTTTTTTTATGATTATTATTAATTCGTACTGAATAATAATCATCTTCATATATGGTGATAGGATTTTTATTCATTGTACTTTCTGGATTCAATTCATAATCTGAAAGTATCAGCTGTGGTGTAGTTGGTGAAACACTGCAGATAATAATTAACACAATGAATTGTATTAAACATGAAACACCAATGATAAGAAGTTGTGATGTTTGACCAGAGATTTTCTGTGGCTTCATAAATTGTAATTCATTGATCTAATTATATATATTTTTTCGTTGTGATGATTTATTTTGGAGGAGAAAATTACAATAAAATAAAATTTAAAAGTTATTTAAACAATTTTATAAGTATAATTGAGAATAAACTAGTTAAAAATATATTCTCTCAGCATTCTTCATTGATCTCACATAATTGACAAATTGGAATTCTGTGTATTTCCTAAAATGTGCGCTTTCAAATCTACAAACAACATCTAGGAAAACTGTTTTATTTGACATGATATAAAAATTCCATGGGACGATCAATTTATGGACAGCATCCTTCAACAAGCAGAGTACGTACCAACCAGTGTGAACAGAGTACGGTTGTTCAATTAACTGGTTTATTTTCTTAATCAGTTAATGTAAATAACCTAGCCACACATCATATTTCTCAGATAAATTAATTAACCTACTGAGATAATTCAAATGTGTTTTACATGTCTATCCATTTATGAAGTCAAATTTCAAACTTGAAGGCAAGGAATTTGTTAATGGGGCTATAATTTATGGACGACCACCTTTGAGAAATACTGACTGCTTGTTGGTTTTTAATCCGTTTGCGAAATTAACAAAAGGAATATAAGTTCGTAGATAGTATTAAGCCATATGGCTAAATGAATTTTGAGCCAAAATCCAACAACTACAACGTTCCTTGATTAGATCTCTTTGAATGATTAATCTCTACTTGCATCGCAATTTAGAAGAACTATTTGGCAGTAGATCAGATGATCTAGTTTAGTATACATCTGCATCATCAATCATATGTTACTCCGAATTCGGTAAAATTAAATGCCGTTTGGTTTCGATAAGAGGTTGATAAGAATTAATATTCCGAAGAGTTATTCGTCCAAAACGTGATCTCTATTAGTCATTAAATTAGTTCGTTCGAGTACATTTTTATCCGTACTTGTAAAGAAAATGTTATGGTTTTCAATTATCTCTGCTTTGTGTTGGGGATGTTAGATCCCCAGAACTCGCTTGATAAATATCGTTATTTTGGATTTATTTCATGGACCGACCAGTTGACCTTGAGATCACATTTCCCACCAGGAAAATCCTTGGCTGTGATTGGTTACTGTATCATTTTAGTGTGCTATTTTTGTGACCGTCCCAAGGACGTCTCTATAGAGTATAATTAATAGCGATTTGAGTTCTTGGAAACATTGTGTGCTGGCTGCGTGCTTGTACAACACACTTTCTACGCTATATCAAGATTTCTTGCTGGTACAATTGGGACAATCGGGTCACAGTAGCCTACCTGGACGCTGGTTCATTGTTTTGTTCTCGTTATTTGATTAAGGTGAACCCGTAATAGTTTAAGCATACCTAGAGACACTTTGCCATACATATCTTTTGGCATATCGATTGTTTTACGAAACTTCAGCAACAGAATAAACTTAACTAAATAATTTATTAAACCACACGGTAACATGAATATTAATGGGTATATCCTATCTAATTCACCATTAGCTTATTATAGTTGGCATTTAATGCTGATACAAGCTATTATGATTCCAAAGTATTTCAATATCAAGCCAAACATTTTTTTTAATTTAATAACTGAGTTGAAGTTGAATCTTCGGATAGTGTTACATGAATCCGTGCAGTTTATAGATTACATTTTTTACCCAGATAATTGTGAACTCTTACTCAGAATAAATCATAAACAAAGGGCAAATAACCAGCGCACTTGAAGTAGTAGTAAATGTTTTAATCGATAAAATTCAGCATTTGAGCAAATCAGTTAAACTGAATATCATTTCACGTTTTGCCAGCTTAAAATTAAAGAATATTTAGCTAATTAACAAAAGAGCAAAAAAATGTTAGGCATGATAAATAAATAAATAATAATAATACTAGTCTTACTTGAAATATAGCATTGATTCGTGAACTTCGTGCAAATATAGCTGAATATGTAAGTGTAGTACAAAATCCAACAGAAAATATTGCAAAATTACAAACAAATACTGATGGATAAAGTGCAAGAATTAATTCACCTGATAGATATGATAATATTATGCCTAGAAATAATATAATCGATGTTTCTTTACCGGATGCTTTAATTATTGGTGTTTGCCAATATTTAATGCAAATAATTGATACAATGATGCATAGAATTAAACCAATCGATGATATACCAATGGAACTTTTGGCAACTTTTTCATCTATAGACATATATTTTATTGGTAATAGTTGACATTTTGTTTGATTTTTATTCGGTCTATAACCAGGACTGCAAAATTGACACATAGGTGAAACATGCATAGTACTAGTGTTTTTGTTAGTAACACTATTCATTTTTGTATTGTTATCATTTTTATCAAAATTCACTGATGTAACAATTTGTTGTGATGAACAATTTATACAAATCCAACAACATGAACGACCCCAATCGATACGTTTAACTTGACCAACTTTACATGGTTTAGAACATACTGATTCTGGAATGGTTTCTTCAATATAAGATGAGATGTTCTCATTTATATAGTAAAAGCCTGTCAATGATAAATAATAAATACCAATTATTTCCTAAAACATAATGAATGATATTTGAAATAAGAAATATAAAGATGCAATTATTTCAACTGACGCTGTTTCCCCTTGTCAACTACATACTCCTACGCTATGGAAATGTAGACTGTTGAAACAAGTCGTTACCTACAAAATAACTTGGTATAACTACTCTTTTTCACTTTGGCTATCAATTTAGACAGAAGAATTATTGAAACATTTAATTCTTCAGCTTAGCCCTCATTCACATGGCATGTCTCTATTCTTAAACCTTCCTTCTATTCTCATAGAATATTCGGTATCACGAGACCGTACTAATTGTGAAATATGTTACTTTTTACCCATTTGTTAACTGAAACACTAGAACGTCGTACAAACTCTATCTATCATAATGTTTCCTTTCAGTTCTGAGAATTCATTTGTCAAAAAGATTTTGAACTGAAAATAATAATCAGCTACTTAACACTACCTGATTAACAGGTGTCTGATTACCATTCATAAAAATATATATTAGTTTATAAGTTTAATGAAAAGTTAATTGATAAGAAATATTTCTTTCATTCATATCTTTTTCTCCAAATATCTCAACAGCATTATTTTTTGTCAAACTGACAATTTAATTACGTTCAAAATAGAAATAAAAATGACGATTGCAATGAATGTAACTTACTCGGAGATCTTGTAGCATCATATTGAGCCAATACATTCCATCTCATTATATTTGACATAAAAGTTAATATTGTGAAATTTGGTTGACCATTTCGATGATCAAAGAATGAAAATAATTCATTACCGAAACCTGGTAATAGCAAAAAGCGGTTATAAAAAGTCATTTATTCTGTATTTTTAAAAGGAACGGTTAATTTTTAGGAAGGTAGGAAATTTTGTTTCGGTATTATCAGTTAAAGTGTTCAGTTTATATATAAGTTAAATTATATAAAATTAATTCATAAATTAGCTTTGACTAATGACAAGAGTTTCAATATACTTGCTACTTGTACCTACATACCAGAGTAGATGACCATACTGTGATTTGAATTTCATTAGCCATAAATTCAGTATTCACATTGTTAAGCACAATAGATCATACATATAAACATTAATTGTGTGGCCCCATATCACTTGATTCACATAAAGTAGAATAGTGCAATAGCGCAATAACTGTCATAGTGCAACAAATATTTAATCAAATCACCGGAATAAACAAAAGAAACTGAACTGATAATAGGAATTATTTCAACAAAGATAAAAGTGAACTATAAAGTAGTTTGAGTTTTCACTACTGCTTATCCTAGAATTGAATACTTCATTTTAAGCCTACAAATCACAAGATCTAGTTAATTAATTTAAAAAACTACTCATCATTTAATATCAACGTAATTATAATTTTATTTGTAATAATTTATTATTTCAGAATATATATTCCAGTAGAAAGAAAATCAATAGTTTCTGTAAATTACTAACTTTTCACTGCCATAGCATGCATGGTAAAATTATTCTTAGGTTTTGCAATCAATTACCTTAGCAAGAGTTTTTGATAAACCTTGGAAATATTTTATTCTTATTATGGAATAAATATTCTATGGATTTGGACATGAATTGTAACATTTAACCGTGACATAATTTTGTATCAGGAAATTATATTACTTACTGACATACTTTTGATGGATACTAAACGAAGTTATTGTTCAAGAGAAAATACTGTTTGATTGACTGCACAATAAGCTAAAATAACTGCTTACTCCAACGATACTTGCGAACATATTTTTAAGCTTTAATTGTACTTACTGCATTTATTGGGCTAGGTTTGGTCATTTTAGCTCAACATCAGTATAACTTAATTAATAAATTTTTGCAAACTCAGATGATTCAGTCAGCTACAATGTAGAACTTCCTGCGTACGTACATAAGTTCATGATACCATACCACATTAGCACAGAGGCGCAATTGTCTGTTCAAATGCCATAATGGTAGAGGTACTGTAAGTATGAGCAGTAGCGGAGATTAGGGTTCGAAGATATTATTCAAGATGTATAATCCAGTGAGATAACTATAGAAAGAGAAAGACAGAAGTGATGAGGAATTCAGGAGATTCGAATTTGAAATAAGAAAAGGAATGAATGCACCTGCGCCACTGCAATCGACTTTTTCTACCATGCTGTAGCCCACATCTACGAACATGACTCACTTCACTTGTCAGTGACTTTATGAATTTGTGACATGTTTTGATTTTCCCGCTCAACCGATTCACTCCCTATCACTAGTTCAGATGCTGATGCAAACCAACGCTGAAGCAGCATTTTGCATTTTGAGGGGGAGAATCGCATACGGAACATGCCTGCATTGTTCCTTAGTGCGGTCTGAAGTCTCTGCATTTTGTCCGCATCTTCAAGTGGAACTACGTCATCGGCATATTCTAAGTCAGATTATGCATATTTATACAGTTTGGTCGAATAGGAAACAACAGTTGAAGTGACATTGATAGTCAGGGCGACCAATAGGAATTGACCAATAGCATCAGACTTACAAACAATTATCTTAGGATATTGGATGAATATCCTAACAACCTACTCCTGAAAAGTCAGACAAAGATAATGTTATTTCTAAAAACAGTTCTATGGCAAAGTTGAAAAAATGGCGAGAGTGGACTTCTGTGTTTCAGGACCTGTCGTAGTGTGAATATGCGGTCTACACAACCACGTTCAGGTTGGAAACCAGTCTGGTTTTCTCTAGTTTGTTCCTCTTGAGCTCTAGTTGGGTGTCGGAGTATCAAATGCTAATAATTTAGACACTCTATTAGTTAGACTGATTCCTCTGTGATTGTCACAACAGGACTTTTGCCCTTTCTTATAAATCGGGACAGTCAGCGATTGAGACCAGTCAGATGGGATTATGCCCTGTTCTCGAATTCTACAAATGATTTCAGTTAATTTGACTGCTAAAACCATCCTTAAAGATCTCAGGGGTCAATCTATCAATATTCATTAGTTCCAATTAATTTTTTATTATTTTGTAATTTTTGAATTGATACCTTTGTAGAAATATTGTACAATATGAAAATAATGTTTATCAAAATTTTAAATCAGCTAAAATACAACACAAAACTAATAAAGTTTAAGAAAAACCTTTTCCAATGGAGATCATGTAAAAAATGTAATTTTCTTAGTTTCAAACTAATTAATACAAAATTGATGCCGTTCTTCATCAATGTAACAGGATAAAGATTGTACTGAATCACAGATTGCCTCGAGTTGAAAGTGTAGATCACTGGGCTTTTACTTTGTTGACCGATATGATAAACCTTTAAGTGGAATTCACCGGTCGTGGTTTGATATGGTGTAAGTTCGTGGTGATACATTTTCATCACTAACTGATTTTTAAAAAATCTTGACAAAGCTGCTTGATGAAGGTATCTATAGTTCGCATCTCGTTTGCTTAAGGAGCTTCTGTGATCTACTACCACTTATTAGTTATGACAGTAAGCAGAAATATGGAGAAGTTGAACACAAAAAACTATGGATTCCAGAAACATTCGGATTAAAATAATAATACATTAATTATAGTTCGATAGTTAACATTAAGGACAAAACATATTAAACCAATTTTCAATGTTTACCTTCAAAATGGCATTTCTGTAATTTACTTAGAAGTAATCTTCTCATTTGCACACTGGATTTATGATGCCATTTTATCATAGGATATTGCGTAAGTATTTCTTTTAAAGCATTTGCTATTGCATAAACAGAGTTGACTACATGAGGCACATAATAAATTGAATCTTTATATGAAAGAAAAATAAAATAAGAACGGAATTAGAAACAATAATACAACGTTAGAACGTTAGAAGTTGGATATTGTGTTCACTTTCAGTCGTTAAATTGGACTAATTTAGTTTAATTTATCATAAGCAACACACTTCATAATGAAACCGATATATTAGGTCACCTTATCATTCAACTTTTTTAATATGTAACTTATTCATTGACCGATAGTTTTTTTCGATAGCAGTAAGAAATCGGTGACGATGCCCATTATCATTCTCAACGGAAATCTACGTTTTGATACCAATAACTGTAGAAGAATTTAACAACACACGGTTAAATATTGGAAATGTGTGAAATGTTCCATGTTCAATATGTCTTATCACAGCGTAAATCTCTTCTGCAAGTTCTTCAAAAACATACCTTTGTACAGATATGACATGCATTCATGTTCATCTTTTGCATTACAAACTTGGCCAGTAAAATTATTTGGATCAAGTTCGTTTGGTAAGCAGCCACAAAATTGCATTAAGTAAGAACTCGTCCAGCTGGTTAAATTGAATGTTCTTTTTAAGCTGAAGTTTTAAAGAATTATTCAATTAATTTGAAAACACTGTGACAAGAATATTTGAAATAGTGAAAAAATAAACTAAAGTGTTTGATGGATTCTGTTATGCATTGAGGTCATATCAATGATAAACACTGACTTATAGATTGGAAAAGAATAAACAATGAGATTATTCAGGCCTGTCACTGTTGGACGATCACATGAAAATAAATATAATATCATTTATTGGTACTAGCCAGGTTATCAACCGACGCCTTAATTTCAACTGTGGATACTGTACTGTTAACTAAGTGTTCTAGTTACTATATATTCAAGTTATCAAAAAGTTAATTTTGCTGATCTAACTGTCTCATGTTATGATCGTACGATTCATATTGGATGCAAACATATATTAAAATATTTTATCAATATTAGGTGGAGGTGATAGGATCGACAATAGCTTCATTACTGATCGAATCGCAGTTATTTCCACCTTGAATTACTATAAAAACATATTCACACTATTCTTTTACACTCATTAAATGGTTTTGTACTTGAAACAATGTTCTTTCTTGACCTTCAACATCATTTGAGTGTTAAGTTATCATGCAGCACATTATTTAACATCTTTTCGTAGTGGCCAGCAGTACGATTTAAAATACTTGTTCCATTCATGTTGTCAGATAGACATGTATACATTTTACTAGCATCATGTTTACTCAAAATGAAAAACATTACCATTGGCTTTCGACTTAGACAGTTTTCTGTCAAGCTATTGAAATAGTGAAAGACACTAATCTTGCCATTTCTTATGCTGTTGTTTATACCTTATTACTATTAGTTTTCAGAATTGAAGTTAGTCTTAAAGTGTTACACTTTTAATTGAGGTAGAAACATTTTAATATAGAAACATCCGCCCAATGAACTCATCATACAAGATGATTCAATATCTCATATATGTACAAAAATTATAATTTTATCAAATAAATTCTTCATTTGAATTTCATTGATCCAATAGAAACCATTTCTCTTTTGATAAACTAAAATAATCATCCCTGTTTGACCCATTTTGAACATTGATTATTCTTCGAATATACTTGGCGATAAATGTTTAATACTGATTCTTTTATCTAGAAAATAAGTTTATAACTTCAAAGAAGTTAAACTCATTTAAAAGTCTAGCAGTTACTCTAGTCTTATTTGACATTAAGAAAATGATTGAATTTATCTAATTATGACTTGAGATTATTTGAAATCACGAAAGGAAACATATTCTATAAATTTCAAAATTTATATCGCGAGAAAACTTTTCAGCAGACAAAAAATGTAACAAGTCTTTTGCATGTAGCTTCACCTGGAACGCCTCTAGGGCTACTGCCTATCCCAAGCCAGGATAAAGGAGGAGGGTTGGGCATTGGGTTAGCGACCATATCTTGTAGAAAACTAACTCACTAAAGAGAGTTATAATGTCTCATGATGAGAGCCAAGTTCGTTTGGAAGTTGCGAGGTCGATGCCCTTTTGACAACCAGAGCAGCCATTCTTTTGGGCACATGGAATGTTCGGACAATGTGGGAGGCCGGAAGACTGTTCGAAATTGCTACAGAGATGAAAAGATACAAACAGATGGTACTTGGAATCCGTGGAATCCGTTGAAGACTGAAACTGCCCCCTGGAGAACTGCTGTTATACTCCGGTTATGAAGAAGAAAATGCCTTACACACACAAGGAGCTGCAGTAATGCGGTCCAAACAAGCACAAGAAACACTAATAAGATGGGAATCTCATGGACCCAGAATCAAAACAAAGAAAGAGGGCATTGCAATGAACGTCATCCATTGCTAAGCGCCCACTAACGCCTACTGTGATGACGTTAAAGATCAATTCTACGAGAGGCCACGGTCAATCGTCCACAGATGCTCATCAAAGGATTTGACCATTCTGCCAAGGTTGGCATGTATAAAAATTGATATGAAGACATCATGAGTCGACATGGACTGGGAGAAAGGAACGAAAACGGTGAGAGATTTGCAAACTTATATGCTTTCAACAAACTGGTCATTGGTGACACAATATTCTCACACAAACCCGTACATAAAGCTGCATAGATTTCACTGGATCACACTACTCAGAACCAAATCGACCATACATATCCATAAAAAATTCAGAAGGACATTGGAGGATGGGAAAATCAAGAGAGGAGCTGACATTGCCTCAGATCACCACTTGCTGTTCGCCAAAATGAAACTGAAACTAAAGAAGCACTGGACAACGGGGCAGGCAACATCACACAAGTATAATACAGCCTTTCTCCCGGATACTGGAATGCTCAACGAATTAAAGATAGCCCTCACCAATAGGTTCCAGGCCTTTCAGGATCTACTCAATGGAGAGGAAACAACCTTGGAGAACAACTGGGAAGGGATCAAAGAGGCAATCACTTCAAAATGTCAGGAGGTTCTGGGTCACAAGAAACACCATCATAAGAAATGGATCTCTGTTGGCACTCTTGAAAAAATTGAAGAAAGGAGGAACAAGAGGGCAGCAATCAATGTCAGCCAAACAAGAGCAGAGAAAAATAAGGCACAAGCTGAATACACAGAAGCAAACAGGAAAGTGAAGAAGAGCATCAAGGTCAACAAACGAAAATATGTGGAAGATCTAGCAATGACGGCGGAAAAGGCTACAAGAGAAGGAAACATGAGACAGTTGTACGATACAACAGAGAAGGTCGCTGGAAAATGTCTTAAATCAGAATGGCCAGTGAAAAGCAAGGAAGGAAAACTAATCAGGTGGGTACAGCACTTCAAAGAACTTTTGAATCAACCAGCTCCACTGAATCCACCCAACATCGAGGCAGAATCCTAATCGATGTTGACCCACCAACATTAGAGGTGATCGGCATGGCCATCAAAGAAACCAAGAGCGGCAAAGCAGCAGGACCAGAAAACGTTCTAGCAGAGGTAATGAAAGCCAACGTGGCCGCAACTGCAAAAATATTCCACACTCTTTCCAACAAGATTTGGGATGAAGAACAAGTACCATCAGATTGGAAAGAAGGATACCTGATCAAAATAACAAAGAAAGGTGATCTCAGCAAGTCTGAGAACTACAGAAGCATCACTCTTCTTTCAATACCAGGTAAAGTCTTCAACAGGGTATTGTTGAACAGAATGAAGGACTTCTTATACGCCCAACTTCTAGACCAACAGGCTGGATTTCGTAAGGATCGATCGTGTACCGACCAAATTGCAACATTACGGATCATTGTGGAACAATCAGTTGAATGGAACTCACCACTCTACATCAACTTCGTTGACTACGAGAAAGCATTCGATAGCGTGGACAGAAAAACGCTGTGGAGGCTTCTTCGACACTTCGGCGTACCTGAGAAGATAGTCAACATCATACGGACATCACCCAGAAGATACAAGTATTTATTAACAGTCGTCTATACAAAAAGTTGGGATCTGTTGGCCAGACACCATCAACAACAACCTTCTGCGGGAAAGGACAAACCAGATGACAGTGGAGAGGTAAAGCAAAAAGAAGCGGTGGAAGTGGATAGGACACACGCTGTGGAAAGCACTGAAATGCGTCACAAGTCAAGCCCTCACTTGGACCCTTGAGGTCAGAGGAAAATTAGAAGTGGAGGTAGACATTAGAAGACTGACCAAAAGTTGGATAGAATAGGCTGAAGTATACTGGTCGATGGCTTATGCTCCATTTGAGGTAACAGACGTAAGTGAGTAACTATGTACGTCTTTTGCATGTATTTGCTCATATAAACTCTAGCCCTTACTAACAAATAAACTACTTTTGTAAATGATACTGATCAAGAAATCAAACCGCCTAATCCAAATAGGTGGATTTTAAATGTTTATTTATCGGACACCAAATACATTCAAACAATATATGGTAAACAAACTATCCTATCGAATGCTGACCCTCCTTTTTATGAATTCACAGAGACCTTAGAAAATAGGAATGATAATTGCAACTACTGAAAAGACAAGTCATAGTTGTTGAAAGTGATTTTTAACTAATAGTTTTTTTTGTAATGGGGAACATTAATTTGTTTAACAAAGTACTATTTACTTAACTCACTTAATTGAATAATTTTCCATTTTTTTTAGTTCAATTAAATGTGGTAAAACTAATATGAATTTTTTGAATCCATAATAGTGTTTCGCAAACACCCAATCTAAATCTTCAGTTAAGTATAATTCTTTGAAAGTTGAAATGAGACCATTTGTACCAATCCAAAGAAATCGATCAAGATCTGATTGATTCCATTTAAGTAGTTCACTGATGGCTAAATTCGCCGTATCCGATGTTACTAATAAGATATTAACTAATGATAACGTACAAAAAATAGTGAAAAGTATACAGAACCCAATAAGTATAAATAAGTTTAATTTAAAATGCATCAGGAAGATGTGGTGATTTTATTCAGTGATTTCTGTATTCATAAAATTAATGTCATATCTGTTGATTACTATGAATCAGAAATGAAATCATTCATGACAAGTGTATAGGTAGTAAAAATAGCCAACCTTATTACATTCAAAAGGTTTTCCATAACCGTTATTTTCAGTAAGAGTTTTGGAGATTTGTGTTTGCACACATTTGAAGTCATCAACCAATCATTGTTAGACCACTATTAGAAACCTGGAAGCACTGGACGGCCGTTTCGTCCTGGTATGGGACTCATCGGCAGTGCGCATACACGACTCCTGCATCTCGCAGCATTTGAACCCATGACCGTCAGTATTGTGCGCGAACGCCTAAACATCGAACCCTTGGACAGGCATCCAACGGTGTTAATCTCTAACTCTGATTGATCTAGGGATTTTGCGCGACCGCACCTATTTGTCTTTGGCAGTTACTGCCTATACCCGACAGGGTTGAACTCCATCGGTCGCGTCTTCTCACTAGAACTCCGAGAGTTTCCTCACGAAGCTAGTCATTAGTGAGCACATAAACGTTATATCAGGTAAATGATACCAGTATCAATTTATTTACTATTACTATAACAAACATTGTAAATATTTTCTGAATTGAGGTTTGCTTATAGAAAATTTAAAAAAGGAATATGATTTTGAGAAATTTGAAGTAAAGTAGGAAGTACTCATTAGAACTAATCAGCTTCTAAACTCTATTGTTACTATATATTCTATACACGGCATTCACATCTAGAATACAATGTAGTGATGTCTGACATTATTTCAAATGTAAATTTTTTAAATGATATTTTTGCTATCTTTATTCAGTTAAATCATTCATCAACATTATTCGGATCTGACGATATGAATAATTCTGAAAATCGATATTCTCTAGTATTCTTAGTGGTATACAACTTTATTGTTAACGGCATCAAAGGTATGTACTCGTTTAGTGATATTAGTGTGTTTCTTCAGTCTCTTTTTGCTAAGCTCATGAAGACTGTTAATTGAAAATGAACTATTCTTATAAAAAATTGTTTTCTATATCGGTGTCGTTGCATTTTAAAGCAATAGTTCATACTTGCTGTAAATACAGTATTTCATTGATTAGAACTAGCATTAGCATTCAGAATGCGCCTTTTGTTCAATTTTCGATTCATCAGACTTACGTACCTTCATCCTAATATTGGTGGTCACAGTGAAAATTTCAGTGGGCATCTCGTGTCTAGATGCTAGTCATTATCAAAACATAAGAAAATTTCAAACGGAATACTATATAGCAGAAATCCTTTCCTGATCCCATCCTGAATCACGGCAGGCAATAATGTAAGAAAACATTGTGATCACAGCACAGACTTAATGCTACTATTTCAAATAAAATAAAAATGTATCATTTATAACGTGATTTCTACTGAGACTTGAATTTCTTATTGCATTTTCTGATACAAAAACAGAAAGCATACAATTATTTCATACAAAGCTTCTTACTCTTATTGTTAATACAAGAAAAGTGGTTTGAGATAACTCAAGTTTAGTCTCACTATTTTCTGATTTCTGCCTCATGATTCGTGAGTAACATAACTGTGACGAGATAAAGCAAAGATTTCTAAATCAGTTTTTTTGCTCTGTTTCTTACCAACCAGTCAAATAAAATCTTTGATATCTGTTCAGTAGTATTAAAGATGAATAACTTTCCATTGAAAAAACAAATAAAACCAGCCATGTTTTAAATCAAGTGACTTTGTACAGACCAGCTAAAAAATTATTGAAAATCCAGTATTAATTGAACTAAACCAATTTGTTTTCACTAAGGATACGATTTAAGACACATGTTTGACGTTATGTGCTTTCAAGTCAATCATACTGAGAATGGGTCCTTCGCTCATGCATAATATGAAATGAGAAACTCACTATATTGCAAACTGAATGTTGAAAATGGAAATAACAAGTTGTAAAGAAAAAAACTAATTTGCTTACTTTCTAACATCAATTTCATTTCCCTCTCTCTTTCTCTCTCTATTTGTCTAGTCATTTAATTTATAAATTTATATACTCTTTAATCGAAATTTCAAGTTTAAAAACATTCTTATTGTTCAGTACTCGTTTCACCTACCTGAAGCCGGAGAATCTAATAATGTTTTTAATCTTTTACCAATATCTATAGCATCCAAAGGATAAGTAATCAGTCTAACATCTTTTGCTACACATATTGTTTGACTGAATCGATTCAATTTCTCCATAAACACACCGTAATTAGATTCACCATGCTCAGAACTGTCCATCACAACATTGACATAAAACCAGTTATATTTCCTATTGAAATTGTGATTTCATATTTTTATGGAAAAAAAGAAAGTTCAATTTATTCAGTAAGTGGATGTTTGACAAAAGCAAAATATCTATGTAACTTATTGACAATTTTTTCTCCACTAAAAAAAGATACTCTTATTAATGATAACAGCAAGATTGATGTTAGTATCATCAATTTAGTAAGAAAATTATCAATCACTAAATTTGAAGTTAATTTATCAAAATCAAGCAATCAATTTATTACTGGAAAAATAACTAATCGTATGTTCACATTCAAACTGTTTGATAATTATAACAATCCGACGGACATTTCAGGCACCGAAACTCATTTTAACATCTGAATTTATTTCATTAAAATCTCTATTTGAACGACAATATTTTTGACATACTTATTCATCTATGTTATCGACTAAAATAGAGTACAGATTTGTAAGGACTTTTTATTAGAACGTGAAATGTGAAAATGATTTCGTAACACAATGTTAGATAAAGTACTATCATTATCATGATTGTTATACTGCTATCAATACACTTACTTACACTAGACACTGTGGTGTTAAAGCCTTACTCATAAATTTCAAATCATTGTCTTCTCACGGTAATCTGCGACTACTGAAATTCAATCGTGTTGAAAGTAAGACAAACATTCCGAAAAACGTAGTTTAATGAGCGCACTATATTGTTGGTTAGCTCAAGTTAGGAATGTGAACCATTGGTTACCAGCTTTATCGACTACGTATACCGTATTTCCCAAAAAATTTTGACAATTCCTAATTGTTTGCAAAACATGAATTCAAAAACAGGTCAGATCAACTATTCAGTACTTATCAGTTCCAATAGTTCACTTTGTTCTAACTCTGCAATCCAACTCTTAAACTAAGCATTCTCATCCCAAAATGTCTGAATTATTTAAAGTCATGAAATTTTTTTCATTCGATTTGTTGGCTATGTACTGAAAAACATCATATTTTACACATTTTTGAAAAAACCGACCTTCTAAGTGAAGCGGTTTAAATTTTTAACTCGTTTTATTTCTTTACTTACTTATTACAACTCCGCATGTGATGAATTTATGATGTCTTTATATACTATCAGAAATTAATTTACTATAATTCATAAACTCAACTTGAACTAAACATTGATCTTGTGTTGTTGTGACATTCCAACTCCAAATAATCGATTCCTTTGATCAGAGTTTCATATGATTGTAATTATATGTTTTGTTTGTTTATACATTGGACTAACTCAGTTTATAATTATCTTATCTAAACACTTTTGAGTTATTTTTTTTACTAAAAAATATAACTCTAATGCTTCATTTACGTACAGAGTAAGTAGGAAACAAAAATTAACAGATTAAATTATGTAACATGGTAAACATGTAAATCAATAACTTGTTTGAGTTTTATAATCAGTCATTCATCTGCCTAATACATTTCATATACTATAATAATACTTTGAAAATCTTGTTCAGTATACTTCTGATAATCATATTTAACATAAGTCCAGTATTGTACATAAGCGTATTGACATAAGCGTATTGGCTTACAGTCTAATTAGCCACTAATGCCATTGCTTACCTTAATGTGGTATGATTTATACTAAAGGTGTAAACTGGAAAATAGACTTGGAAAAATGTTCATCGTTGTGCCTAAAGCAAGAGACAATCCCAGTCTATGAAATCATTAAGTATTATTCTGAGCTACATTTGAAAATGCTAACGTTTTATTTGGTGGCTGGAAGATTTTCAAACCTTAATCCATATGGTGGGAAATAGATTTCAGTAAAGCAAATAAGTTCATCCTTTATCTTGCGCTAAATTTTCAAATCAGTATTTCTATTGCTCTCATTTTATTTGAATCTTTTGAACAAAATTTTTAATGTTTATCTCTTCAGCACCTTTGAATTGAATCGTAGAAACTTGAGTGGATGATAATATTTTTCTAAGTTCTACGTTATTGGTCATTGAAAAGACAAAAATTATGCTACATATACATCCAGCTTTTATTTACAGATAAATTAACGAAATCCACACATTAATACTTACCTCAATAAATCAATGATAGCATCCATTGTCATACTGATGCTAGGAACTGTCCTCATAAAATACGTATATTTTTCAGCATCATCTAACTGTGACGAAGCGGACATATAGCTTATCTGTGATTGAAATTTAAAAAATCGTCTTATTATCATACTTTTTATAAGGGATAATCAAGGCTTTATATGACCATGACTTCATAGATTATTGTATCAGAGTGAGAATAGCAAATCTCTTAATTGCTTATGCATCTTATTTGAAAATACTTATATTTTTAGATGTGGGATTTGAAAGTCTTTACAATAGTTAAATAAGTTTATTGTTGTTCTATGTAATTTTCGATCGAAATGTTTTATAAAGACTTTGATAAAGTAAAATTTTGTGTAAAAATACCGTTATTTGTTTACTTTACATGAACTTTCACAGAGGGTCTTACGATTTTTCGAACCAACAGATAACTCTGCTAAATAGAAGTGGTTTCTTAAAACAATGAAATCTGATACCCTACAATCCATTACCATACATCAGGTCTGTAATAGGAAATCTGATCTAATAATGTTTGTATGTAAATACATCTGCAATACTTTCAACTCAAAATGTATAATTATGTATTCGAAAAATGAGTTAAAAAGGTTATTTTGTAACTTGGAAAAATCACTGATGAAATCTATAAAATCCAGAAGGCTAGTTGACTTTTTCTCCAGACTATTTGTGAATAATCAAACTCCAGAAAATCCTCCGTGAGCGTGGCTTTAACCGAAAGAAATGTCGGAGGGGAAAGCAGCTGAAAAGCATAATTTCTTATGCTTTTCGGCGGTGTTTGGACGTTCTAATAGAAACGGGACAACGTTTACTGCTTTAAACGAGTCTTTTTAAGGGGAGATAAGACTAAAAATGTCTTAAAATCTATAAAGGGATGTTTATTCCGTCGGTTCGTTTATTTACTTACATTTTTTAATAAACTCTTAAACTTACCTGTGGTAAATCTAGGAATTTTAGCATATTTGCCGCACTAATAGATACATCACTTTGTGAACCACCAACAACAGCTAAAACGTTAGTGTCCATAGATTTCTGATTGAAACATTCTTTATAACCAGTCTTTTTGGTACCATTCATCAATGAATTATCACACTAGAAAATAATAAATAATAAACAATCCAGTTACAACAAAGCTTTTTGGGACCCTCTAGAACTCAGATATACTTAAATTACTTTCTCTCAATCACTTAAATTTATTTCAATTTAATCTTTATTTCACAAACTGCTGAATCATACAGATGGATCTGCCAATACGTAAAACCCTTGAAACACGGCAGAAGAACCTCAAACGTAAGCATACACGTCTAAATACGTAAGTAAGTTTTATGGAATTTTATATTCATTTAACCATTATTATCATAATTATGGTGTTTTGTTTATATGCTATTATCAGATTTTGAATGAAGGTATTAATTATTATTAAAGTTAAATCTAATCAGGAAAATCAATCCGATACAGTTATAGAAAGTCAGAGAAATAGTTTGCATTTAAGTCAGTTCACAGAGTTAATAATTCATTGACTAAACCATGCTACTTTTGCTAAGCATATTTAAATTCATCAATAAAATAACACATATGTTTCATAAGAGCGCAAAAACAATATACACTGTTGATAAATGTAGTTATCAAGGTTAAATTTGATAGCTTTAATTAATTTGGGCGATGGATGGATTATTTTATAGTCTCATAAGTATACCATACCTAACAGCCAATAATGTGTTGAAATTTTTGTGTTCCTTACATAACAGGTTATCTAGTAAATTGTTGAAAGATTAATCAACTCTAATGAATGTAGAAATTAAGAACCCAGAATAACTTACAATAATAAAACGAAGTGATTGCATAAAAGCTTTGTCTGGATTTTCACATGTATCAAAAATTAAAGCCCCAAGTGAAAAGTTTAGGTAATTTTCACGCGAATTAACATTATCAATTGCATAAAGCATTGCCTCTAAAAGCTATTAAAAATAAAATAAAATAAAAGTTTACTTGTGTCTTCATTCCCACAAATGAAAATTAGTCACATCAAACATTGAACATATAGAAATTAATATTAAGTTGATACTTTGTCTTACGGGTTTTTTGGTATTGAGTTTTGAAATGCTTATCTGAATAATGTCCCATAGAAGCTTGGCCTAGTTACGTATCATTAGAGACATTATGATTTATTTAAATTTTTAATAAATAATGTCTCCAAGCAGTAGGAGTGATGAGTTAGGTGTTTTAAAATTGGTCATTTGACATGTGCACGGAAGATCCTATGTTTGATTCTTATAAAGTCGTGGGGCTTTGTTACTGTGAAATCTCCCACTACAATGAAGCAACAATTTAGCTCTTCCTGGTTTTAACTGATACTTTGATAGGGATGGCTTCGAGAGATAGATTACCTAAAAGTATATTTCTATTCGTTTCATGAATTCTGTATTCGTTTTCGACATCCACTGAAATTATATAAATTCGTATCACTGATAAATGTTAGACAATTAAGCAAGTGATAATCGCATCAGAAAGGTTACTCTTGATTTTGATGCAATTACTTTTAAGTAGACAGAATATACAAAAAATAATTATGATAAAATCGTCCTGACTAATGAAATGATTACTCTCACCTTATATCCGTTAGCGGTTAATTTAGGTTCTTGTAATATTTCCTGATTAATAACTGAACGTTGGTGGATTGGAAACAAACCACCTATTAAAACATCACCTTCATACAGTAAATATTCTGAATTATCTTCTCCATAAGTTGATTCATATTTAAGTCTACCATGTTCACAGTTTATCATTTCAAATTGAACAGAACATATTATAATAATTATTGTGATAAAATAGTTGATATTCATGACATAGAATACAAGCAGTTGTATATTTCCAAAATGTTGCAAAAACTTCGTACTAATTCATTTGTCTTATTAAAAAAGTATTAGACTGAATTACACCTTTATATTAATAATATAAACTGAACTTTAATCTTTATGCTTGTTAACGAAGCAAATTTGTGAAATCAAGTATGTGTGCTAAAAAATTATATTTTACACAAGATGTAATAGTAGAGTATCAGATGATTACACAAATTTTTATATATATGTTGTGAAACAGTTCTAGGAAGTATTTCATATAAGCAATCAATAACTTCATTTCCTAACCTCCTTTAAACAGTTTCAGGTTTATTTAACAACGCATATTACGATGAAGATGATTATTTTTACAAGCTTCCAAGAAGAGGCTGTGATATTACATCATGGTATCACTTAAAAATATTAATACATACTATCTTGAAAAGATTATGCATTAAATATTTGTCAAACGCCATGCTAAATAATTTGGAGTTATTTTTCAAGAATTATCAGTAATCCTAATATGTAGTCAGTTAAATTCGGTTGGTTTCTCACCAGCTTATAGTCTCCATTTATTCGTCTCAGAACTCGAAGATCTCATGTTTAATATCTGGTAAGGTCATATAAGCATAATAACAGTGATGTCATTTAGTGTTTCATAACTTCCAGTTGTTCCTGAGCTAATAGCAGTTCTTAATGAGATCTGTTTGTTAACATAATCTGTAAATTTATAAAATGTTTATTTCCTTAAATTTGTTACCTTTTAATTTACTTTCAGTGAAATATAAAGCTCTACAGTAAGTGACCATGTGTTTTTATGATGGAGTGAATGTGCCTGTTCGCCCATTTCTGAGGGACAATTTCGGTATTCTTTCGATACAACGAAAAAGCCAGCAAATGTACTTATGCATCTGGATTGTTTCTTGTTACAGATTCAAGACGGAATAAAGCATCAAGACTTGAACGTAACTGGTTTGTATAAGTTATCACAGTCATTATCCTCCACTCAAACTTTACAGATCTAGATAACGGTCATAGACAGTACCTATGAGAGGTAGCAATACCATGAAGGTGACTTGCATCTTCGCAGAATCATGAGTAATTAGCTTTGATTGTTTTTCGTCTATTACTCCAGACCGTGTCTGGTAGTTCCCATTTGGATGTTCCCGCTGTCAAGCTACATTACAAAAAATCTCACGATTCCAGGTGACAATCTGCTTTCCACTAGTCAACTATTTGACAGATATGTAGGGATTTCACTTTCATGAATAAAAGCATAATTGGTTAAATAATAGCAATTATTATTATATTCAGCTGTATCAGTGAATACATTATCAAACGTTTGTTTATTCGTAAATTTTTTACGCAATGACCTGTAGTGGAACGCTTCTACGAAGAAATTACGATTTGTGAAAAATAAACATTATTGTACTCGTTTTGTTTAACTGTACCAAAAACACTTTTACGACTTCTTGCGCGCAACATTCTCTTTGCGTTGCTGCCATTTTTCTCTATTTGCTGTTCCCCATGTAATGCCTACTCTCTCCTTCAATAAAACCTCGGACCATGGATTTGTTTTGATATGAATAACGGCGGGATATTATGGAACATTTAGTGGTGAGCATAGTCAATCTAGTATCTTGACTCGCTCACTAAAATTGGTGAGCCGACGTTTCTATTATTCATCCATCATCATTTTTATAATGTTGCGATACTATTATTAATGTCTTTAATATATATTATACTTGCAACAACTTTTCGAAATGGTAAATAGCTATAATAATAGACTCCAAGGTGCAGGTCAATGTATTTTCACCTGTCTCCCCCTTATCACTTCAGGTTGTTAGTTTATTTCATGTGTTCGATTTTCGCACTAACGCTAGGTACTTGGTGGCCACAAGTGCCCAAGTTCCTGTCGTATTGTTTGGTAGCAGTAAGTCATAAGCTACGATACTTCGACCACGTTCTGCGAATGGCTCTGTCATTCCTACCTACGGTAAACGACAGCTAACTATCAAACTGAATAATCGATGACAGTATCTATGGACGTTCATCCCTTCTGATGTTTCCATAGCAGTACTCGGTATCGGTTCCTAACAGCACTATGAATTGCTAGTCGATTCACGTAGGCTGCGTTAATCGATACTTCGTCGAATATCAAATCCATGGTATTTTTTAACGCGCAAACAGATATGTACCGAATCACCAATATACACATTTCGCATTACTACTTATTTCATGTTATATTTGATAAATTCCCCAAAGTAACGAAACCGAGGAGATTCAACAGGTGATCAATTATGTGGTAAGCCATATCGTCACCCGCAGACCCCCAGTCACAGCAAAACCTCGCCAACTGGAACTGGACAACTTAGTTTTCGCTAAGCGTGAGTTGACCAGTTTACTTGCTATATGTATTACTTCGTCTTTCTCACAGTCCTTAAGACTCCTCTCTCCACTCGGTTCGCAGAAAGATGGCATTTGTTGGAAACTACATGGCGATCACGGAGCAGCAACGGCAGATATCCAATGTTCCGCCTCCGAACTTGTATACGACATGACATTTCATCTGCCTGGGGGAATTTTTTCACACCACGGAGCAGCGATTTTAGGTATATCAGATAACGTCCAACGACTATCTGCGTAGATGCGAATACTGCCTCCGGTGTGAACTCGAATATAACATCGACAAGTCGCTATCCCTCGAGAGTTATTTACCTGTCCGCAAGTTTTCTTACTAGTAGATTCGGTACTCAGCAACCTTACGAAGGATAATTTCACGTGATCTGTCGTCACGAAAAGACCTTCAAGGTTGATGGACACAGTCAGCATTGATCGTCTCATACCAGCACACGTTAATGACAGTGCCCTACCTGGTAAATAGAGATTTAATGCTGTACTCGTCAAACTCACTAGTGGGATCCTTATTTTTCCTTCTGATCCTACACTAGCGAAATCAAAGACCTCCTCCTCACGTCCCAGTCAGCAGCACGCGTCATCTGAAGTATCTACGGACGAGACTCCGGTCTCACGTCCAGATCAGCAGACCATGCCGCATTTGACTGCGGATGAGAATGCAGGATCATGAAGTAAACACGAGGATACGGTCTCGCGTTCCGGTCGCCGCGTACGCCTACCTGTACGCTTTCTCGACTAACTAACAATCAACCATGGGTTCGGCATAGGATTTTACCCTCATGATACATGCATGCTACACTTTTCTCCCTTTTCTTTGATTTTTTATATCCCGAGCCTATACCTCCGACCACTGCCCTGTTGGTACCATCGACAACAGTCAACCTTGGCGAAAGCTGGCCTGATCACCCACGCTCTTGTCAATGCTCTCAGTCGATTTTCTAGTTACGAATATATCTGGTATACGAATGGTTTCGCACTGGTCGTTCCTGGCTCCTTCGCTCAATCTGGTTCCGTCCTACCTCTGCAGCTTTACCTGGTCCGAAGCCCTACAAAAGCAATCTTCAGACTCTGGATACGAGCCACGCTGGTGTGTCATGCCAATCCGATAGAAAAACTTGGCACGTCAACTCGAGCAGCAAACCTGGCAAGTTACTACCGGTGCAGTTCAACGTAGAAGACTATCGGTGACAACACGAGCTTCATTGGTCGTTTCCCGTTCGTCAACCCTTCCGCACTACAATCAAATGTTAGTCGACCAACCCCCTACCCCGAACGCAGCCGCTATGAATCGAAAGTGTGAACCCTTTCTAGGCGGGGGCAGCTGTAGTGGAAAGCTTCTACGAAGAAATTACGATTTGTGAAAAATAAACATTATTGTACTCGTTTTGTTTAACTGTACCAAAAACACTTCTACGACTTCTTGCGCTCGACATTCTCTTCGCGTTGCTGCCATTTTTCTCTATTTGCTGTTCCCCATGTAATGCCTACTCTCTCCTTCAATAAAACCTCGGACCATGGATTTGTTTTGATATGAATAACGGCGGGATATTATGGAACATTTAGTGGTGAGCATAGTCAATCTGGTATCTGACTCGCTCACTACAGACCATTGCCGTTTTTGTAGGTATATCAGCAATGCACTGCGATTACTTTGCTCCCCTACTTTCTTGTCTTCATCTTTCTTCGGCTGCTCTGTACCGTCGTTTCTCCTGTAGTACGCTTCAGCATTCCTTCGATACTACGAAACCGCCAACAAATACACATGTTTCATCTGGTCTATACAGTCTTCTTCCTTCCAAAAGTGGACTGAAGATAAGATAAGATTAAGCAGACCCCATCATCTAAAACAAAAAACAAACTCAAGGCGTCCTGGAAGACCTGCTTCTACTCATCTGAAGTCCACCATTGTTTTTGTCTAACACATTTTACAACTAAGTACATCTGTCTGCGCACCTCACAACTCATTACTGCAGTGATTCTGATATCATTGTCAACCAGCTTAAAGGACCTTATCGAGTAGACAGCACCTTTTATCACGATTTTCCAGGCATGCAATTAGAAGACACAACCACCGAGTATGAATTGTAAACCGCGATAAGTAATGAACACATCAAAGATTCGCTGATATCTGATATCCGGCCTAAACTGATATATTCTGCGAAATTTTAAGGTTACCGGAATATACAAATGACTGCAGCAGCTAGAAGATTCAATCAGCTTATTCATTTTTCTTATCGTTTTCCATGTTTCGCAACTATTAGATCCCATTATTTATATAGACTTTACCAAAGATAACAAAAAACTGAAAAGATTTTAATTTCGCTATTGCTAATTGTTGATGCCGATTTTGACTAAACCGACGATTATGACAGGGTAACTTGATAATTGCTGACCTTTGACTACCCACCGAAAACATAAGCTTGAATTTATTAGTTGGATATTTGATTTCATCTTTTTCTCAAACACTTGTCGGCTCTGAGTTACTAAACACGGATTTATTGATCACTACTTTTGCTATTCATTATGCTATTTTTTACCTAAAAAATCTTTGGTTGTTATATACAAGCAGTGCCGTTTCGTAATTTCAGTATCATTTATTTTTCTCCTTAAATTAACACCTATTAGACTCAGCACAGAGTTTTTTTTCAACATAATTTGGTGCGAATCGCTCGGAAACGCTATGTGCATTACAAAACAACATAATTTCGTTTAATCGAATGAACTTTGGTTCCTCACCTCACCGTTAAGAAAAAATTTTGGAAATACGGTCATTATAGTATTTAAGAATATCAATCCAAATAACTTGGGAGGATACGAACAAACTTCTTAGAAAATATTCATCTTACATCCAAATCATCTGGTAAACAACTTGATTTCGTTCAAGTCAAAACTTATTGCACATTCCCAACAGGTGAATCGTCTGACTAGAACCCAGCCGTTTTCGTCCTCTTGCTTTTCCCACAGTATGAAATACTGCTGATTATAAATTTCATTTCTTCAGACTGAAATTAGAGGGAACTAGTGAGTTTACAACGGCAGTAACAAGCTGGTTAGCAGGAATGATTCGAACCTTGTGATTGAACTTCGCATTATCTGATTCGTCTTCAATGACAAGCGTGCTTCCTGTATGTTCGTCCTAATACTCATCCACCACCTAACTAGTATCTCAGGTTTTCAAATTTCACTATGACCAGATGATCAGGAACGTTACTTTGAAGTGCCACTTAAGGGTGTTATTGGAACATTTCAAGATGACATCCATTTGAAATACGACAAGACTAACGAAAACTACAGTTGTGGTGAATAATTCAGTTACAATTTGAAATTGATTCTGAGCTAATTATTATCACTGTACACACCCCCAGCTGAAGTCTCATAGTCATTAATTCACATCCGACCACGTTTGAGTATTCCGGACTGCACATCTGACATAATCTGTCACCTAAGTTTTCATACATTTCGGTACAATGATCTTCAAACACTTTTGCCTCCTCCCTAACAATAACAAATAGAATCTCAGTTTTAAAAAGTAGTGCTAAACCTACAATGTATTTCCTGAGACGTGAAAATATAAAATCAGACTTTTACAAAAACCACACTTCCTAAAAGAACCCAGAGATCACTATACGATACAATGTGTGTCTCTTACCATTAGCATCCCTCAGACACAGAGGCAGATATTGTTCGAGATTTTATTTATGGGAAATGAGGTGATTAGTTTCCGGGATAAACGTGAAACCGAAGTAAGTGACTGCTTAGGACATTCTCTGAAAAACTTCTACATAACAGCTCTTTGCCATAAAAAGGATACCGCACTCTAGGAAGGAATTTCAAGAACAGAATTGGAAAATATCTTCGGGCTAGAAAATTTAACCTTAGCCCCATAAGCCAACTAAGTTGAAAACTTGTGCAGTACACAACGATTGGATAGGATGTGGCATCGATGTCTTCTATTATTCACAATCATTTGCACCCAAAATGACTGCTGAACTACTTGAGAAGGCACTATTAGTATCGACCAGGAATGAGCTTGCACAAAACCGGTACAAACTTTCTCTCGGTAAATTATGGAACTGATAATTAGAAGCAGCAGAAACAAAACCCTTCTCTGTACCTTTGAAAGGAGGCTTAACCGTTCACTTTGATTACGTAAGTACAGAGGGTGATTACTCTATGTAACACCCTTGTCCAATTTAATTATTATTACAATAACAGTTTCAGAAAGAATATAAAAGACTCGAACCTTTTGTCAATCGAAAATTACTTAATACCACCAAAACGCAGACTTCAGGGAATTAATAATTCAGCGAATCTACCTACCATTATTTGGAGCTTGAATGAACTTTGAAGTTCCCATAGAAATACTACTACTTAGCAGGGTGTGGCTGGATTTCTAGCCCTCAAATAACTAGTGCGAGAATAAACAAATACAAATGCACAACGGAAAAGAACCAAGAAAATTTTTGATCCTCTATCGTCTTAGTACGAATCTTGGACCCAGTTTGACCTTGTACATTAAGGCGGCTTGCATCTCTGTGGCGGCAAAGACTTAGAGTTTGTTATTTGTTCAAGTTTGGTTATTAAGATGTATAAGTAACTCTAGAATAGATTTTTGTGGTTAAAAACTTATGCATCCTGCAAGCAGTATAGTTTGGTTGTCTTTATTACGATAAGTGAGGCTTATATTTGCATAGTGTGATTAAGTTATCCTTTAAGGGTAGGTAACTATCATATGTGGATAATCAACCCAGGTCAGCACATTTCAGTCTACCTATCAATTGTCTGTTTTTAAAGGCTTTGATTTAGCACAAAGTCAGGTGTTAACATAACCTATTTACGAGGAAACAACTATTTAAGTATTTTGGCTTAATAAAGTACAGATTTGTCCGTCAGTCTAATGCCTCATCGGTCTGAAGAAGTTCCGTCACTGCATCTTACAAACTTGTATTCATTTAGTGTAATATTTCGACTACGGGCTGTGTGCGTTAGCCGGTTCCACCTTATTATCTTTTCCCGTTTCTACTTGTTCACATTGAGTTTTTATCATGTTATATAATCTATAACACTCAATTATTATAGGATTGTGTATGTTTCACTCATCTTAAGTCGGAAAATTGGCCTTCTAGGCTCAATTTCTGTCCTCTATGTTGACTGGTGTCCTTAAGGCTCGTGGTTAATCAAGATGTATAAAAATTCATTTGTTTGTACAAAAATGTATGCTAATCTGGTAAAGTTAGACTTCATATTAGGTAATTATGGTAGGACCTCGTGGCATTTGGTATTGATTTGCAGTTACGCTAAATTTTTAATATGAGTTCCCACATTTGATCCAGACTAATCACCTGATAAACCTTAATGTTACATTAAATTAGTTAAGTTGTCAAATACTCGACTTCCCATCACTGAGTTGCGTGTTGTAGCATTTTCTGTTCACCTTTTGAGAAGCTTGATACCGTTTGTAGCCCCTACAAAAAGTAGCTCAGCCAATTATACAAACATGTTTTTGGTTAATAATTATTAAAATTGCACACCACTCTCCCATAGTTCCAAAGAAGACTCATCAAGTGCTAAATCTTCCTTATCATACCTAGTTGCCGCCACATTTCGTTGTATCGCATCCTCAAAATATTCTTGTTCCCTCCATCTCCAATAGATTTATCAAATATTAGTCCATTTTTGATGTAGAAAGTAATTAAATGCTGTATATTTTGGGCGAATCATATTGACTGTATTTTGTTAGTCTAAAAACTGCCTTTCCCAAACACCTCATAATTTCAGAATTCCTTATTTCCGACATTACTATTCATTTAGATTCAATGGCTAGTCAAAACTCCGATTTGCGTCGTACTACCATGGTTGGCGACTGCGACCAACAAATTATGAGTTACAATGTTCATGGTGCTGTTTTTCACGCAGAAAATAATCCCTCCACTTCGTTTAATGAGGAGATATTTGATGCTTGTCGCAATGGGGATGTAGCTCTTGTAAAATGTCTACTGGAAAACGGAGTGGATGTTAACCTCAATGATACTTCAGGTCGAAAGTCAACGCCGCTACATTTTGCCGCTGGGTATGGCCGTCGAGACGTTGTTAGTCTTCTATTAGATCACAACGCAGATGTTTCTGCTAGAGACGAAGGAGGTTAGTTTTCTAAACTTCAATAATTATGATACTACATTTCTTTGTCTATTAAAAGGAGAAGCTGATGTATTTCTTCATACTCAAAGTATGAATAATATCGATTCCGTTTTTGAAAATAATACTCAGGTTTCTGAACCTTCCTGTCTTTGACTGTAAATAAATAAGTTTTCGATTTTGACGATTTTCGCGAAACTACAAACCTATTCCTTCTACCGTATCATGTATTGACTTTAATTGTGTTCAATATCATCTGTTTATCACTAGGACGGATATATGAGATCGCTTCAAAGCCACAATCTCAAAACATTAACAAGAGGGATAGATATATAAGTAGAGGGAGATTCACGAACATAGATCATACATCTTCATGTATCTATTCATATAGATCCCAGTGCAAAATAGATTACAACTTCTTTACTTGGCGTTAAAACCCTTTTTATGGTTCTGATCGTTAGACTGTACCATACTAAACGTATGATTCTTGAATACAAACTACTTTGTACTCAGTTTTCACGTCACATGTCAGTTTTTTCCCTATATATGTGCATGTAAAATATTCATGACACTTCTTTTGTACGTTAAGGCTTGATCCCCTTGCACAATGCATGCTCCTTCGGACACGTTGATGTGGTGCACTTATTACTGTCAGCAGGCTCTGACCCAAATGCCGAAGATTGCTGGAACTACACACCTCTACATGAAGCTGCAATAAAAGGAAAAGTAGAAGTGTGCATTTTGTTGCTTCAGGTATGTCATTTGGTGTTGACTTTCTTATCAGCATGACAACTTTAAGTAAGAATTTATTTAAATTTTTATTCGTTGTGTAAGGTTATATTAGCTGTCAGCATGATTAATTAGGTTGCACCCTCTGTACTTAATTATCGGGTTTGTATATATGTTTATATCAAGTTCCTAGGTGAGACCAGTTCGGTAATAAACATGGCTCTAACTAGAAAGCATTCACACACGTATTCCAGGTTAGAATACTTGCAACGCCCAGTTTAGGCCCCATGTTTCAGTATAGCATTTTTTAAGGAAGCTTTATTTCTCTATTGCATATTTCTCATTCGTTATGAAGTACCTGCAATTATGCATAAAATTACTTCGAAGCTTATGTTTGATGGTCTATACTGATATATTTGTTTTCTACTATTGCTTTAGTTATTGCGGATCGTGTAAAACAGAATTTTATGCCCCGTTTTCAGCATAGAACATAGACATACTAAAACCGTACTTTCTATTGTTAAATTTAGTAAGAGTATGTATTAGTAAATTGTATATTGTTCTCTTCTCTAATTAGGCAAAAGCCAATCCTCATGCTCGAAATTTGGATGGGAAAACTCCTGTTGATTTGGCTGAGGGTTCGGCCCGTTTAGCTCTTGTTGGTGAGTATAAGAAAGATGAACTACTAGAAGCCGCTCGAAGTGGGAACGAAGAAAAGCTTTTGAGTCTTTTGACCCCGCAAAATGTAAACTGTCATGCTGGAGATGGTCGCAAATCTACACCATTACACTTAGCTGCTGGTTATAACCGGTAAGTAATCTGTCAATCTTTCATTGTTCTAACTTTTTAAGATCATTTTTAAATCTGGAATCCATATTTCCCATTCGATGATCGAAACAACTGTACTTTATAGTTTATTTTCTTAATTAATATCATTTTAGTTCAGTTAGTAAGATCAGCTGTAGGAGATAACGCATCACACTTATGAAGACTGTTTAGTTCGCTTCGCCTAAATACCTCAAACGACAGTCACAATGGCTATTACAAATGTATTCATTTTAATAAGCTCTAGATTTCTATTTCGCTTTATTTCCATTCTTTCTTTGTTTTTATTTCCAAACTCACTGGCTCGCTCACCCATGGTTCTGTCCTGTTTAGATTATTCCAAATCACTGACTGGTCGAAGTCCGGAACGCTACCACCGAATACACAATTTGAGTCAGTTTTTTCAAAACTGACCTATTCTTTAATGTTCACATGTTGGCGCAGTTCACTCGACAGATAGGTTTGGCTGTTTTCGGAAGGTCTGCTTTATATACGACATTCGGACCGAAGGACCTTCCCATATCTTATATTTTTTCTGGTGTTGACGTCGTACTAAGCGTCAGAAGATAGGCGGTACTAATCGATTAAGTACCTAACAAAAGTCGTTTATGTGTTATTGGGTTAGAAGACTCCATCAAAGTGACGAGAAACTGGTATGAAGAACGACATCCTTTGGTAATCTTCGGCTCTGCTCCCATAGATCACACCTTGGGTGCGATCGAGGATTTGTTCTGCTATCATTGACTAATCTTGTAAGGGCACGTTCGACAGATATCGTAATTCTAAAAAGGTTTAAATACATAGGTCAGGCATCTAGATACAAAGAAGAGTCTTGTAGGTAGCTGGTGAAATAACTGTGATCGTCTCCTGCAGCTTCGTGAAGACCTTAATCTGTTTCTAGACAGCACAAACTCCCTGAAAAGTCATCACTGATATGCTACCTGATGTTGTCTCCCTGCAATTCAAGCCTTAACTCAAATTAGTCACAATGCTACGGCTCTCATGGTCGTGTACAAAACTGGCGCTCCTTTAGAGTACCCATCTAAACGGTGAATACAATAAACTGTCATATCTCTTGCGTAGTCATTTAAGTAACATCAGTTGCTTGTGTTTTTTCATTTTTATAACCCTACCTAATGAAAGTTTACCATACTATTGTTAAAAAATTGCGTGTGAGTATAGTTTTAATTGAATAGAAGATCCGGTCACATAATTCCATCCTACCCAGAATTAATACCAGCGCTTTTTATTCAGAAATGTATTCACGCGAAAACCACTGTTATCTGCGATAACTTATTTTCTCTCTTGGTGATTAGGTTTATCGGATTTTTTTCAGATTCTTTGCACAGTAGATACTAAATATCTTTTTATTTGATTAACGTTGTACGATAAATTATAGGACAAACCAAGAGCCATCAAAATATGTAATTTTATCTCTGTCAACTTGATTTACAAATTTCTATTTCATAGAGTAATATTTTTTATTGATTTTTTCACTATTATATAATTTTTTTGGGTCCAGAATACTTTCCTAAGTGAGTAGTCGCTTTGTTTACTAGGGATTTAATAAAAGTTGTTTGACTTCATTCTTGTATTATGCTTTTGTTGTGTAAAATGTAAGATCGATCCCGTTTATCTATTTAATGATGTTTTCACAAAATTTCACTATACTACACCTGATTAAATACTTCCTTTGATCTGTATCTTGTAGTACGAAAATTGTGAAGATTTTGTTGAAGAATGGAGCTGATGTTATCGCAAAGGATAAAGGTGGTCTTATTCCTTTGCATAATGCTTGTTCCTATGGGCATTTGGATGTTTGTGAATTGTTAATTGGTGCTGGTTGTGGTTCAGCTCAAGTACATGCTTCTGATTTATGGCAGTATACACCATTACACGAAGCAGCCAGTAAAGCACGTGCAGAAGTATGTTTCTTACTTTTGGCATATGGTGCAAATCCAACCCAATTAAATTGCCATGGGAAATCTGCATTAGATTTAGTGCCAAATAATGATCTAAGACAGAGATTGCTTTTTGAATATCGAGGTACGTCACATCTCCATTTATTGTACATAGTTTCTTGTAACTGCGGGTGTTATTGGATTCCAACGCTAGAGTTCAAATTTTATGATCATTGACCTTAAATATAACAGTCTGTTGAGTAACTGAAAAAGTTCTTTAGAAGCAACGTTTACCTCATCAAAGTTTTGTAATGTCTTGATATTTAGCGCAGTGCAATTAATTCTTTCAATTTAGTAACTTAAAAATCAGCATATTTTGTGAACTTAGTCATTATAAAGGTTTGTTTTCGTGATGAGATAGGCTTCACAAAATAAAGGGAAGTAGTTTTGTACACTGTTGGTTGTTAAATTTATCTGATAAAGTTTACAAAAAGCATTTTCGTAATCTTGAATTGCTTGATCTTTTGCGGTATACACTGACTGTATAACGTATGCTTTATCTGATGGTAAATATGCTTATAATTTGTGTAGTTGTGGCATTTCATTTAGCTATCTAATCTAATACTGTTGAGAGAGTTTTCTATGTAAACAAATATCCAGATATGTTTGTCAACTGCCTTATTTTATTATGAGACTTACACTATTTGGAATTATGGAAAATATATCCAGTGACTTATGTTTAAAAAAGTTACATATGGAATTAGTTAATATAAAGTATTATCACACGCTAGTTTTCAACCACTGATTTCTGTTATCTTATTACATTTGGCTAGAAAACTTAACTTTTCGTATACAGCCCAGCCAAGTTATAGAAGTATTTATAAGATTGTTTTGGCTTAAGCTTTTAGAACTTTTATTCTACTTCTCCGGATACCATCTCCCTTCGAGTTAGTCTATGACCCAGATTATGTTATTCCTCCCATCTCGCTCTGATCAGAGTAAAACATTCATCTACTGGTTTCCTGAACCTAGTTAATGTACCAACCTAGCTTTACAGTCAGTAGCCCCACTATATTTATGAGTATAATTTAGAATCATATGTTATTAAGCATCTGTAGCCTTCATATTTCAAGAGATGTGTCTAGACACACTACGGGGTTTGCTTCTAAGTCCATCAACTTTCTTCTTGCTCTACTTGGTGAAGACGCTGACAAAATGAAGCCTTCTCATCACCCTGAGCAACAATGCATGTTCAGGATACGATCCTCTCCTTCCAAAACGCAAAATGTTGCTTCAAGATTGGGTTCGATCAGCATCTGAACTAGTAATAGGGTGTAAAGTAGTTGGGCGTGTTGACCGCTCATCGTCAGTGCTGATGTTTGACGGAATCTCAGCACGGATACAGAAGGCCCGATTTGTCTTTTTCCAACTTGCATCATGTGTGGCGTAGGCGAGATATCCGTCTGCTAACGAAAGAACGAGTGTACTACGCTGCAGTTCGCTCCATCCTACTTTATGGGTGTGTAACATGGCCATTCAGAATAGAAGATATTCGTAGGTTACATTTGTATGTACTATTGATCAACCATCTCATTCTATATCTTGGATATCTATATAAATATTTCATGGAATAATAGTAATAAACTTCTAGGGTAAGCTCTTCATCTTCAATATGGTAATTAGATTACAACGTCCTGTTTTTATGAATGATTTACCCTATACTCACTATTCATATCTCTTCATCTGTGCAGTTATTTGCTCAATAGAATATATAAACCTTTCTTTTGCAGGGTATCTTTTTCTTGAAGCCTGTCAAAATGTAGACCTCCATCAAATACGAAGATTGCTCTCCTTACCCACTAACACCATATCAAGCAATTCATACCCAACCGCACCACCACTATCAGTTAATTTCAGTGTTCCTTCTAAGGCTTGTTCTTCCAACCATGACGGGAAGTGCATGAATCATAAAAATTGTACTGTCTCTCCAGTATCGTTCCCTAGTCACCACCAAGAATCTATTCTACCTATGCCTATTCAAATCAATCAGGATCTCCTTCATTTCCGACACCCGTTTGTCGGTAATACTGCTCTCCATTCTGCATGTTGTGCAACTAACTCAGGAGAGCTAACTGCCACAAAAACATTTCGCCTTGGTTCGGGTTGTTATCCTGGATTTAATCCTTCAGAAAATAAGCAGTTTGTGTCCCATATGCAGCACACTAAGGACCTGTCGGTTAACTCAGTCAATCGTAATATTTCACCAGTCTTGGGTAGACAGCTGATTGAATGGCTTATCGATCAAGGTATCGCGGTCTCAGATTGCAATGTTGAAGGTCAAACTCCTCTACACTTAGCTGCTCGTTATGGATACCTTGAGGCAACTGCATGTTTATTACGACGTGGTGCCGAACCAAACGTTGCTGACTGGCACGGTTTTACACCTCTACACCTGGCTGCTAAGTATGGACATTCTCATATCATACAGCTCTTGGTCCAAGGATTTGGCGCAGACTTAAGTTGTACTACTATACCAGGAGGCCATACTGCTGCCTCTTTGGCTCCTACTGAGTGTGTTAGGCGTCTTATAGCAGAGTTAAGTCTCAGTCCAGCAAATAATTCTCTGAGTTCTACACAAAAATCACCCACTGAAAAACTTGTCACTGATTCGTCGGTTTATATGTCTCCAGTTCCAGGTAATTTCTCGCTTTTCGTCGAGTGCTATTTGGTTACCCACCCTTTTTTCCTTCATTTCTGATCCATAAGTATATACTATGTACATGTGTTTATCGTCTCAGTTTACCTCATTTTATCCTGAGTTTATTCCTGCTCGTTTTTCGGATCCCTCCTCTTATGGTGACCTTTTCTACTAATGTTCTTTCAATTGGGCTCTCAAATCATAACTTTGAATGACACTCCATAATAAGGTTTGGTTATTTCAAAGTATTCAGTCGGAAGTGTAATAGCTACCTCCATCAATCAAAACTGGATGCCCCAAGCAACAGTTATAGTAACAATAATTCTAACTAATGGCATCCGAATAACTTGAAGTTCATAACATTTTGCTCAATCATTCTAAAATGGCTTATCGCAGAAACGTTAAAGCAGCACATTATTGGTTATAATGTGTTCTTCAACTCGTAGGGTTACTTGATCTAATCCATGAGCAATTTAGCAACGTCAGGAGATGCAGTCCCATGGTAACCAGAGACCAACGACAGGTTCATACGCTATTGGTTCTACTGAGATCCTGAAGTCCATGTGCATCATTTGTTCGGAATCAGTGTTTTACAACTCCGATAGGCGGGTCTCCTGCATCCACCGGCCCGATTAAAGCTCTGTGTATTCGCTTTTCGTCCTCTCAACTTCGCAAGCAACATCCCCATCACGGGAAAGCAGTAAATAGGGCCTCCCTGGTAGGGCGTGTTCATATAAGAGCATTGGAATAGGAAGAGCATACTCACCACTTCCGGTCATACCAGAGCCTTTGTGTGTAACTCCTAGCATAGTGTTTGTTTAACAAGTTATGTGACTATAAACAACTAGATGATTATTTTTTCTAAAGCTGTTTTAATCGTTCTGTTCGGTTGCTATGTTTACTGCTTGATCGTTACATCATATCCCAAAGTCATCTAGTTCATCATAACACGGTTAATCTATTACTTAGTCTTAGCTTAAACTTACATCCTTTTTTATTTTGCTTATCCTTAGATTTAGAAGCAGATAAAACCCAAAGTACGAGTACTTGTAGTGAACAACAAATTATCCCATTCTTGGTTTGTCCTGGACCTCATTCAAAGGACAATTCGATTATGTTTTGTGATCCTAAATACTGTCAGACACCTACTACCAACAATGCGAGCAATAGCATCGTTTCGTCTACTAATCGTAGCATCACTGCTACTCTTCCAACTTCAAGTACTGATTATGCCTCCTCTCATGGAAATCATAGCTGGGCAGATATGGTACTACAATTGTTGGAAGCAGCTAAATCTGGTGATGTAGAAATGGTCCGTCGTCTTATTACGACACATCATTATTCTGTTTGTCCGGATGGTGCTGCAAACGAATTATGTAGTGAATCGTCAGAATCATGTAATGTTACTGCTCCTCTGGATTTAATCAACTGTCGTGATATTGACGGTCGACACTCAACACCACTTCATTTCGCTGCTGGATATAACAGATTAGCTATAGTAGAATTACTGTTACAATACAAAGCTGATGTTCATGCTAAAGACAAAGGTGGTCTAGTACCGCTACATAATGCTTGTTCTTATGGTCATGCTAAAGTAAGGCATTTAAAATCTCATTAGTAAACATATTTGAAATTTTGCTTATTACGAGATTAATAGTAATATTGATTAAAATTTTTGTATTTTATTTACTTATTCCATTTATTATTAGCCACCTTTGCTGAAAATTATTTTTTATTCCAAGTGACAAAGTCCACACATCTGACATTTCGAACGGATACTTCCCATAGGGCATGGCCTAACAGTTAAAATACTAAATCCTTAGATATTAGTTTTCAAGTCCTATATCTCTTATTTCCTTCTAAATCTTAAGTTCGAACATCGATTCATACTTTATGTCCCCCTGTTCTACTGGTTTTTTATAGACTGTGTTTAGTGTTTTAGTTCTGTGGATATCATACTTGCAACTGTTTATTTTTCATGTTGTCATTTTCATTTTCTTCAGCTCATGCGAAATGTATGAAAAATTAAACTGGTGCACATTCATACCATGTTCTACTTTGTTATAAACTGACTGAGTGAAATATAATAATGCCATAGACTTTGTTCACACATAAGTCAAAGCTGAAGTTGTGTTCTTAGGATTTCAAAAAAGGGTTTGTTTTTAAACTAAATACAAATAAAACCACAGTAACTTTAATATACCTTACAAAATGAAAGTTTCGTTCATGCTTCGTTGCTAAATGTTTTTGACAACTTTTCCATTGTTATATGACAGCCTTGAGTAACATTAAAACGCTCTTCGAGCGTTTTGGTAATGGATACTACTTAGATACTCGTTGTTTACTTCATCGGCTAATACTAGATTTGATATTTACTATCGTGATATTCAGTTTTCCATCAAGGATATGATTAAACGGTATTTAATTTCTCGTAGTATGATGATAGCAGTGTTTTTGGTTTATAACTCAACATATCAGATATTATTATTGTCATTATTGTTAATTGTAACAGCATTTTATCATTAATCACACCACTTATCCATTTTAATGAGAGATTCAATAACAATATGAGAATGAAGTAGTTCCATACCTGTTTGTGTTTATTATCTGTATACATCACATGAGATTAGTAATTAAAAGTTTAACAACAAAATAATAGTTTAATGACTTTTTTTGCTTTAAAGGTTGCTGAACTCCTCATTCAACATGGAGCCAATGTTAACGTTACTGACTTGTGGCGTTTCACCCCTCTACACGAGGCTGCAGCCAAGGGAAAATTCGAAATTTGTCGATTGTTACTGAAATACGGCGCTGATCCGTCGAAAAAGAATCGTGATGGTCATACTCCCATAGATCTCGTTAAGGTATTTGTTCGAATTATTACTTGTATTACGTCATAAATCATTGTCCGTAATACTTATTTTTCACAGTCTAATAATTTTATTCGACACACTTCTGTTCTTAGATATTGTACATCAATGTTTGTTACACGATACTCAGTACACATCGATTAAACTATTACATATATTGGTAGGCATTATTACTCGTAATTCATGTAATCGATTTTCGCGAAACTGATTTGCCTTATTGACACTTGATTCGTACTACATAGATGTTTGTCAGAAGGCTTATAATTACATTTATTTTTAACAACAATAAATTATCACTCCCCACCCACTGCGTATAACAGTCAATCAACTAAGAATGGTGCTTTTGGTGGTGTATTTATTGAATCCATATATGTTCATATTTTAAGATCTTAACCACTTCAGATGTCATGAAACACATAGTAATGTTAGGTTTAGAGAATTACATTGTTGGTCTTACTAGTTGCGTAGTTTTGTTTCGTGGCGAGGAACTTCATCTGAATGATTCATTTATAGACTTTCGTTATCTTGCCAATATTATTCACGCAACTAGAAAAAAATTATTCAATAGATGTAGAATTTATATTACCATTCTGGCTTTCAATTAATCTGTTTGTTGTAGATAAAAGTCAGTTTAGTCAAAAGTTTAATGATATTCCAAAATTATAGATACATAATTTTTATGAAGATTTTTTTGTATGTTGAATTGATGAACTGGAACTAAGAACACGTTCCATCATACAAGTACAACAGATAAAGTATGTAACTTTTTAATAGCCATACATTCTACTACTACTGCTACTACTACCCACTAAAAAATATGAATATACATTTTGTAAATAGTAATTTTTTGCATATTGACCTTAATTTTTTTCAGGATACGGACAGTGATGTTTACGATCTACTACGTGGAGATATTGCTGTTTTAGAAGCAGCTAAGAAAGGCAATTTGACTAAAATTAAGCGCTTAGTAACTTCAGAAAATATCAATTGTCGTGATACTCAAGGAAGAAATTCAACACCGCTTCATTTAGCAGCGGGCTACAATAATATTGAAGTAAATTATTTTCATTTTAAGATAAAAGTTTAGCTTTGTCTCTTTTCGAGTGGATACGGATGATTTTCCATACTGTTTTATGTTGTTTTAATATGAATTACTAGGTGCTACAACACTTACCAGCAAACATCTCTCTTAGTTACGATTGATTGATCGAATAGCGTATTGACAATAATTTTTATCTATCGTCATGAAATATTTGCGTTGTCTGAAATGACTGTATAGATAAAGATGGAAAGCTGTTATTCAATAATAACCTTGTTTTTGAAACTTTAAGTAAAATTGGTTTGCTTTTAAAAATTTCGAACTAACGATTTCTCAATACCGTTTACATGCAGCAGTGGTCGAGTATGTTCTAAACAACATTTCGAAGATGATCTAACAAATGGATAGTTTATATAAACAGAATATTAATATAAAATAATCTGCATAGGTGTGAAGAACTGGCAGGGCTTGTGTATCATCTACATTCACAAAAGATTAGTCGTAGTATTCACTCATAACGACCGTACTTCGTATCCTTCAAAAGCATTTCTTTGTATTTCTCTACCAGTAAGAAATAATCCAATAATAAATCTGGATGAAACTTTGAACTAGAGCTATCTTTAAGACTATAATCTGAAAATGTACTTGAAAATTTTCAATAGTTATTTTTTTCTTATCATTAAAGACATTAGAATTCTTATTGGAATCAGGAGCCGACGTCAACGCTAAAGATAAAGGCGGTCTAATCCCGTTACATAATGCTAGTTCATATGGTCATGTTGATGTAGCTGCGCTCCTTATTCGCTATGGAACTTCAGTAAATGCTGTAGACAAATGGGGTTATACACCGTTGCATGAAGCTGCTCAAAAAGGACGAACTCAGTTATGTGCCCTGTTGTTAGCTCATGGAGCGGATCCTAAAATAAGAAATCAAGAGAGTATGTTATATTTTTATTTATTTATATTTACTAAGTTTTCGTGTTACGAAAATGTTTTAATAAATGATTGAGTACTGTAATCCGTTTCAGTTGTACAAAGACGCTGATTGGTTATGTTTTTCTGATTCCTAAGCATCTTATCATCCCATATTCTTCACTTCCTATCCCCACTGGAATCTTGATTTTTCACGGCTGTTGTGTGTCATTATATTCACTCATTAGCTTCTCTCCAAGGGATTTCCTTCTCTTTATGCTTACATATACCGTGGCAACTAAAACTGTGATGTTTTATTCTTCCGTTTCTGTCTGTTCGTTTTACCATGCAGATAAGTTTACTTGCTTAAGCATGTTAATTATTTTTATGTTCAGACTTCACATACTCCATCTGAATATAATTGACTACTTAGTTCTGCGCTTTAGTCTCTTCATTTTTCTTGGGATTTGTTCAAACTGTTTAGGCTAATGTTTAACAAGCTCTTGATACATGTACAAAAATAGCTCCCATGACTTTTACCAACTTGTGCCAAATGTGGAGCAGACAAAATAGCTATCTATTTAGTAAAAATCAACCATACAAAGCAGTAATTAAATGTTATTTTGACTCAGGAACATGACATTCGAAAGTTGAAAATTTACCTAATTATTTAACGTTTAATTATAGATGTTTTCTATCTACTATTTACTCATGATAGGACCATCGATAAGCATTAGTGATGCTAGGCGTAGATTACATGATATAACGATATTGAATCGCTAAATTTTCATCGATTGATATTATTGAAATATGCATTGTGCACTAGCAACTGGACTCAGCGATGTTAGTAGGTGTATACTACCAGATTGAGGTCCGCGAGATTATAGTAACCGATGGTTAGAGACCCTCAATGACATGGCTCAAAACTATTTGCAGTGACGCAGATGCATCCATTCTTTGCCTTCTATCAAATTTCTATCTTCCGTATTCTTAAAGACCTTTCTTTTCCTCCTTTGAAATTTTTTTCACTAGATTATACTTCTTGAGTAATGTCTTTAAACCCTAATCTTTTCTATTACCGCTTATACTTCTACTACATCTACCACTATGGGATTTTAACTGACAATTGTATCTCTGTGCTAATGTGGTATGGCAACTTGAACTGATATACATACGTACGAAGTTCTACCTTGTAGCTGACTGACTTACTGTGCATTCTTAGCTATTACCTACTTCATGTATATTATCCTTACTAGTATAAATCTAGATTAGGCGAAAGCCAGTGTCAATTAGGCATGAGATTAATTCATGAAATTATTTACGATTTGTGATGTGCAAATTAATCACACTGGTTAGGGAATCTTATGTGATATGATTCAAAGCCGGTTCCTGTCATTGAGATGGATTCATACTCCTTCTTTCGCTAACACTTCAATTTTATTTCATAAATCTATCCATTGCTTTTTTGCTTATTCTCAAACTTCAATCTCCGTGTTTAGCTTTTGTTTAAATACCATCGTTTTGACTTCTTTCTTTCCTCTCTGTCTCTATGCAAAATGCTGTAATTTGAGTTGTTGTACAATTGTAACAGATTCTGTGTTAATTAACTGTTTCCATAGCACTCTTAGGGCATTCTATTGATCTGTTTATCAATAATCCTTTATTAGCTATCTTTTCTAATAAAATTTTATCTGGTATTTCATGTTCACGTATATCTGATTCATGGATAATGTCATATGATGTCATATGAAAATCTGTTGATTATTGTTATTATTTGATTATCACTAGGAAATTCTATGATTTCATTCAACATGAATAATTCGGATTCATCTAAAACAATCATCACTTGAAAAGATAGTTGTTTATTTTCTGTCACTTTTGTTGACCAATCATTTCGTTGCTTTAACAAGAGAGTTTCTTTTATGAATAATTAGATAATACAACCTTACAGGATAGTCTAGCATTCGTTATTTATACGCAGATGAAGTATACTGTGGTCAAATTAAAGTAAATAATCATTAAAATTTAAAGTGAACTATATTCATATGAATCACAGCAAAGCTAAATTAAGAATATCTTCTATGCAATAGTTTATCAAACCTATTTAATACTCTTTCAACTATCTAATGCTTTTTCTTATAATGAGCTACTGAACTTTTGACCACACTTTCGAACTTCGGCCTCATCTTTATTCTAAGTATCTGAATAGTATCATTGGCTTTCACGTGAAAAATTTGACTCAAAGTTAAATACATAAATCTATATTTCATTAGTTTGTAGAAGAGAGAGCAGAAACAGTATTGTTATTATTAGCGGTTAGTAATTAAATGATACTATACTCATTTGAGTTGTGTGTATTTATTTATTATATGGTGAATTTTCTATTAGCGTTGATAATAAAGTAGGTAAGCATGAGTGAGTTTAAATTGAAGATAGGAAAATTTAACTAGCAAACTAGTATAATATTTTTTTTGTATGACTGGGTAGAATTTAAACAAAAATATTGTTGAACTAAAACATAATCCAAAGAAGCTCTAAGAAACTAATAGGTTATATATATATATATATATATATATATATATATATATATATATTGCCTGTTGTTTCGTACAGCTTGTTAGAAAATGCACAGGAGAGTGAGATTGACCATCATGCTCTCTTTGATATTAAATTTATTGTTTTGTACTGACAAGCTGTTCAATGTGCTGATTATTTCCCTGTCCACTATCGTTCTATTACCTTTTAACTAGAAATTAACAGATTCAAATAAGCTATTATTTACTAAAAAGCAGTAACTAGACAACGACTTCATCGTAAATTTCTAACGATATCAGGCTTCGTTGCATTTCGTTTAGTATTACGGTATGATATGTTAACTTTCTTAACTGTGACTAGTTATTTTAATCGTTTCTTTAACTTATTAAATACTTGGTGATGATAGATCATCCTCATAACCGCAGATCTATTCGTTTTCTGATGAGTTAAATGATCAAGTATTATGAAGTATAATACATAGTTCAGAAAGACCGCCCCAACTATCCTTCTGAATTAATAATCTATCAGTACTACTGTTTTTACTGGATAAAATAATAAGCGAATTTCCGTAATTGATTGTATTCGAAAATCTTTTTAGACAACTTTACTTCCCAGTGTTGTACGTTTTTATAAAGTTATATCAATCAAATGTTATCATCAACAGCAACGTAGAACTTCGTACATATGTACATCAGTTCAAGTTGCTGTACCACTAGCAGAGAGGTGCACTTGTCAATAAAAATCCCATAGCAGTAGACGTAGTAGAAGTGTTAACAGTAATCAGAGAGATTAGGGTCCCAATATATTATTCAAGAAGTAGAATCTAGCGACATACACTTGACAAGAAACAGATAAAGGTGATGAGAAACTCTGAAGGTTAGGGTTTGAGAGAGAACACAGAAAATGGATGCACCTGCGCCATTGTAAACGGTTTTGAGCCACGTCATTCAGGGTCTCTAACCATCGAATACTATCTTGTCATGGGTCCCGACCCGGTAGTCTACATCTACCAACATGTCTCAGTTCACTTGTCAGTGACTTCATGCATTTCTGCCATGTTTTAGTTTGGCCGCTCCTCACGTTCTTCCAGCCTACTTGTACATCACAAAACATAGCTCGACGAGGTAGTCGGTGGTTAGGCATACGCAACACATGTCCCAACCACCTCAAATGATGAGGTTTCAATTCTTCATATGTTGATCGACCATCCTTAACTAGGACCCGTTTCCTAATAACAGCATTGCTCATACGGTTGTCCCATGAAACACGAGTAATGCTTCGGAGATACCTGTGATCGAAAACCAGTAACCTACGGATATCTTCTACTCTGACTGGCCATGTTTCACACCCATAAAGTAGGACGGAGCAAACTGCTGTGCAGTACACTCGTCCTTTGGTTAGCAAACGGATATCTCGCCTACACCATAAGTGATGCAGGTTTGCAGAAGCCAATCGAGGCTTCTGTATCCATGCTTAGATTTCGTCACACATCAGGCCATCAGCAGTAATGAGACTGTCGAGACAAATGAAGCGGTTAACACGCTTAACTGCTTTACTCGTTATCACTAGTTGAGGTGCCGATACAAGCGAATGCTGAAGCAAGATTTTGCATTTCGATGGGGAGAGTCGCATCTCGGACATGCTTGCATTGTTACTTAGGGTAGTCAGAAGACTGCATTTTATCAGCGTCTTCACCAAGTAGAAATACGTGACCGGCATATTCTAAGTCAACCAATGAATCTCCTGTTTGAACGCCTACTCCTGAAAGATAATTCTATAGTTTGAAGCATGTCTATCACAAAATTAAACAAGAATGGAGAAAGTGAACATCGCTGATGAACACCACTCGAAGTACTCAGTTCCTACGACAGTTCTCCATACGTTCTAACTTTACAAGTAATGTTGGAGTAGAGAGCCTGAATAAGGTTAATGTTCTTCTGTAATGACAGACACTGCCGCAGAACCTATCGACAGAGTCGAATGCTGCCTTGAGGTCCTGGAAGGCGAGTATTTTCGGACGCCTGTGTGTCTGTTTCAGTAACTCTTCAAAATGGTCTTTGACTCAACTATCTTTTGAGTGATCAAATGCCATAACCTCCTTACTTATGTTGTTATTCACATCAAAAATTTCAATTTATATGCTACTAACTTTTTTGTTAAGATTCGAAAGATTATATTAATACTCCAAAATTCCAAACAGTTATCCATTTTCGTATATTTAGTTAATGTACTGATTAGACGATACAAATCACATCCATTTTTCGAGATCAGTTTTATACTTTCGCTGTATAATCGAAATTATGTTAGGTGGTTAAATGATAATCTTAGGGAAATCCTTAGATTTACTTTGCGCTTCTTGCTACTTATCACCAAGGCGTACCTGTAATCTCAAATAAACTGATGTTTCTTGTGAGATTTGAACCCAGTATAGCCGAAGACAATACAACTAAGATTTTCCGGTCGCGACTGAAATGTTTAAAATTAATTTACCATTGACTAGTGATTAATATCATCTTTTTCTAGTCCTTTAGTTAGAACTCCAATAGATTTCCTGAATTTTTTTCTCAATTATTCTGGCCTGAGTTAGAGAGAAATTTTTGGATAGTATATCTTTATCTTGTTGTGTCGCGTACCAGAAGATTCTAAAATAAGGATGATATCTCTTGAGAAATACATTATTATACACTCATTCGACCTGATTGAGCTGATAAGGAATATCTTTACGTCGTTTTGATCGTCGATTCAGTACTGTAAAGCTCATTCTGATTGACTGATTCCCATTGACACCCCAAGTTTTTCTGTAAATACTCGCCTGTTGTTTCCTGAATTATCATCGGTTTGGGTTATTTAATATGGTTCATAGTTCACCATATATTTTTAATCAGTAATTGAATTATTTCTCCTTCTAATTTAAACAGTACCTCATAACAAACTTTTTTTTCAGATCAAACACCTTTTGATCTAGCATCAGCTGATGACGTTAAATCTTTGCTGTTGGATGTAATGCTTCATACGACTGCATGCATTACAACAGTCTCAAAGGAAAATATTCTTTCATCTTCGTTTAATCCTCCAACTATCTTAAGTAATATACCTAAATCTAACTTGGACATAGCTGTGCCTCAACAAACATCTTTCAGTAATTTGTTATCATCTATGTCAATCGGTCCACGGATTGAATGCCAAGGTCGCGAGTCTAATCTAGCGGGATCAATTGTTCCATCTACGAATATTTCAAATCCAGTCTGTTCATCGAATATGAATTCGGTTAAGTCGAATAACTCAAGCTGTTCCGATAATAATAAAATAACTACAGCCAATTTTCTTATATCTCTCGGTTTGGGTCAATTGGTAGAATTATTTGAAAAAGAACTGGTAAGTGAATTATGTAAACCTGCAGTTATGTAATTTAACCTATTATAGTTGTATAATTATTCCTTAACCCTTGATTTATAATCTCTTTATATATATATATATATATATATATATATATATATATATATATATATATATATATATATATGGAGATTAGAAAATGCTTTTAAAATAGAGCAACACATATAAGCAAACAGTATTGCTTTCGATTAGATTGTTATTTCTAAGTAGATATGATTCTACCTTGGATTTGATAAAAGCTAAAAACGGCCCAACTAAAACGTTGCATCAGTAAATGAAGTGATTGACTGTTGGTTGCCTGATTGGAGTCGATGCAGTCAGTAATCATAGGCTTTGGGTGACACGATGCAGAATCGAACAAATTGCTACAGACATAGTCATCCCTCATCTCTCTATACATCTTGATTTTCAGTAGCTTTTCATTCATAATCTTTCATTCTGTCTTTTCATACTATATTCTTAGTGTTCGGTATCTCTCATTATCATTGCTTCTTCTTAATTTTTATTCTGTCGTTATTTATCTCATCAATTTCTTGCTGTGGTATGGACTTATGTTAACATGGGCCAACGCACATTTGTACCAGGCTTGATGTTGGCTATGACACACCATTTATCCTTTCAAACCCATCAAAATTCTTCAAGAAGCATAACTCTTTTTTGCCTTTTATTAGCATCTTTTTTCAATAGGAAAATAAATACCGGTGGTTATATGAAAGTTAGTTTCGATATAATAATTTCAATTTTTTGCTACGATATCTGCATAATACAGTCCATCTTATCAGTAACATATCCAATGTGTTTTGAAACTGGCCACTATCATCTCTGCATTGATATGTGCACTAAAGTTAAGCTGTTTTACAATGTTACCGTTATGTGTTTACTAACTGTTTTATTTTTTTTGTCGTTAAATGCATTTTCGTTGTTGGACAGGTGTAGCGAACCAATTAAGTAAACTTTGCAAACTTACTAGTAATAATAATCACTTACTCGATTCCGGTACATAATTTTGTCTCAGAATTTGCAGCAGCTTGACATGTTACCTTAAACTTACAATGAGACATGTGTTCTTGTGCTTTGATTTCTATCAGGTTACTTTTTTAACCAAAGCAAAACTAAGTCCGCTTCTTAAATCTCTTTACTGAACAATTTCCCCACCTTTAGTTAGATGTAGCACAATTCTATGGGGGGTTGATATTTTTTCTTTGTTCTTAGGTAACAATGGATATACTTCTTGAAATGGGTCACGAAGAGCTAAAAGAACTTGGTGTAACTGTGTATGGACATCGCCATAAAATTATCAAAGGTGTACAAAAATGGCGATCTAATTGTATAGCACAACAGTCTGCTTTAAATCCCTGTAACGATACTTGCAAATCTTCCGTACCCTCCTCAAGCACCGTACACTCTTCTCCTGGTCTGCACCCTGCAAGTTCAGTGACAACACATTTTCATGGTGTCGGTGTGGCTGAAGTCACTCCAACTGGTCCCGCGTATTTCCCTGCAGCAGCAGTTAAAAATACTGTGATGATAGAAATTGATTGTACGGATCCAGAATTCCTAGCTGTTGAGGAACAAGTAAGTTAAACTAACGTAGTGTGATCATTTCCATTGTTACTATTTTAGATGGACATTTTAAGCTACTTCTTTTACATTCCAGCCTATGTATTCTAATAAAACCGTTTGGTTTGAATGCACTCTACCACATTTGTAGCATAAGTGCTCTGGTTTTTTATATAAATGAATAGTCAATATCCCTACTTTTGAACTATTTGTTGTTTATCTTAAGTTTTCATACTTGAATATGATTCTGTTCCAGTCATAAACAGTGTAAGGCTTCACACAAATTACACTGACTCTAAAGAAGTTTCCGTATAAATATATGTGGTGACTATGTCTAAGTTCATTCTCTTTTTAAATATATTTTCTCAAACTTTTTTCTACTTACAGATTCAAAGCACAATAAGAGAACATAAAGATAATTGTGGAGGGATTTATAAACGATATCGTATACTGAAGGTTGCTAGAATTAGAAATAAGCGTCTATGGGATCGTTATTTACACCGGTGTGCCGAAATCGCTGAAGATAATTCTGGACATTATAACGAAAGACTTCTATTTCATGGATCGCCATTTTTACAGTCTATCGTTATGAAAGGGTTTGATGAACGTTATGCATACATTGGCGGAATGTTTGGAGCTGGTATATATTTTGCAGAAAACTCATCTAAATCCAATCAGGTAAATGTACATGAATGTTATTTCCATCTTTCTGACATTTTTGTATCTGTTTCGGTTTTACTGGTTTGTATTTACTGTATATATAACAAATTGATTTTTCTGGATTTATCACTCGGTTTGACTTTGAGATAGATCAGTTGACCTGTCTCATTAAAAATCATTTGTAAATACTTGCTGTCAAGTGTAATGAGATATTTTGAAACCAGATTATGAAACCATCCCTTGAAAAATTCACGAATCGACTATATTTCACTCAGCCAGTATTCTTTTACACGCAGGAAATAGTTAAATGGTTTCGCTAATATTATATGCACAGTGTCCATCAGATGCTTTCTAGTCGTCATATTTAAAACCCAAAACATCATATCCAATATTATTATTAGATAAGTTATCCAAATTGACTGTTGTAACTACTCATAGAACTGTTACTATCAATTTTCCCTTAGTATCTGCGAATTCATACAATTTTATGTACAATGTATTGAAGTATAACTTCATAGACAACCTGAAAGATGGTGTGTATACAACCTGTAGTCAGCTCTTTGAAAATCCCAATTATAAGTTTTTGTATAAAATTTTGAGGACTAATTGTATAAAAACTGGAAGAAATACTCAGCTAGTTCCAAACCTGCTATTTAATAAATCAATTTCAAATCCTGTACTATTTACGTGACTAAACATATTAAGGCTTAACTAGTTCAACTTTCCTGTTTTTTACTGCGTCAGTAATCAGTGTTTATCGACGAACGCTGTAGAGTAGTCTTATTACATTTAAGTACGAATGAAAATTCACTTCACACGCACATTGTGGAAGTATCTAGTTTTATCGCTATACCAAAGCGAATATCTTTGATCATAACTATGTCTTTCATTTTCAAACAACTTTTGACAATGAGAAATATTAATATATTGTTTTTTATTGTACAATTGTTAGAATATCAAAACCAATATATACTCCTAATTCAAAGTACAATATTATCTTTAAGGACGAGTCCTTAAACCTCTCATGCTATTTCTTTTTTTTTGTATACTTACGGAGAATTGATATTTTCACACTGTTTTAAGCACGAAATTATCAAACAAACGCTTTATTTTCTTATTATATCTTCACTAACAATAAAATGCAATCATCCAAACTTGTTGTTTATGATTTTATTTATACCAATCAGTAAATAATATCAGACTTAATACTATTTTCCGTTTCAAATCTTGAAGTGTAATCACATTTACACATACTCTACAAGGAATATATATAAATAATTGCTACCATTGAAAGTATTTTTGAAACGAAAACAAATCTATTTAATAATCTTAACATTCAACTGTCAACCACTGAGTTAAAGGCTCAAACATTTTTCTGATCAATTTAGTTTGTGCATTACATTATCTTTTTTAAACATAATATAACCACTCAAGGCAATTTGTAAATTAATTTGCCTCCACTAAAAAAAGATTACTAAGAAACTTAGAAATACTCGTGCTGACTGCAGATCCTAAAAACCTAGTTTCCCTCTGAAAACCTATTAGGATAAATTGTGTAATGACAGTTAATTTCATAGGTAATCAATATTTCGTGCTTTCAATGTATGATATACAGTTTACCCATTATTCAATAAACTCCCACTTTATTTATTTACTAAGGAAATGTAATATCTCCATTTTGAATTCTAGTAATTACTTCTATCATAAATTTGAATGTATTTATTTTGCTTATCGTTAATTTATTACTTTTCCTTTTTTTTAGTACGTTTATGGTATTGGTGGAGGAGCCGGTTGTCCGGCCCACAAATCTCGTTCATGTTATATTTGTCCACGCCAACTGTTATTATGTCGCGTTGCTTTAGGTCGGTCGTTCATTCAGTTCAATGCAATGAAAGTAGCTCATGCACCCCCGGGTCACCATTCAATTGTTGGTCGGCCAAGCGCAGGCGGACTCAATTTCTCTGAGTATGTCATATACCGAGGTGAACAAGCCTATCCTGAATACCTCATTACTTATTTACTAGTCCCACCTGATCCAAATGATAACGAAAATGTGACGGATCAAAACCTGCCAAATCCTCTTGCTGACAATACAACAGTTGGCCTCCCACCACCCACTAGTAGCAACGGTATCACTAGTACATCATCTGAAATCGGTGTAGTAGTAAACTCAACACCATTTTATGCTGTGCCTTCAAGTCAAAAAAATATTGTAACGAGTGCCTGTGATTCATCTACTGTACAAACGCCTATTCAGTCTCTGAAACTGCCTGTTACAACTACCACTACTTCTGGTTCTCCGATTACAAGTATAGCGTCAGTTGACAGACAGCTGTCAGATCCTGCTTCTTCTATTGCATCTACGACCCTGATATCCTCTGCTCCAGGAGGTCCAAGTTGCCATTTAATTCCTTAAAAATGTAATATATCTTTGCACACTATGCTTTCACGTTATTTTGTATTTTGCATCTTATAGTAGAGTCTTCTTGACTTAGACTACACTTAATTTATAGTTTACTTTATTTATCGCTAGATTTAAATAATTATTCTTCGCCTTTTCCCTCTTTTCACTCAAGTGAGCTAAATTGCTTAAATCCCTTATATTTTTCTCAAATGTTTACTCAGTTGCTCTGTTTTGCATAAGTGATCTGAAACCTATAGTTTCTGTACAAAGTACCTAATTTGTTTAATATTTGACATATATGACTTTGTAAATTTGCATGAAATTAAAAAAGTTACTCTAGTAATAAAAAAAATCACAAATGTGATTCAATTATTTACAGTAAAATGTTTATCATGCTTTCGTGATAGAAATTTGTTTCCCAATGATCACCTGAAAATCTGTCATCATAAACTAATAAAATTGCACAATATTTTTTGTTTTCTAATTTAAAAATATCCTTATCTTACTCCTGTCTAAAACGTCCTATAGTTCATGACACACATCCTTACTCAATGGACAAGAAAAATCTAGTTGCAAATTGGGTTTGTTTAAGTATATTGATGTTTCATCTTCCAAGGGATGGAGTAAAATAGTCACTAATGCTTATTATACAGTTTATCAATAGTTGATACATAGGTAGGTAAATTGTTGAGGTAATTCTTAAATGATCAGTCCCTTAAGTCCTACAACCATATTTTTGAAAGAGCGGGTCGCTTCCAGTAGTAATTTTTATAGCCTTTTTATGTGTAGGCCACCAGGTACTATGTTTTGTTGATGACTTTTGACTTATATTGTCTTACAAACTTATATGCGTAGTTATAAGAAGCATAAGGCACGTTGACAAGACATTATATACGATAGGCTGTTGTCCATTCAGTTGTGAGGCTTCAAAATACAATTACAATTCAAAGGGGATGTTTAATATTTCTATCAGATCTTGTAATCGTAATCAGTTCTAAAAGGGTTGAGTGTGAAGTATAGCATTATGCAAATTTATTGTTTGGAATAAATTGTAAGAAGTGTGTATCTACCAACAGTCCTAACCATTGTTTCATATACACTATGTTGCATCCTATCATAGTTTAACTAATGAGTGTACTATCTGAAATCAGACTATGCCACTTATATCAATGTTCAATGAGTGAATAGACCTTTTTGTAAATATGAATATAATTTTGGTTGTCATTCATTACATCATATTGTGTGAATTTGACAAATAGAGTATATTGCTTAATCACTCATTGTATTACTCCACATATAACTGGTATTATTTCAACCTTTTTAATGGTAATTAATATCTTACACATTTGAAATCATCAGTCAATCATTGTTAGACGTTCGTGCACAATACCGAAGGTCCCGGGTTCGAATCCTGCGACATGCGGGAGTCGTGGATGCGCACTGCTGATGAGTCCAGTACCAGGACGAAACGGCCGTCCAGTGCTTCCAGGTTTCTAATGGTGGTCTAACAATGATTGATTGATGATTTGAAATGTGTAAAACCACTAAACCCCATAACTCCAATTGGAAATTAATATCTTGTTAGCACATTTGAATAAAATCGGAGTCCTAAAAAACCGCGATTTCAGTCTTTCACTGTTTAAAATGTAATTCACTTCGATCTGATCCTCTTTAAGATATTCCCTCACGACTGTTTTTATAACACTGATGTTTAGCTAAAGAATCGTAATTTGAGTAGTACCGAGCTCAGATTAAGGTATTCGGAACAATTGTAGAGGTGTCCTACAAAATCAATCAAAGGATAATCATGTCTTGCTCGGTTGCTAAGACACTAACCATTAATGTGAGTTGTATATGCTTTCAAGTTGGATTTATCTACATAGAGGATTATAGACCTTTTTATTTCACCCCGTGTTTTAATTTCAAGTCATTTCCAATTTATTCAGTTTGTTTCCTCAACGTTTTCAGTGAAATTGTTCTCAGATATATGAGATCGATTGCAAAGATAAAACGACAATACACTTTTAAACACACATTTATATTCTTCTGTGAGCAACAAATGAATTAAGTTTGTCCAACTGAATGAAATAGCAATCAAAATCTAACACAAAATTACTCCAACAACCCTTTCTAAAAATACTTAGTGCGCAAACAACACACTACTTAATTCAAGGCACAGTAGTAAGAAATAGGACAAATTATACTCAACACAAATATATTAACTTTATTAAACGGAGGATAACAGTAAGTGTAATCTTTTATGAATCATTAAATTCAAAAAATATATATTATGGTTTTCAAAACTATGGTTGATTCTCACTAGCTGTTGTCGATTATTTTTTTTATCCACATGCGCACCTCCCCCACTGCAGAACTTCCATTATCTTCGAAATTCTGTTCATGTTGGGATATTTTTAATCAAATAAAAATTAACAAAAAGTAAATTAGCATCTCTGAACCTCATATATATATAGACACTCATGAAAAATAGTTATTGCTTACTTTTGGGAATCAGTTATTATGGTACTTGGAAATCTTTAACCATCATTTTACACTTCACTTAATTTCTCTCTCTAGCCTACTTCCATTTCCATTTTAGCATACTTTTAATTTTCTGCTTTTTGAATTGTGCCTGTTTATATCAATATTTCTGAGTAGCTGTTTGAGGAAATGTGCTGCACAAAATGCATGTATAGGTACATCGCGCATACATCGTACTCCTTCACGAATTTGACTTTTAATCAAATATTGTTTAAGGTGCTTCTGATTCAGAATGCATTTATTTAACGATACAGCTTTACCTCTATGAGAAAGGTATATGCCGAAGACTTAGAACTAGCTTTTGCATTAATCCCATGCAACACGAGTCATTCAGCAGGAAATAGGTGCTTATCCTAACAAGGAATGATGTGCTGCCACTGAAAGTAAGATATAATTGCATTCTTAGTAAATACAAAACAAAATATGTCAAGACACATAATAATAATAATAATAATAATAATACTCCATCCCATTACTGATTTCAACGAAATTATATTCTTCTTATATATTGAGCGACTGCTCTGCATTTTTTATCAATCAAATGTCATCAACAGCCACGTATAACTTCCTACATACGTACATTAGCACAAACGTACAATTGTCAATACAAATCAAATAGTTGTACAGGTAGTAGAAGTTTTAGCATAATCAGAGAGATTAGGGTCCGAATATATTATTCAAGAAGTAGAATATAGTGACATACACTTGACAAGAAAAAGATAAAGGTGATGAGAAACTCTGAAGGTTAGGGTTTGAGATAACACAGAGAATGAATGCACCTGCGCCATTGCAAATGGTTTTAAGTCATGTCATTCAGGATCTCTAACCACCGACTACTATCATCGCGTGGGCCCCGACCTGTCAGTCTACATCTACCAACATGTCTCAGTCCACTTGTCAGTGACTTCATGGGTTTGTGCCATGTTTTGATATGGCCTCCCCTCACTTTCTTCCAACCTATTCCTATATCGCAAAACATAGCCGGACGAGGCAGTCGGTGGTTAGGCATACGCAACACATATCCCAACCGCTTCAAATGATGAAGTTTCAATACTTCACGTATTGACCTGCCATCCTTACCTTGTGATAGTGAAAGTCACCATTGTCGTTCCTACAATGTATGGGCAATAGTGTTCATGATTCTCGTAATAATGATTGAATACCATCATTTGAAATAATAGAAGTCATCAAAACTTGTAATCTGTGATTATTGACTAAATTATCAATAACTTATGATTGAAAAGGATTATCAGTTAACTATCTGTGCATAGTTAGAACTGCCACAAACAAATGAGGTTTTAATCTTTAGTAAATTATGAAATATACCAACGTTTTTTCTCTTATTCCAAACTAGGAATCTGGTTTCTCTACTTCAGTAATTCATTATGAGTTAAACAAAAAGTATTTTATTGATTACTTTTTATAACGAGCATCACTTTGATGCTGAGTAACTTACCAGGAATGAATGTGGTTTATTAATTTCAGTAAATGATTTTGTATAACACTTCGGAGTATATTGTGCCGAAGTGAAGAAATCTGAACTCTGTACTTGACTGACCAAAAAGCAAACTTCATTCTCTATAGAAGAACATCTGTGAACTAGATCACGATTCGGTGTTAAGGCCACTGGTGCTGATATCCAGTGAGCTGGAGGTACATCAATACAGCTCTATTAAGATAAGAAAAGATAACTTCTGTTCACTAAACTCATAGACTGTTCAGTAAATTAACAAATCAGTTTGGGATACTTTTACTTGTCCAAAGGGTTATTGTTTGTTCTGAATACTCAATGGGTAGTATAAATTCAAGTTTCAGATAAAGCTCTCCTATTACATGTATGTATGAAACATTTACTAAGCCATTTCTACTGATTGTTCGAACCTTCTGATCAATGTTTAGAACTGTAATTCATCAGTCTTTTTGGGAAATGTGCATCCTGTGTGGATTGCCTCGATATTGCCAGTTTCAGTTATGAAGATCAATAGGAAGATTCAAACAACCAACACAAATGAATTAATCGTCATTCCATCACCTGAGCCAATGGCTATCTGAACTCAGTAACTAAATGGTTAACGCTATGCCGTTAAAAGCAAACGGTGCTGGGTTCAAGTCTGGGAATGGACATCAACTCTGGTATGCAGGCATACCCAGCTGATGAGTCACGAATAGGACAAAACGTACATCTTTGACTACACTGCCAGCCACTATCCATCTCTCCAAAAACTGTTATTGTATCGACCACAATGGATTGAATACTCATTTGTTAGAAAACTCAATAAATTTTTCAATCGGATACTGATTATTATCTGTCATGTTAGAAGTATTACTAATTAGTCACTTTCAGTAATAATGCACGAAATTATTTTTATTATAATACTTTTTTTGTTTTGACTTATTAATCTTTGTCCGAAATAAAAAAAAGTGATAGTTTCTGTAATGCTTATCGAATTTATCCTCCCATTGTTTAAGGCGACTGTACAAACCAATAACTTTGAACATCCAAATATCTGTAGCTTGTTCATGTTGCTCGAGACAGGTGTATAATGTTTCGAGCAAGAAATTCTTTTGAATGGTTTTATGTTGTTACTGAGGTGGAATTTAAAGTAATATTTCAGTATTCAATTTTAACTAAATCCGCTTAATTTAATACACTGCAAAATCATCTAGGTTTTGCAAATATAACGTACTTATTACTTACTGAATGAAAGATGTACTTGAAATATTACTTACATGGTGCATCTTCATAAAATTCTTAGTTCTTAGCAGAAGATTTGGTGTTACTTGTTTTTGTGTATCAGAAGAATACCACTTTTTCATCTCATCATTTTCAGTAATACTAGTTAAATTTTCTAGAGACCGATTGAACGATTCTTCACTATTAGAAAGATGAGAATAAATAATCAAGTAAACTAAAACTGTTTTGGTATGATTGGGAATATTTCAAAGCATTAAAAGGAAAAATGCAATTCATAACTGTCAAAAATTAGCAGAAACCTATCTTGTCGGAAAATTTTGTTTCGAAAAATAATGAAAATAAAGGATATCTGAAAAATTCTAAAGAAACCTCAGCGTTGCCTGAAAATCATTCCAATATCAGTAATGTATCTTATGACATTATTTTTGTCAACTAAAAATAATCCATAAATTTTCTTTACAAACATAAAACACTTTCAGACGGAAGAGAAAATTATGCTACGCGAATTTCATCTCATAAATTTAACCTGTAGTTTTATATCATTTTCACTTTGCCCAATACAAAAGACTCTAGCTATCAACAAATTTTATTATAACAAGTTTAATTAGCAGATGATATTATTTTATTAAGTTCAAAGATAATTGGTTATAAATAGTAATTACTTTGGTGTTAACTTCAGTAACATTACTGTTTGTTCAGTTTTTTTAAGAATATGATTATTGTATTAAGAAAATGACACAGCAGAAAATGAAAAATATCCATCATCTATTTAAAAGGAAAGGAGAATATTGGGAATATCAATTTTGTAGCTGGAATCCTAAAAGTCTTAAACAAATGTGATTGACAATTACTAAACACTTTTTGATCAAAAGGGCAAAGGTCATCAGATAACTGAGATGAACTCATGCAGTATGAGAAAATGTTACGTAATACAGCGAGAAGAGAGCGAAAGTGTAGAAATATATGTTAATAATCTAGGTCAACAAATTATGTCTAACAAAAAATTTAGTAAGAGTACAAGTACCTACTTTATTGAGCAGAACTATTTATTACTTCTTTCAGTATTTAAAGACCAATTGCATCTTTTAGATGTCCCTCTTTTATATAACTTTAGTCATACTTTGGTCCGTGTTTTCTTCCTCTTAAATACTTTCTAAAATAGATGACGCTGTTTAATGTCCCGTAAATTAATTTGTGTCAAAAAACATAAAGCTTCCAGAAAACTGTAGCTGAATCGTCATAAATAAAAGCGATTTGACCAAAAGACACTAATGAGCATTATTCCTGAACTAAAAGAGAAGAATATCGGAGTTTATAAAGTACAGTGAACCTTATTTGACTGACTGATAATAATGCAAAATCAATTCTCATTCCTACTTCGACTTCAAAGTTATATCCGTGGAATAAACCGTAAGAGCTTTACTTCCTGTGAAATATGAAGATAGTTTAGAATTACATCCATAAAACATTCACGCAATACAAAGATGATAAATCAGTCAGTTGCGATGTAGGAATTCGTACGTACGTACATCAGTTCAAGTTGCCGTACCACATTAGCACAAAGATGCAATTGTCAATACAAATCAAATAGTTGTACAGGTAGTAGAAGTTTTAGCATAATCAGAGAGATTAGGGTCCGAATATATTATTCAAGAAGTAGAGTCTAGTGACATACACTTGACAAGAAAAAGATAAAGGTGATGAGAAACTCTGAAGGTTAGGGTTTGAGATAACATAGAGAATGAATGCACCTGCGCCATTGCAAATGGTTTTAAGTCATGTCATTCAGGGTCTCTAACCACTGACTACTATCATCGCGTGGTCCCCGACCTGTCAGTCTACATCTACCAACATGTCTCAGTCCACTTGTCAGTGACCTCATGGGTTTGTGCCATGTTTTGATATGACCTCCCCTCACTTTCTCCCAACCTATTCCTATATCGCAAAACATAGCCGGACGAGGCAGTCGGTGGTTAGGCATACGCAACACATATCCCAACCACTTCAAATGATGAAGTTTCAATACTTCACGTATTGACCTGCCATCCTTACCTAGTAACCAATTCCCAACGACAGCATTGCTTACTCGATTGTCCCATCATACACGAACAATGATTTGGAGACACCTTTGTTCGAATACCAGTAACTTATGAATATCCTCTACTCTCAATAGCCATGTCTCACAGCCATAAAGTAGGACGGAGCAAACTGCTGTGCAGTACACTGGTCCTTTGGTTAGCAAACGGATATCTCGCATACACCATAAGTGATGCAGGTTTGCAGAAACCAATCGAGGCTTCTTTATCCATGCCTAGATTTCGTCACACATCAGGCCATCAGCAGTAATGAGACTGTCGAGATATGTGAGGCGGTAACACGCTTGACTGCTTTACTAGTTGAGGTGCCGATACAAGCGAATGCTGAAGCAAGATTTAGCATTTCGATGGGGAGAGTCGCATCTCGGACATGCTTGCATTGTTGTTCAAGGTAGTCAGGAGACTGAATGTTGTCAGAGTCTTCGTCAAGTAGAACTATGTCACCGGCATATTCTACGTCAACAAATGAATCTCCTGTTAGAACGTCTACTCCTGAAAGTTCGGACGAAAATAATTTTATAGTTTGAAGCATGTCTATCACAGAATTAAACAAGAATGGGGAAAGTGGATATCACTGATGGACACCACTTGAAGTGATCAATTCTGATGACAGTTTACCATAAGTTCTGCCTCGACCTGTATTGTTCGAGTAGAGAATTTGTTTAAAAGGTTAGTTTACATCTCTGGCACCCCTTCTAGTGATGGATACTGTTATAGAACCTCACGATCCACAGAATCAAATGCTGCTTTGATGTTCAGGAAGGCAACTATTGTCGGACGCCTATACGTTTGTTTTCCAGGACCTTTCGTAGTGTAAAATTATGGTCTATAGAGCCACATCCAGGTCTGAAACCAGCCCTAGTTGGGCGTCTAAGTATTATTGAGGCTAACAATTTAGGCATTATATTAGTTAATCTGATTCCTCTGTGATTGTCTTTTCTTTTATTTGTCTTTTCTTATAAATTGGGTTAATCAGAGATTGGGACCAGTCAGAAGAGATTACGCCGAGTTCCAAGATTCTACCTAAGATCTCAGTCATTCTAACTGCTATGACTATTCCCCTGCTCTACCTCGCTTCAGATTTCCTAACTTTCTGAACTTCTTTTAGAGTCGGAGGACCTACGTTCATTTGCTATTAAGGGTGTCTGGAGATGATGGACAACCGAAATTTGGCTGAAAGCCGGTCGAATCGACTCCAATAGTGCTCTGCCCATTTATATAATCTCCTAGATTGAGAATGAATAATAATACAATCTTTTTCCGAAATAGTCCCACTAACATTCGGATTTCTAATACCGGTTTCCTTGATAAGTCTGAATAGTTGTCTATTGATGCCTATTGACGCTGATTTTCCATCTCTCCCGCCTTCGCTACCAGAGATGGTAAATTTGCGCCTCACAATATCATTTAAAATGTCTTTAAATGTTGTTAGGAATGAGACGATATGAAGTTATTTTAGGAACCTTGAATAAGTATCAGATAGCGAGGTTTGGAGTTCAGCGAACGTATTGAATTTAACCGATCCCTTAACAATATCCCTTAAATTTTCGTGAGGATAACTTTGCCAGATATAAGGTGTAAACAATAAATGTTATCAGGTTTTTTAAGCTTTCAAAGTATTTTAACTTCAAGTTGATTTGTTGATTGTTCCTTAAATTTAACGGCTAATCTTAATTTACATATGTGCCTAGCATGAAGTAGGCTAAAAACACTGAATTACTTCTTAGAGCATGTAATACTGATTGAATTTTATTTGACAGTTATAGAGGATAAATTTCGCCATCTAAAAATCTATATAGGTAAAGTGTTAGCATTTAAAATCATTTTGTGTATACAATTTATGAAGTCAAAACTAATGGGTGACACTCGGTATAATGACAGGTAAAGCGATTCCTAATTTTAAAAACATAATAATGCTAATTCTTATGAATGCATATATGAATTTTAATCTCATAGAAACGATGCACATAAATATCCAAATCGAAAAAATCTTGACATTTCACATGTGAAGCCCGCATGGTACGAAACAGTGATTCATGTAGTTTTTAAACAAAAAGATACAATAAACAATCACTATATAGTTGCAGAATTAAACCTATGATTTCATATTTACATCGAACTTAATCCTTCAACGTGTCGAAAATCATTTAATTTCTTCAGACACATAATCAAAAAGCAAAGTTTCAATAAATACTTCGAAAACGAAAACCTTTTTATGAAAGAAATCATCTGCTATAATTCAAGGATCAAAGTCGTCCATAAACAGCTAGCGGTTTTCTATTTCTTGAGTAGATTTTGTATGACTTCGATCTGACTATTCAGAGCTATAGTGAATTTTCTGATTTAACGTCTCGAAGGAAAGCTGTAAGTAATACTGTTAGTCCATAACTCCATTAACTTTAACAATATCTTGGTCATCACCAGATAGTGATCTAAAGCTATTTGAGCTCCTCTTTTTGTTCTCACGATTTCCGTTATCCTTCAAAATATTTTGTTGACGCAGATTTAATCGATCTGGTTCCCTGTAGTGCAGTTTGAATAAACCTGTGTATCGCTGTTTATTATTTTGTGAAGCGAAATGGTGCCATTCATAACCGTTTTATTGAAAGCTCATGGATTTTCCAAACAACCACAATCTTTGTTCCTTTATCCCAGTTCGCATGGTCTCACGATAGTAACATATTCTTCGTTGTCCATTCTGACCTTAGAGTTTAGGTTTTTCAACAAAATATCATGAGTTTTGCTCAGCATTAATCTATATTCTCTAGTGACATTGATATTTATCTTTCTCATCACCGTCATTAGTGGGGCAAAGCGCTTTACAACCTATCAGCCTTGTGACTTATGAAGAAACTTGAATGTCACCTTGAGGAGTTACAAATGTTCTAAGTGAAATCCATTAAAAACTCATGGGATAGTTTAAATGATGCCCTGGTTAGCATATCTTTGTAAAGATTGTGTTCTATGGAAATGAAATCACTAAAAGAATTTCTGACCATTCTCTGTCTGATCTTAGGATCGTAATTAACTCTGGAAGGACACCAGGCAGAATCAGCTTTCCTTGTTCAAAGAGACAGTATGAATAAACAAAATTTAGTTTTTTCAGTTTATATCATTAAGTGAAGTAAAAACCCAAGTATTTTCTAAACGTTAATCAGTTTGTACTGGTCCACTGGTATTATAACTTTTCTACTCTGCAAAGAAAACATCTGGTATTACAATTTATTGCTAACAAGACATTTGTGCCACCATACTTTTTTCAAGTTTCAAAACACGTGAAATATTCAAATTTCTATTACATTTTGATATGACGGTATATTTAGCCCGTGTAGAATCGAGATTTTATGATATTTTTAGGTACAAAAAGATTAGTTTGATCAACAAAGATCCATTCAAAATGGAGTTTGTACCATATATTATCACACTTCTAAACTAAGTTTTTAACAGCTTTTAAAAAATTTGTTTTGGCCAGTTCGTAATCTTTCTGTTTTTTGTCATGAAGTTTGCTTACAGAAACCTATTACTGTTCAAGTAGAGTTTGTAGTGAATCAGGAACTTATCGCTTAAACATACGGGAAAATAAACATAAAATGGTCAATCACTCCTCTTGGTTAGATTATTTGTCTCTACACTTTGCATTTGCGTCGCCGATAGAATGTTGCCGTCACTAGTTCAAAATTAGACAGTAAAATTGATAAGTCAAATGCTTTCTGCTCCTGCTGCAGTGCAGAACATCGTATAAAAATATATGGAGCTAATTTTGCAGATAATCTTTTCTAAAGAAAGTTAAATTGCAGTAGAAACGTGCTGACCATACTTATATTGAGTTAATAAAATATGTTAAATATATAAATCTTTATTTGATGGAGGAATAGTTTGTATTGACAAATTTGGTGAGCTGGCAAACGGTGGAATTTAAAGTCTTTTATAAAGAACTTGTTTGATGTTTGATCTTGAACAAGACCTACTATGTGAATATGATTTCTTGCTGTATCCACAACCTACGCACTGTGTCTTCTTATGGCGGATTATTTTTTATAGATTTAAGTTGGTAGGAAATATTGGCTCCCTGCCGCTTTGTGCCAAACATATAAAACAAAACAATATGAACAAACGTACTTATTCAGATCACGGGACATACAAACTCACAAACAACTGCCAACTGACTAGAATAAGTCCAGTCAAGTGGCTAGATCACCACTCATTGTACATTGACTGATACCTGAAATCGTAACGAATCGAGTGAAAAGAAATCCACTGGTTTGTAGTAGCTCGTGAAAAAATATCGAGTATCAGATGAAAACTCATATGTTTTCTCTCGAAGAAACATCAGTTTCAGCCTGAACATTTTTTGACGTAGTGGAAAAACCAACCACTATTACGCCTTTAACAGCTGTGACTAAACTAAATAAAAAATTACAAACTACGGTAGCAATAAACTATTCGTGATAAAATCTAGATGGTTATTTTCGAAACAAATGGTAAACCATCAACAGTTTGCTTATATTACGTTAAAAGCACGGTGATGCCATGCTGAAAGATATACCTTTTAGACACTTGACTAATGGAAACCTCTGGTATTGCCTTCAGTTTCAATATATTGTGACACGTTGTTTCATCCGATTTATCAAGTAAACTTGAGTGATTCTCATAAGAAGCGTCGCTGAAGTCTAGCAGATTGAAATCGTTACTGTTTATTAACGAACTATCATAAGATGGACAGTCTAAAAATTGGAAATAAATTTTGAAGCTTACATATCGGACTAAACTTCAGTTGGGAAACGTCAGAAATATTAACACCGTCATTGGCATTTAGTGTTGAGTTCTTAATATCCGGAGATACTAATTAATAAGAACTAGTCAAACGTTATCGGTTACATACTAGGAAACTGGTACGAGTCTCGGAATAGAGAATCATTGTTGTCAGATTTGCCTTAAAGTATTATTAAAAGTAATACTTACATACACCTCTCGGTATTTCTGGACTTGCATTAACATCTTGAAAATCAAAGTCCTCTTGAATGCCGCAAACTTATCAACAAAATATCATCTTACTGCTCATAGTCTGGAGGTTGCTTGGCTTCGCGGAAACAAATTCATTATTTAAGTTTGACAGTCAATGTTCTTTTCAATATCCAATACCTTTTTCATGAGCTATTATTACTTTATTACAACGATCATTTGATGGCATACATTTTCAGTTTCAGTTTAGAAATAGCAAAGGGCTAGGGTGTCTGTGTTAGTCTCGGCAAAAGCTGCCCATCACCTGATCCAACCTTCCCTTGAATACCTCAACAGGTGGACACTCAGTCACGTGCTGTAGTGACTAGCTGCATTTGTGGACGATCAACGCGAAAGTCCGTAATCAGATAGCAGCTAATTTTGAGCGTTTTTACTGCCCTTGCGTGGGTAGATTAAAGTTTTCTCCGGTTAGATACTCCAACCTCCCTCTGTTTGTGACGCTAGACTCTCTTACATGTATGATGTTTTCACAATGCTCTCGTTGAAGGTCTACTTTGAGAACATTGTTGAAATACACTGTCTCAACCAGTTCAATGTCACCAACAAACTAGACAGCATAAGCTTATGTGTAGTGGATTACGTTTCTACTTACCATATTACATTGTTATTATGTTAACTAATTGTACAAACTGAAAGATAGTGGTCGGTTAATAGGTAGTTCGGAGGTAGTGAAGATGGGTAAGTGATTAAAAATTATGAAGGAAAAATAATTTTTATTTGAAAACTTACGAGTATGGCATAAGCGATACATTTTAATGTCGAAAAATTGTTGATATTGAAATTTTTAGGACTGGCAACAAATGAACTAGAAGTAACACAATAATTATGGGTAGTTTAGTTTCGTGTGATCGGCAGTAGTCGAGCAACATCAGGGGTTTTTGTAATTTATCTGCCTACTTGCAGCAAAAACTAAAAGTGAAGGTTTATGGAACAAAATGATTTGACTTTTATAATTAAGGTAACTCTCGGTGTTATTGGTAGGAGCAAAAAGGCGTTACCTACTGCGGTAAGTGAGACAAGAGGAATCATGTGTTTCATCGTTTGGCTTTATCTGCATGAGTGGAAATTGGGATGCAATACATAAATGAATGGCTAGTAGCTTCTAGGAAAAGTTTAGATTTTATGTGGACCATGAAATCTGCATCAAGATTTGGTAAGGGTTCCGATAATAGTTCATAAGTCTTTCAACAGTATGACAACGGTGTTGCTAGTTTTCTGATCATGGCGGTAACGTCAAAGAAACCGATTAATATTGATAGTCCGTTCCACAATAACCTGTACCGTGTTGTAAAAAAAACAACAACGTACGGACTTTCACTACTTTGCCGTTAGTAGTGTATATGTGTTGTTTCAAAGTCGGTAAGCAGGTTCAAAGTTGATAATTGGTCGAGATCTTACATACGAGAGACCATATATTATTTCGTAGGAAAGTATTGGGTTCTTGTCCAACTAAAGTTGCAGTATATGTTCTAGAGAAAGATGTTTTCATTTTCTTTGTAGTTGAGTATAAGGTCATATCGTAGCAATAAACGAGTAAACTTTCTTTGGACGCCTTTTACTCCTATCTTGTATAATAATAATAATAATAATAATAATTTATTCTCAAATAACTAAGTTACAAGAGTCACGCCAGTTTACAGGCTAGATCAAATTGTCACAAATGCTTTTACAATTACTGTAAAAGTTATAGCAGTTAAATTAAGTATAAGAGACAGTTTCTGATTGCATTTTTTAGCAATTTTTAGCAAACGTTGATGGTGTGGGCGATGACTTCGAACCACCCATGTTTGTGGGGCAGAATATTTTGTTTGCTTTCGGCTCTTTAGATTGATCATCAATACTGAGGTTGCTCTTATACGCTTGCTACTTCTGAGGTTCATGTTTCCAAAACTATGCTGAGTTTGCTATTGTGTCGAGACACCCACAACATGCTTACTCCGGCGCTGACGGTATGACCTAGTGGTTGGCATTCAATAATAATAATGATGATAAAAATAATAAACAGTTAGACAGTTAGAATTTTTAATCATCAATGTTTTCTTTTTACAAACTCAACTCTTTTAACTGAAGTTTCGATTCCAGCGTACATAAATCCAGCTACTTAGTTCAAATTCTCTTCTATCCACTTGACACTCGTCAACTCTTCCTTCTTCCTTGCTGTACTCCTTCATTTGTGGGTTATATTCATATATTCCCTTAATTTACTTTACTTTTAGTGGTCGGTATGAGTTTTATTTTGACTTACTACTGTATTGACTGCTTCAAAACGCCAGGTTAAATAGTGCTTTGGTTATTTATATACACTTTCCAAACTGCTGCCTTTTTCTCTCTCTCTTTCCTCCCTTTTCAGATCCCAATTCAAGGTGAGAAACCCTTGGCGCCTCTAAGGGAAATGCACCGTATGTACATGACTGTCTGGATCCCACTCGTATCACATGCGTTCCAATTGACCTTTCCCAACAAATTCACTGTTGATCTCAGCAAATCGCCAAAGGTACCTATTGTGCACCTTCCTTATCTGTACTCTACTATTGAAAATGTGGCTGTATTATACTGTTTCTGTCAGTGAAATGGTGCAAATATGCTATCAGAAACTGGCTCTGATACTTAATTTAACTGCTATAACTATTACAGTAAATGTGAAAGCATTTGTGACAATTTGGTCTAGCCTGTAAACTGGCATGACTCATGTAACGTAGTGATTTGAGAATAAATATTATTATTATATTACTACATAAGAACAAAAGTAGTCAAGTGAAATTATGCAAGTTCCATGGTCATGGTGTTACATCCGCAAAATTAGAATTCGCAATTTTCGGTCTTTTTGGCAGATGCACATAAATCCAGTTTTATGCTTCAAAATACTCCTCACAAACCAATCCTTATGAGACCACGAAGAACCGAAAATATACAAGAGTCTCTAATAATGGTACAAATAATATGGTACACTGTTACGGGAGAAACGAAGACATTTTGCTGATTAAAACCTTCATGTATATATAATCATTAATTTCACTGTTTTTTGGGTATATTTGTTTTACTTAACTTATGAACTTGTTTGAATTATTATTTGCGGACATATTGGACTCCCGTTTCTCTTTGTTGTTCGTTGCAGTTTTTTGCTCCAAGAGATAATAAATTAGAAGGTAATTGTAATTATTATAATTATTGTTGTTAGAACGACATTGGTCGTCTATTTGTAATAAAGTATTTTGGTCGAATTTGTGATTTGGAATAAACTTTGGTATCTACTTTGGAGTTGCGTTCTTGGTATAGAAATTTGGGACCGTGAATTACAAATAGACGACAACAGTGCTTCGTAAGATCAACGAGCAAAAAACTGGACGTAACATACACCATATATAGTCGTCAAATAGTCGACCTGTCAATGACTCTGTTTATTTGATCAAATAATATCTTATTTTTTGAATGCTTTGTCATACTTTTACTAGCGTAAGCATGGAGCAGTACATCGGGCAAATAGAGTAACAAAGTTAACTGATAAGTGTCACAATTTCAAGTTCGATATCATCGAACAAAAGCGATTTTTCAAACGCTAAATACTGTTTGTTAAGGTAGGTAACATGTGTTACAAGAAAATAAACCCCGAAAAGAGACTTCTTGGAAACCAACAACAAACAAAGATAAAACTTGTATTCAAACTTTAAATGATAGAAACTAACGTAATAAATGTTGCAGCCTTCAAATCGAGCTAATGCATTATTCAAATTAACTTCGTCGTTGTTTCGGTTCTGTTTCTCAAATTTTGTCAATAATGTTTCCCTAAATTAATATAACCAACATTTCATACAAGCACATCATACATTTGGACTTTCAAAGGGAAATAATATCTGCAGTGCGAGGAAGTTGTTTTGTCCTATGGGGGTATTTCAACTCTGTTGAAACGAAGATAATGAATTTGAAACAGAAAATCAAGATGGCAAAAACTGGTATGATAAGTATCTTGAGGTAGCAAAGTTGGGTTTGCGTGTTATCGACATGCTATAACTCTCTGTTCTGTCTATGCTAAATATCCAGACAGCAATATTCTTTTACACTCCAACAGAACTTAGCCATAGAGGACAAAATTATCCTGACCACAATGTGTTTATGTTAGTCAACAATAAGATGACTATATATTGAGACAAAAGGTAAGAATCTGTGTGTCAACTCCGATACCTGTCATTCTATCTACCAGTCATTCTGGCTCAGTAACCATTCACAATTTCCCTGCGCTTACACAACACGTGATATTTATTCAAACTTAAAAGTTAATAATCGCACGCAGCTTTGGATTTTCGCCACATGAATGCTAGTTTAAACGATTTCTGTGGCCAATTGTTGCATCAGCTAATAAAATGACAATACTATAAGGATATGATTTGTTGGTGTAAATTCCTTCATATGGAAGCATTTCTTCAATTTACAGGAAAAGATGGATAAGTTGATTAGTTTGGTGAGCGACTTGATTGAGGTCGTATGTGCTTTAGTAAAGACCCAGTATATCAGTGAAATGCCTCAACAGACAAATCAAGAGATTTATTATTCACAACAACTATTTTCTCTATTCTTGTTTACCTGAGTTGCACTCATGGCTGCCCTATTCAGCCATTGGCACATTACTCTCGTTTACTGCCACACATTTAGTAAAATGAATATGTCTTACCTAAAACAAGTGAACATCGAATCAATGTTTATTTGGCTTCAGACGTGTTCTTGAGTAGACATGCCTCCGTTTTTCGTGTCCTACGGGCCAAGTAAACAACAAGAACATGGAAGGTTCACTCACTGAGGACAAACTACTTCCTCATTGAGAGAGCACTGCGAGTTACCGCATCCTTGTGTTAAATGATGGCAATGGCACTTCATCGAAAGATCAGACAATATACTGAAAGATCCTGGAATGAATTAAGGACACTGATTTGTGGTGTTCAGTCAAACAAATCAAAAGCAAGTAAACTATAATGGCTACAACTATTGAAACATACGGATCATTGTTATTTCAGTTCAGCGAACTGTATTAGAATTGTAAAACTTTCC